TTTGGTTTGAGAGAAATTTTTATTCTTTTAAATTAAATTTTTTTTTTAGTGTAATTTACAGAAATTTATATTAAATAAGATTAGATTAAGATTACTTTTTTTTATAAATTTGTGAAAAATATAAATCAGGGTTGCCACAGGTCAGGGAAATCAGGGAAAACTTAGGAAGAATAAAATTTATTATCAGGAAAAAGTCAGGGATTTTTATTAAAAACACTAGAAAAAATGACAAGAAGCTGAATTTGTTATGAAAATTCCGACTTTTTGAAAAAAAAAATAGAGAAATTTAATAAAAAAAAAAAATATTCCACAATTTAAACAAAAAAATATTTTCTCATTGTCAGGAAAAAAGACAAAATCTCTTTTTTGAAATTAGGAAAAAAGAAATTCAATTTTTGTACACAGTAAATGCTCACTTGATTTGTAAAAGTTTTTATATGAAGTATGAATATTTTTTTCGTAATGCAATTAACATTTTTTTTTTTTCTGATGGAGACAATAATTTATCATGACGGTGTTTATTTAAATGTAGGTCTTAGTTTAAAATCTACTGATCTTATTTCATTGCAGCGTAATGTAAAGGTCAAGAGTTTAATAAGTCTTTAAAATTCCGTATTCAATGTATATATATGTATATAGTGAATATATAGCATCTTTTATATACTGATAAGATCAATAACAATTCGTATGTGGCATCTATATAGTAGAGACAGTAAAATTTGTCGAAGGATATAAAGATAAAGAATAAGAGGGACGAGATTTTTGGAATAGTAATTAAACCAGAATGAATAGTGGTTATATAGATTATATTTAAGACACAAAGTATAGGGATGACATGCAGAAGTCTTCTGATAAAAAGTATTATGGAAGGAAGATTGGTTTTATTTATTTGGATAAGGTGAAGGAAAGTTATATAGAACTTAGAGAAGTGTATATATAGATAAAAATAATAGTCTTGAGTCTTGTAGATTTATAGAGATATCAATGCTTGTTTTATCGGACAGCAAAAAAAAAAAAAAGAAGATATTTTTTCTTTATAGGGATTAAAAAGCACTTTTCACCCTGAGAGGAATGATGAAAAATCCACAAAATTACATAATTTGACAGATTTTTTTTTTTTAAAATAGAAATCCATTTAATCTTATTTTTATTTATCAAAATATTTATTTAAGCTAATTTGCAATTAACTTAATTTTTATTTATCAAAATTTTCAGTTAACCGAATTTGTTAACTGAATTATTATTTAATTGAATATTGTGTTTTGACCGAAATTTTAATTCGGAATACTAGAATACTAGAAAATCAGGTTATCATAAATGTAGTTAAATAATAATTCGGCTAACCACGAATTGAATTAAATAAAAATTCGGACCTTCACAAATTCAGTTAAAAATAAAAAAAGGTCAAAAATTCGGTTAAATGAAAATTTTATCAAATAAAAATTTGATATAATTAAAATTCTGCCAAATAAGAATTTGGTTAAATAAAAATTCGGATAAATTAAATTGTGTCAAAAGAAATAAGTTCTGTCAAATGAAAATTTGATAAAATTAAACTTCTGTTAAATAAGAATTTGTTTAAATAGAAATTCGGATGCATTGAATTCTGTCAATAGAAAATTCGGTCAAATAATATGGTTAAATAAAAATTCGGATTATTTGTAAATTCGATTAAACACAAATCCAATGAAATGATAATTCGTACAATTACAAATAAAGTTGAATGAAAATTAAGTAAATACAGATTTTGTTAAACAAAAGTTCGGTTAAATGATAGTTGAATAAAATATAAATTTGCAATAAATTGTTATTTGGTTAAATATTTAAATATATTAATTAAAAATTCCTATATAAACTCAAAATAATGTTAAATAATAACTCAATCAATAACAAATTTTGTTAGAAAACTAGTTAAATGAATAATTGGACAAATAACAATTTTGTAAAGTAAAAATTTGGTCAAATACAAATTTAGTTAAATACAATAATATTAATCCAATGACAAATTTGAATTGAATTAAAATTCGGCAAATGAAGAATTGCTAAAATAAAAAATATTTGGTCAAATGGTAATTAGATTAAATAAAAGTTTCGGTTAAATTAGGTTAAATAATAGTTTAGTCAAATGCAAATTTGGTGAAATAAAAAAATGGTCAAATGTAAATTTGGTTAAATATAAAAAAATTTGTAGTCAAATAAAAAATTGGCAAATTAAACAATTGGTCTTACGTGAATTCGGTCAAAATTCAAATTTGTTTAAGTAAGAATTTTATAAAATAGAAATTCGGTTTAATAATAGTTCGGTCAAATGCAAATTTGTGGTTAAATAATAATTTGGTGTATTCAAAAATCGGTTATACGCGAATTTGGCCAAAATTCAAATTAATAGTAACATATATATATAGACATTTCAGAAATAAGCAGTTAAGTTAAATAATTCTTCGGTGAAATGTAAATTTTGTTAAATAAATTTATGGTCACATAGCAATTTGGTGTATTAATAAATCGGTCATACGTTAATTTGTTCAAAATTAAAAAGTAGTAAAATAAGCATTTGTTCAAGTAGAAATTAGGTTTTATGAAATTTCGATCAAATGCAAATTTAGTTAAATAAACTTGTGGTCAAATAATAAATAGGTTAATTAAACAAAATCGGTCATACGTAAATTTGGTCAAAATCAAAAATTGATAAAATAAGCATTTTATCTACTAGAAATTAGGTTTAATGAAATTTCGGTCAAATGCAAATTTGGTTAAATAAGCATTTGATCAAATAGGAGATAGGTTAAATAATAGTTCGGTCAAATGCAAATTCGGATAATTTTTTGGGCAAACAACAATTTGGTTAATTAAACAATCGATCATAAGCGAAATTCGGTCAAAATTAAAATTTGGTAAAATAAGCATTTGTCGAATAGAAGTTAGATTAAGTTATATTTCGGTCAACTTTCGGTCATACGTTAATTCGATCAAAATTCAAATTTGGTAAAATATAAGCATTTGATTAAATATAGGGGATAGGTTGAATAATAGTTCGGTCAAATGAAAATTTGGTTAAATAATTTTTTGGGCAAAGAACAAATTGGTTATTTAAACAATCGGCATAAACGAATTCGGTCAAAATTAAAATTTAATAAAATTACCATTTGTCGAATAGAAGTTAGATTAAGTTATATTTCAGTCAACTTTCGGTCATACGTGAATTCGGTTAAAATTCAAATTTGGTAACATAAAAATTTGAGAAAATAGATGTTTATTTAAATAATTGTTCGTTCAAAGCAAATTTTGTTAAATAAATTTGTGGTCACATAGCAATTTGGTGTATTAAAAAGTTGGTCATACGTTAATTCGGTCACTATTTAAATTTGGTAAAATAAGCATTTGATCAAATAGGAGATAAGTTAAATAATAGTTCGGTTAAATGCAAATTTGGTTAAATGAATTTATGGTCAAATATCAATTATAGGTAAATTAAACAGTTGGTCATATGTTAATTCGGCAAAATTCAAATTTGGTAAAATTAGCATTTGATCAATTATAAGTTAGTTTAAATAATAATTTGGTAAATGAAAATTTGGTCAAATAACAATTTGGTGAATTAAACAGTTGGTCATAGGCGAATAAGGTCAAAATTAAAATTTGATAATGTACAGGAATTTGATGAAATAAAAATTAGGTTTAATCATATTTTGGTCAATTGCAAATTTGGTTAAATAAATTTTTGGTCAAATAGCAATTTAGTTAATTAAACAATCGATCATATGCGAATTCGGTTAAATGTCAAATTTTGTTGTTGAAATAAACATTTGATTAAATCAAAAATTATGTGAGATAAAAGTTTGGTGATATATGCAATTTTTATTAAAATTAATATTCGGCCAAAAAAAAAAAATTAAATTAAATAAATTTTGATTGATATCTAAATTTTTCCTCAATAGAAAATTCGGTTGCAGTTTCGATTCAATGTTAACTTGCATGAAATGAAAAAAAAATTTGTTATTATTAACCATACATTCTATTATTTATTCATTTATGTTTCATTGTACTAAATTCCGCTGTGTCTTTTTTTTAGAGAGAGAAAGAGAGAGAGAGAGTGAAGGAGGCAAACACACCCCGAGTTTGATAGGAGAACATTCGGAAAAGTGTTACAGATAAACAAATAAAATGCATTACTGGATGCTGCTGTACAGCGTATGGAAAGCCCTCCCTGCAGCGCGGCGCCGCGTCGACGTGCGACTATAAGTAAGTCTCGCACTGCGGGTGGCGACTTAATGTCGTTGCCGCGTCCGTGGCGCCAAGAGGAAGGCCGATCACGATAATTCGTCGAGACACTCCGACTCGTCGATATACGTGTATTTGATCGATCGAAATAAAAAAAAAATTAAAAAAAAAAAAAGTGGGAGAGAAAGAAAAATAAATAAATAAATAAAAACAAAGAAAATAAAAATTCCAGTGTATCGGAACCAGATTACAACCACCTTTCTCTCATTCAAATTTTTCTCATTTTTTTTTTTTTGCAAGACATCGCAAAAGTATTATCAATTAATTTTCAATTATAATGACAAAAAAAAGAAGTTCTAATGAGTTCAATAACAGTGGATAAAGTGTCATAGTGTTTCTGTGAAATCAAAAAAGAAACAAGTGTAACTTGTTGCTTTATTTTTTAGTGATAAATTAAAAAAGGGATCAAATTTAAAAAAAAAATTGTTTTTACAAATCGTGAGTGTATAAAGAAATGTTTGATTTATGTGAATATAATATAAGTGGTGTGTCAATGTGGGACCAATAGGAACGGTCCTTTTTTTTTTACTTGATTGACAAGAAATTGTTTTCAAACTTCTTGGATTTGAGAGGGTTTTTTTTGGAGAATTGAAACAAGAAAGGGAAATATTTTTTTTTCCTCGCATGATCAAAAAGATAAAAAATTTTTTGCTCATGGATATTTGGCTATTAGATGTTGATTAGAGAGTTATTTAATTTTAGAAAAATAAGTATTATTTTGGAGATAAAAAAATGTCTGGATTGCTGTATACTTTATTGGGATTGGCAGCAAGCTCGAGTCTTCATTGTGCTGTGAGACGTGAAATTAGCCCTTGTACATGCCGTCAAGAGGCACCAATTATCAATCCTAGTTTAAATGGTAATGAGAACAATAATAATAATAATAATAATAATGGAAATACACATATTCATTTGGAGAGAATTGAAGTGGTTTGTGAGAAAATGGAATCATTTGATCAAGTTGCCGAGGCACTTAGCGGTAAATTCACCCCCGAACAACAAATAACATTAAGGGTGTCACATTCACAATTACGCGACATATCAAAACATGATTTCAAGGAGCTGAGGATGTCCATCGTTAGACTTGACCTTAATCACGATCATCTTGTGTGAGTACTCTATATACTCTTCTCTCTCTCTTTTCATTAACGTCATTTTAATTTCTCTCATACGTATATATTATAATCTATAAAGACGTCATTAAATCAATTTCGCTTTGGAGATTATTGAAATTTTATTTCCTGTTTCTGTCTCTTTTTCTTTTTTTTTTTTTTATTTACGAGAAATGGTCCTTTTTTTGGGATGAAAATATTTTCGTTAATATTAATAAATTAAAATCTTAAAAATAAAGAATATAATTTTTGATTACAAATAATTTTTTTATGAGCCAAAAGTTTGGAAAATTCAAATGAACGAAATATTTTTTTTCAATCTATAAATTATTAATGATGGCAATGTAAAATAAAACAGTAAATAAAACAATTATTAATTAGCCTAAAGTTTGGAACGTTCAAATGAACTAAATTTTTTTTTTTTTGCAACTTCTTTAAGTACAAATTTTATTACATTGTATTAAATATCTATAAAGAATTTATTTAATTTCATAATTGTTTAACAATGTGATTTTGTAACCTTAAATTTTTCAATTTTTTTAAAAACGCTATTATATTAAAAAACTATTGAAAATTAGATGTTGCAACTCACCAAAAACATAAATCACTTTATTCTGCACAGAGGAACGAAAGAATTATTGCAAAAATTTATTATTTTTGGATGATATACGATTTTTAAAAAAATTTTATTTAAATATTCTCAAGATTTTTATTTACTTATAACTTTTTTGTCGGTGCTCCGAAAAAATTGAGGTTTTGCACAAAGATTTTTTATAATATTCTTTACCTTCTATTAAAATTTTACGAAGGTGTTTTGCTTCGTTTTGGAGATATTAATTTTCAAAATTTTTTATTTAAAAAGGTTAATTAGAAGACTTGAAGTTAACTGACCAATTTCAAATCGCTACATTTTAATATATTTTTATAAAAAATGGAGCAGTTTGAATTTGGTTAGTTAACTTCAAGTCTTTTAATTAACCTTTTACATAAATTTTTTTAAAAATTAATATCTCCAAAACGAAGCAAAACACCTTCGTAAGATTTTAATAGAAGGTAAAGAATATTATAAAAAATCTTTGTGCAAAACCTCAATTTTTTCGGAGCACCGACAAAAAAGTTATAAGTAAATAAAAATCTTGAGAATATTTAAATAAAATTTTTTTTAAAATCGTATATCATCCAAAAATAATAAATTTTTGCAATAATTCTTTCGTTCCTCTGTGCAAAATAAAGTGATTTATGTTTTTGGTGAGTTCCAACATCTAATTTTTAATAGTTTTTTAATAATAGCGTTTTTAAAAAAATTGAAAAATTTAAGGTTACAAAATCACATTGTGAACCTCCTACTTTTGATATTTAATATTTTTAAAGGGAACTCAGGGAATCATCGAGTTTCATATATATTAAAACTAGATTTTTTGAAAATTTGGTCGCAACCACTATTAGACGAAAGTCAGTGGACTGACCCAGATATTTAAAACAATGTAATAAAATTTGTATTTAAAGAAGTTGCAAAAAAAAAAAAAATTTGTTCATTTGAACGTTCGAAACTTTTTGATCATAATTTTTCGAAATATTTAAAAAGCAAAATAAAAATTCTACCTGGTCAATTATTATTAATTAAAATAATTTGTTACATTTTATAAAATTCGCCTTGAATAAATAAAATAAATAATAAAAGTCACAGATCTGTTTATGCGGAGAAAACTCTCCATTGAATAGAATTTGTAGAGAGGCCAACAGACTCGATAAAAATTTAGATTTTTTTATTACACCTTTGAGAAAGTTTGTTATAAGCCTAAAGATGGCAATTAATGCTTTATCTTAAATTGCCATGCGTAATAAAATAATTTTTTATTTTTTGTTATCTTTTGTTATTTTTTGTTACATTAGTTATAGTATTATTATCTTTTGTTAAGTATACTTTGTACGAAAGGGCTTTTGGCCCGTTGAAATGGAAATAAATAAATAAATAAAATACCGCAGAAAAATTAAAATTTGATAAACAATAAATAATAATAATAATAATTTTTGAAAATTTTTTCTTTTTGCGATCTAAGCTTCATTTTTTTTTTGTTTATTAACATGGAAAATACATATAGTTAATTCCAAAATCTAAAATATTATTCTGAAAAACGAATTGGAAATGAATTATATATTAAAATAAAATATATAATTGTATCAAGGCCAAATAAATATATTTGTTTGTTTAAAAAACAATAAATTTTTATTTGCGATTTAAATAAAATATTTATAATTTCTCTCATATAAAATTTTATTTTCTTCAAATAAATATGTTTATTTAGTCAAAAATTATTTAAATTTGCGCCCAAATTTTACCAAATCCAATTTATATTTAACCGAATTCGTGTTTATACAAATTCCACAAAATCCAATTTTACATTTCGTCAAATTTTCATTTCACTAAATTTATATTTGCCTAAATTTTCATTTAATTGAACTTTTAATTCAACCAAATTCGAATGTTACCAAATTTATATACGCAGGGTGATTTTTATGTTCCGGACCTCCTAAAAAATTTTTTTTCATTTAAAAAAAAATATATTTTAAGGGGTCCGGAACATAAAAATCACCCTGTATATTTGACCAAAACGCAATTTATTATTTTTGCCAAATGAAAATTTAATTAATAAAAATTCGCCAACAATAAAAATAATAATAATAATAAAAATAATAGGAATAAAATAATAATAATAGTAATAATAATATAACAATAAAATTATATTATAAATTTCAACTTATAAATAAAATAATAATAATAAAAATAAATTATTGTAAATAGGTCCTTGACCTGGACAATAGATTAATTAATAAATATATATATATACATATATAAAATAATTTTCATGAAATTGAGAAATTTTTTTTTTTCAATTAACAAAATGTTTTGTAATATGAAACGATATATTGACTTGCGCGAGTTATACAAATTAAATTACAGATAATGATATATAATATATATATATATATATATATATATGTTACTATATAGACACGACATTGTTAATCGCTGCCTTGTATTTAAGTGATAACGAGAGTTCGAAAACCATGTGCTAATCAGAAACGTGAGTGCGAATGATATGAGATAAATTTTTATCATATGATTTTCCCAGCATCTCTAAAAAAGATTCTTTCTCTCTCTCTCTCACACACATAAACTGACTCTTTCTCTCTGTTTATTGCCAAATCATCAGGGCTCTCGCGACATGACAATAATTACTCTCCCTCATGCGTCCTCGAGGCGCCTGCCTGGTATTTAAATATTTCGTAAAAACTGATAATGTCTCTGACCTATTGTTTTCTTTCTTTATACAAAATTATATATATTATTTTTTTTTTTTTTTTGTTAATTCATAAATGATTAAAATTTATTTTTTATATGTATTATATATATTTTAATTAAGTAAACTGTTGACGACTAAAGTTTATCATATTTGATTACATGAATGTATGATATATATTGTAAATGAAAAATAGACGAATACAAAATATCTGGTTTATGATTTTTTTTTCTTGTTTTTTTTTTTGTTAAGGAAGGTCAGAAGAAGGTTAATTTCAATTCGTTTTTTAAGAATAGTATAATTTAGATTTTTTTTTATTGCTATGATAAAACATTTATATTATATTGTTTTTTTTTTTTAATAAGCTATGTAATCTAGAGAATTATATTATTTATTTTTTTACAGGGTGTCTAACGGTCAGGGAAGTCAGGGAAAAGTCAGGGAATTTTGTTGGTCATGGAAATGTCAGGGAATTTCAGAAAATTTCATTCAAAGTCAGGGAAATTTCTGTAAATTTCTACAAAAATTAAAATTTTTTGTGAATTTAACAATTTTTAAATCTAAAAAAAACCTGAATGGTTTTTATTACCATTTGTTACTACCATTAGAAATTAATTTATTGTTAAATATGTCAGTAATCATATTTTTGTCCAAAAAAAAGCAGAAATAAGGTTATTAAAAAGTCAGGGAAAAATCAAAAAATGTCAGGGAAAAGTCAGGGAATATTTTTCTCAATCTTTGTTAGACACCCTGTTTTTATTTTTACAAAATTCAAATTTCTTATAGATGGAATTTTTTTTTTTTTTTGAAAATATATATATATGTAAAGTTAAAATGTAATACTCAAAAAACAATTCATTATTTTGTCAAAAATAAGTAAAATAATTTTGTTAACGTTTTTACAGATTAATTAAAAATATTAATATTAAATTAATTAAAAATTAATAAGCACTGTTTAAAAATTTGTTATTTTAATATTTTCTTTAAAATTTAAATTTAAATTCAAATTCGATTAAACGGTTAAATGATAATTCGGCTGAATTAATGTAAATTGGAATTTTTTGTAAAATTTAGTCAAACGCGATTTCGGTTAAATGTAAATTTGTCTGATTATTAATTGGGATTTATTGAATTTAGTGAAATGAAAATTCGGCTGAATGCAGGCTTCGAAGTGACACACTTTTTTACTTCTTTGATCCTTTTTTTCGACAAAGTTACTTTTTTACTACTAATTTTGTCCAAAAGCCACTAAATGCTATTTTTTTCAAAAAAATAATTTTAAAAATGACAGTATTCAAGAATTTTAAATTTTAGCGAATTTTTTGATTCCTAAAAGCTCTACAAGATTTATTATTGGTCGCGTGAACTACTGCTTTACATAATTATTTTTTACACGAATTTTCATTATTCAAAATAGCATTTCATATAATTTCTTTTTAAACGACCTTTTACTCAATAGAATTTTTAATTTGAGAAATTTTTTTTGACAGAATTTTTATTTTACAAAATTTCTCTTTACTCAACCGTTTTCTTTTTTTTTAATAATTCTAATTTAGCCGAAATTCAGATAATATTTGAATTTTAAGTATTTTGAATTGAAAAATGTTTTAAATAATTGAAATGCCAAGATTTTGATTAAAGTTATTAGAAATAATTATTTTAACAAAAAATTTGAATAAAAAATTTTTAATAATAATTGACTTTCAAGAGATTTTGAATTAAAATTTTTGTAAATTAAAATTGCTGAAAATTATTAACAAAGTTTCAAAGAGTAATTGAATTTTAGAGAATTTTTAATTAAAAAATTTTTTGTTTAATTGAATTTTTGAATAATTGGATTGAAATTATTAATTTACTCTCTAAATCTGAATTAGTAGTTTTCTACTAATGAAAGAGTGCGTATTCGTTTACCAATTGAATTAGTACAGTTTTGACTAATTTGTAGTAAAAAAAACTACTAATTGCTAGTAGAAAACTACTAATTCATGGAGTAAGTCGTATTTTTTACTATTTCAAATTAGTAAGCCGATTTACTCCATTAATTTAGTAGTTTTCTACTAGCAATTAGTAGTTTTTTTTACTAAAAATTAGTCAAAACTGTTACTAATTCAATTGGTAAACGAATACGCACTCTTTCATTAGTAGAAAACTACTAATTCAGATTTAAAGAGTAAATTAATAATTTCAATCCAATAGCATCCAGTAGCAAAGAATTTTAGATAAAAATTTTAAAAATAATTGAATTTTGGATTAAAATTTTTAGAAATAATTGAATTTTTGGAGATTTTTAATTAAAATTATTGTTTTAAAAATATATTAAATATTTTATATAAGCTTCCGATTCCAAGTTCTAGAATTTAAAAATTCGAATTACTTAAAATTCTACTGAATGAGAATTGTAATAAATTAAAAATAGGTTAAATTAGAATTCTGCTCATGAAACAGTTGGATAAAGAGAAATTTTGTAAAATTAAAAATCGGTACTTTGAAAATTCTGTTGAGTAAACATTCGTTTAAAAAAAAAATTCTCTATTAAATGCTATTTTGTAAAATAACAATTTTTTTGAAAAATTATTTTAATGGAATAATCATACGCTCCTAACGTTTTGTCAAAAACAAAAAGTTAATCGAAATTTAACAATAGATAGTTTTTTTTTTTTTTAAATAATCAGGAGAAAAATGATGTTAATTTTATTCCTCAGAATTTTCCTTTCAATTTTTCTAGACAAGAAAATATTTACACTTTAACGTCAAACTGAGAAAACTAATTTAACTTCATTTCAAATTTTTTTTATACTTTTTTTCAATTTTGGAGATACTTTTAAAAAAAATGATACTTTTTCATACTTTTCTTAGACTCTTACTACGCTTCGAAACCTGCGAATGTAAATTGAATCAAACAAAATTCAAATTGAATCATTTTTGTATTTGAATCAAACGCAAATTCGGCAGTATTGAAATTGAAATTTTTATAAAGTTTGGTCAAACTCGAAATGAAAATTTAGTTAAAATTGAGAATTCTGTGAACGTAATAAATTTTATCATACGCGAATTTGACTGAATAAAAACTGGTTTATATAAAATTTCGGCTCTAATTTAAAATTAATTAAATAAATATTAGCAGTAAATACAAAATAATTACAAAATATACAAATACAAAATTTTTTAATAAAATGAAAATATTGATTAAAAAAAAAAAAGAAGACATTTATTAGAAAATTGGATTTATTTTTTTGACTATCATAAAATTTTGAAAATGGAAAAAAAATAAATAATTGACGTGCCCATTTTTGCTCGTTTCGTTTATCCTATATATTGGAGTGAGTGAACTTTACAGATCCAAGTAGTTACTAGTTGAGTTTGGTCAGACCTAACACGCTTGATATACTTACACATTATCCTCATCAAACGATACACGAGAGAGATTGTGTCGCGACAAATTCATTGCCGGCTTTTAATCATGTAATTATTATTGTAAAATAATACATACACGATTTTTTAAATATATCGTATTATATAGGTATACAAATAAATAAAAACGTATTTTTAATTTTTACAGAATTTTGAAAATAATTTTTTTGAATTTTTCTTTGATGTTTCAAATAATAATTTATTTGATTTTAATAAATTTTTTTTTGATTTCTTTTAAAAATAAAAACTGTTATTTACTGATATATTTTTTTTACCATAAATTGTGGAAGCACAATATTTTTTTGTGCTATAAATTTTAATAGAATTTCAATGCGTATATTTTTATTTTAAAGAAATTTTATTTTTTATTTTATTTTAATTTATATTTTGACAAAATTTTCTCATTTAAAAAATTTCTATTTAGTTGAACTTTTTTTTTTTAATAACAGATTCTCTAGTTCATTGAATTTTTATTTTTTTCGAATTAAAATTTGGTAGAATCATCAAATTAGCGAATTTGTCATTTTATTTTTAAATTGTAAACATTCGTATAAAATTAGAAATTCGATTAAATGAATAAATTGTGTTAAATTAAAATTTTCCTTATTAAATTTTTATAGAAATTTAATAATATAAAAAATTATATAAAAATTCAATGAACTAAAAAATCTGATGTATAAAAGTTTAGCTAAATGAAAATTTTGATAATAAATTGAGTTATTATTTATTATAATAATATTGTTTACATGACATATATATTTATTCAGAAATATTGACATTCGCCAGCTTGCGTTTAATATAATTTTTCACTAATGCAATTATTCAGTAATAATTGATAAATTAAATTACAAATTATTTAGATAATATAATTGAAAGTCATATGATAAGAGAGAATAAATAAATTTCTGTAACACTTTATTAGTGCTTTAATTAATCTTGTATATAACACCCAAGAAGAGAAAATACACTTGTAATAACGTCATGTTGATAGAAAAATTTTTAAATGAAACAATTTAAAGTATTTAAAAAATATTTTATAATTCTATTTTTTTTAATAATAATACAAAATTAATAGCAATTTTTTTTTTTTTATTCTTAACAGTAGATTTTTGTACAATTTTTTCGATACTATAAATTGTAAAAATAAATTTAAAGAAAATTTTTAATAATTAATTTTCTTTTAGTTGAAAATTTTCTCTTGAATGATTTATCTAATTTAGAGTCCCTTGTGTTTTTAAACTTTGAAGTTATAATAATATTTATAATATTCTGTTAATATAAAGTGGTTAATGTTATTTTCCTTTTTTTTTATGATTTTAGGAATGTAAATGGTGATGTTTTTGCTGGTTTGAGTCGGACGCAGTACATGAGCCTCGCGGATAATGAAGTGCCATCAGTACCAAGGAAAATTTTATCTCACCTTCCGCTTTTGAGAACTCTCGACCTTAGCAGAAATAGAATCAGTCGCATTGAAGCGGACGACTTTAAGGTATTTTCAGTGTATGTTTTAGATTTCATAACATATATTTAATTCAAAATTTCTTTTAAAATTCTCTATATATATTATATTTTAAATTATTAAACAGAGTAAATTACATTTGCAAAAAGAATATAAAATGCTTGGTCTGTCCTTCTGTCCTAACTTGAAGTTGGCCTTTTCCGATTTCACGTGTTTTTTTGAATTGTAATTTTATGACGTGTCAAATTTTGACAATTCTTTTTCTCATTTTTGCCAAAATTGTATAATTGTGTTTCCAAATTTCGGAATAAGTTTCTTTAAAATTCCAAATTCGAAAATTCAATTCATGAAGCTGAAGTACACAACGTTTACCAATGAAATTTTTTTTAAAGTTGCATATTGATTCAAAAATTGTATACAAATAAAAAAAATTTATGATGAGAAAAAAGATGTGCCAAGAAATTACGTACAAGATAGTAATTTGAAAGAAATTTATTTTTAAAAATTAATTTTTAAGGTACCACGGGCCAACGAATACCTATTAAATATTAATTATAAAAACACATGCCTCGAATCAACTTAAAGACACAAAAAAGTCGTTTTAGTCGATTTATATTCCAAAAAAAGTGGATTTGTTTTTTATTTTAACAAAAATATTTTACAGATTTTTAAATAAAAAAATTTTTTTTTAATAATAATCCTTTTCGAAGGGTTAAAGTTGAAATTTTTAGAAATAATTAAATTTCAAAAGATATTGTTAATTTTCAAACAATTATTAAATTTTACAGAACTAAAAATAATTTATCGAACAATTTTTGAAAAACGTTTTTTAAATTTAATTGAATTTTCAAAGACTTGAAATTGAGATTTTTGAAATTAATTGAAACTTTAAGTGATTTTTAATTAAAATTTTAGATGATTTCACTAAAAATTTATTAAAAAATACGGACAAAATACAATAATTTGAAAATCATTTTTAATTGAAAAATGGTTTCAGATAGTTGAAATTTCAAAGAATATTATTAAAATAGTTAAAAAAAAATTGAATTTCCTTTGAGTTATAATTGAAATTATTAAATTTCAAAAAAAAATTTTCGATGGAAAATTGTAGAAATAATTAAATTTTAGATGCTTTTAAATTCAAATTATTAAAAATTCAATTATAATTTTAAATTCAAATTTTTGAGAACAATGAAATTTTATTTGATTTTAAATTTGGAAAATAATTGAATTTCTGTTCATTTTGAATTGAAAATTTTTGGCAAATAATTGGATTTTAATTGAAATTTTGGATAATTATTGGCTTTTTAATTGATTTTGAATTAAAATTTCGGGTAATAATTGAATTTTAGTTTATTTTGAATTGAAATTTTTTAAAAAATAATTCAATTTTATTGTGATATTTTTTTTAAATTATAAACAATTGTTAAATTTCATAAAAATTTTAATTGAAAAAATAATTTTAATATAATTGAATTTGTGATGTATTTCATTAAAATTATTAAAAATAATTAATTTAGTGAAGAATCATTTTAGTTCAAAATTTGTTAAATAAATGAATTGAAGAAGATCTGAAGAAGATCTACATTTTATACTAAAAAAATGTATTTTATTTACATTTTTTTTCAAATGTAAAAAAAAAATGCCGCATTTTATTAAAATAAGTCGATAAAAGTCGTATTTTTGAAAAAAGTCGGAAAAAAGTCGTATAATCCGAGGCCTGTAAACATATAATTTTTATTATTATCATTTAATATGTAATAATATTCTAATAAATTAAATTATTATTGATAATATTAATCGTTAATTTCTTTATAACAAACAATTAAATACTCCATTTGGTTCGCTTGCGCGCGTTTAATTTTGCTAGTGAATTAATAATAATTTCATAAAATACTGTCAATTATTCATTAAATTTTTGATTTTTCGAAACAAAATTTGTTAAAAATTATATTTTTCAATGAATTCTTTTTTCAAGATAAAAATTTCTTTTATATTTACAAAATTACAAACTCTCCATAATATGAATTTTTGGAAGAAAAAAAAAAAATATTTTTTTTTCTTTAAAATATTAATTTTTATTCTCTAATTGTAAAATATTCATTTTTTTTTTTAAAGAAACAAAATTGTTTTCTTTCTTTAAAATGAAATGAAAAAAATTTTAGACACTTTTTTTAATAATAAATAATTTATGACGATATTCTTTGCTGTAATGAAAATGTTTTTCTGATTTTTAATTACAGTACAATCCTGTGTTACAATTTCTACTTATGGCTGGTAACACTTTATCGGAAATGGTACCTGGCTCATTGCCGCCTTTAATAAAACAGTTACATGTCGGAAGGAATCATCTACAAACGTTGAATCGAACATTAAGGTAATAAATAATATATATATTTGTAAAAATTTCAAGAAACAATTTTATTTATTTCCCAATTTTGTGAAACTACATTATTTTTATTAGTTATTATAATAGCTTATTTAATTTAATTTTTTTTTAAACATTAATTTTTAATTGATAAATATTGTAATTTCAATGAGAAAAGATAACTGAGAAAAAATTCAGGGTGTCCTGCGGAAATTGGAATAATTGAAAAGTCCTTGAATTTTTTTTTTTTTGGACCTTAAAAATCTTGGAAATTCCTTGAATTTTATATTTTCTTGAATAATATTAAAATTTTCTAAAATAATGATATTTTTTAAATTGAGGAAAACAAATTTTTTCACGCTTTTTTTAAAATGATGTTTTAGAATCTCTGGTAAGAGTTTTCAAAAAATTAATATTCTAAAATAATCGGAGCACATAATTATATACCCCATAAAGTTAGAATTTTCAAGAATTATATTTTCTAATTATTTCTTAGACGAATTTTTATTTTTCAAATTTAACAGAATTTCATTTTAAACAAAATTTTCACTTTACACAATTTTTAGGGTAATTTTTATTTGTGAAAATTATTATTTTAGTAAATTTTTATTTTTTTTTATTTGCAATTTTTTTTTTTAAAGATTTCTAATTTTGAATTTTAATTTAGCATTATTCTCATTCAACTGTTAAGTGATTCGAATTTTTAAATGTCTGCGAATTTCCAATTCATCGAATCTTCATTTGTACGAATTGTTATTTGGCAAAATTCTTAAATTGCCGAATTTTCATTTTTCCGATTTTGCAAATTTTCAAACAAAAAAATCAAAAGATTTCTGTCAATTTTTTATTCCGGCTGTTTTTTTAAAAATTAAGAATAAAGAAAAAATTAGGATTCCTCGGAATTCTATCAAATAACAATTCGTACAAACAAAAAAATTCGAATAAATGAAGATTCAATGATTTGGAAATTGGGACATTTAAAAAATGTCAAAAAAATTATCAGTGAAATAAAATATTCGGTAACTAAAAATTATATGTTAAGTAAAAATTTGCCGAAAAAGAAATTCTGTTAAATACTAATTTGAAAAATAAAAATTCGTATAAAAAATAATTATAATAAAATTCTTTAAAAATGAAAATTCGAACTAATTACTTTTTGGGGGATAATTATGCGCCCTAAATAAAATAAAAAAATTAAAATTTTCTTTTTTTTTTAAACACTCAGTGATAAATTAAAAAAATATTTTCCTAATTTCTACGCCAAAAGTGGATCTTAAAAAAAATATAATTTTAAATTTTTGAATGATCTTCAAAATTCCATGATTTTTTTTTTTTTAATCCCATAATGAAATTACTATAAAGACACGCATTAAATATTTTTAAAAAAATGTGTTGAAAATTATTATTATTGTAATTATATTTAATTAAATGGATTTTAATTTTAATTTTTCAGAGATCTTAATCAGCTTGAATTGCTTTTTATAAATTCAAATGAATTAACATATTTGGACGGTGAATTGCCATCGTCGGGACATAATTTAAAAATGCTCTATGCCGCTGACAATAAATTGACTCATTTACCACCTGAATTTCGTTTTCTACATCGACTCGAAACACTTTTTCTTCAACATAATCGAATCAAGAGTCTTGATGGAAACCTTAGTAAAGCAAGACGTTTGAAACTCTTGGAATTATCATACAATAATATTCAAGAGGTGAGTAGTTTTGAATTTTTTTTTTTTTTTACATTCTCACATCACATTTGAGAAAATATTATAAGTTTAAAATTTTTTTGAAATTAATTACACAGAAGCAAAGTAATAATAAATTATTTACAATTTTAAATAAATAAATTTTTTTTTAAAATTCACAAAATTTATTAATTATAAATTAATATTTATGATTAATTAATTATTAATATATACCTAATATATAAAATATATAATATAAATTATATAAAAATATAAAATATATAATTATTTATTATTATAAGTAATTTATTCATTATAAATTAATAATTATTTTTTTTGACAGAATAATGAAAATAGTAATTATTAATAAATAGTTTTATAAATTTAATTATAGTAGAAAAATATTTAATTTTGGAATTGAGGGAAAGGGGGCAAAAGTAAATATAAATAATTATATGTGGCGTTTAAAGATTAAATCCTTGAAATTGAATGCTTATATGTTAAAACGTTTGAGCATGTGTATATATATATATATACTTAACGTGAGGGCGTTGAAGAGCGTGCCGAGCATTAGCGCAATTACCCTGCATAACGCAATTACTGAATGGAGAGTTTCCGTCGCGCGTTTGCGAGGTAAATGCTTATATATTGGATTAGTGACTTATTAAACGACTTCCTCTTTTGACTTATTGACCGATTAATACGCCACTATGACATGCATCGTCACTCCTTGAATTGACGACTAGTTTTATTATTGCTGATTAAAATACAAGTATGTATACCTATAACAACTATGACGATTATGTATGTATCTGTCTTTCTTTTTTTTTCTCTCTCTCTCTCTCTGTCTAAGCTCCGCATACAACGATTTCGGAATTGATCATTAAACCGTTAACTTAATTACTTTAAAGCTCTCAACAACTCTCGTCATAAAAACAAATATCTACGACGCATCTTATTTTTTTCCCTATCACTCTAATTTATTTGTTTGTTTTTTTTTTTTTTTTGCTCGTTTGGGGTGCATGATTATCACATAAAAATAATTATTTCAAATTTTCATTTTGAAGAATTTTTTAGTCGAATTTTCCTTTTTCGAATTAGCATTTGAGATAGAATTTTTTTTTATACTAAATTTTAAATAATAAAATTTTTAGCCACCGAATTTTTTATTTAATCGAATTTTTAAATGACAAAATTTTTATTTGTACGAATTTTTAATTGTTAGAAATTTTAGAACGCCGAATTTTCATTTGTCCGATTAAAAAGTCGACAGAAAGATTTTGGCGTAATTTTCAAAATTGACCAATAACGATTTTCTTGAAATAAAAAGTCATGTGAAGAAAATTACTTGAAAATAAAAAATTCTGCTGAACAAAAATTCGATAGCTAAGAATTTTGTTAAGTAAAAATTCGTAAAAAAAAAAGAAAAAAGAAATTCCATGAAATGCTAATTCGAAAACTGAAAATTAGTCTAAAAAATAATTATTATTTCTAATAAAATTCTAATAAATTATTTTTATGTCCCAAAAAAAGATTTTTTTTTATACTGTAAGTCCAATCTTAGGTTTTTCAATAAAATTTTTAAAATATAAAAATACAAGATATTTTTGAAAAAAATTTATAACTTTAAGACGATATTAAACAAAATGATTATTGTTTTAATACTACAATTGAAAGCCTTGAATTTTGTTTGCAAATTTTAGTTGCCACTCTGAATATTTATTTATTTATTATTATTTATCAGAAAAAAATGTTAATAAATGCAAAATTTTTACTTTAATACGAAAAATTTCTATTTGTATAATTTTCACTTAATTTAATATTATTTATTTGCCTGAAGTTCTAAACGTTTAAATAAACAAAATTATTTATTTGATTTTTAAAAATTGCTAAAGTATAATGAAAAATTAAAAAATTTATTATTATTAATTTATTTTTGGATACAGAAAGCAATATTTTTTATAATAAAATTTAAAATTAAAAAAGTAGTAAATCAATTTTTCGTTTATTTGAACGTTCAGAACTTAATTCGGTACATTATTATTTTTATCGAGTAAAATTTTTATTTGGAAAAATTTTCATATGATTGAACTTTAGTTACGAAATTTTAATTTGAACAGAATTTTAATTAAATAATTTTTATAAATTAACGGAATTTTTCTCTGAATTTTTATTTAAGACAATTTATAACTAAACGGTGGAATTTTAATTGGATTGAAATTTTATACCCATTTATGGTTTATATGTTTATTTAAATATTTAAATAAATAAATAACGACGAATATTCATGGAACAGAATTTTCATTTAATTGAATTTCTATTACACGATTTTATTGTTCACTTGAAAGAAAATTGGGTTAAATGGAAATTGTAATAAATAAAAATTCGGTTCAAGTAATAAATTCTGCCGAATAAAAATTTTGGTAAATTGAAAATTCTGCTAAATGAAAAATAGAAAAAATAAAATATACAAATTATAGTTTGGCTAAATAAGGATTTACTGAATAGAAAGTTGCATTAAAATAATTTTTTTTTTATTAAACTTTAATATTTGTGAATTTTCTTTTATTTAAAATAAAGGTAAAAAGAATTTTAAATCAATGAAATTCCTTCTTTGTCTAAATTTTAATACTAGAATATTTTTTATTTAAAAATAATTTTCTTTGGATATTTTATCTTTTTTTTTTTTTGAAGGAAAATGTAAACGAATTTTTGTGTCCGAGAAAAGAATTTTAAAATTATCATTCAAGAATCCAGTAATCTTGGGGAATTTTGTTTTTTTTTTCTCTAAAATATATAGTTGTATGGACATAAAAAAAATCTGGAAATCACGTTGTATATTATGTAGTACTTATTTTTCATTTTTAAAAAGAAGTGTTATATATATGTATTTTTTTTTTTTTTCTAAAGCTGACAGATGAGGACTTTGTCGAAGTGGAAAATCTAGAGAATCTTGAGTTGGGTCACAATTCATTGAAATCATTGGGTGGTGATGGCAATGAAAGTGGAGATGGCGGTGGACACAGTGCCCTTTATCCATTGAGATCTTTGAGATCTTTAAATTTGACGCACAATGAATTACGTAAATTTTCGTTCGCTTCTTTGCGCGGATTACGAGAACTCCGTTTACTTGATCTATCCAACAATAAAATCGACAGATTACTACGAGGGAAGCCATCAGAGGTTCGTTACTTCTTTTTTTTTTTTTTTCTTATATATATTCAATTTTTCTTTATATGCGTTTATTTAAAAAGATTAAATTATTATAAGTAATATTATTGCAATATAACAATAATTATAGTGAGAAATTAATTATTTACTAATTTTATTTAATATAAAAATATTCATCATTTTTAGAATACGAAAATATAATTCTCAACCTTTCGAAATGTATAAAGGACAAATTTCTATTTAGTGGAGTTATTTTATTATTTGTTCGCCACAAATAAAATTTTATTTCGCGAAAATAAAATTTTCATTTAAACTAGAAAATTTTTTTACTTGAATCAAATAAAAATTTTATTTAGCGCAAATAAAAATTTATTTCTCTCAATACTGAAACAAATTTTGTTACACGGATGTAAAAATTCTGTTAACTGAAGATTCGATGAAATAGCAAAAAAAAAAAAAAATTCGTTCCCACGCCGTGTATAATTTTGTGAAAATAAAAAAAAAACAAAAACAAAGAAAACCATTTTAACTTGTTTTGCACATTTGAAGAGGTGCGATTTCATTTTACACCGAGAAGAGAGAAAGGTTGAGAAATTTTTGTCCATGAATTATATAGTATAAGTTTTGCGCACTTTTATTATTATATTCGCAAAGTAAGTGCGGTGAGATGTTGTTGTTGTTGTTATGATTCACTATATAGTAAATATACAACAACATAGTTTACCTGACATTAAAAGGAGAGGGCTTACAATTCTTTTGCAGAATCTTGTTGAAGAAGAAGGCGACGAGACGGCTGGCGCCAGTATCCAGGATATGAGATTACAGCATAACGAGCTGCGAAGCCTCGAAGGCTCGTTATTTGTTGGTATGAAGGAATTACAGAGACTGAACCTCAGCCACAATGCACTCGGACCAACGATCGGACCTCATGACTTACGTGGCTTGGAAGGTCTTCGAGTCCTTGATCTTTCTCACAACGAACTTATCACCCTCGAAGACACTTCCGAGGTAACAATAATAAATATCAATATTCTAATTAATATTTATAATTACTGTTTTTCGATTTTTCAACGTTTATCACAATTATTGCAATTTTTTTTTTTTTTTTTTCACAAAATTGTGTGCCTGAAATTCTCAACTGAATTATTTTCAATTTACTACTACTTTGAATTTTAAATTTTATAATAAATTATTGATTTTTTTTTTATCAAAAATTTATTTATTTATTTTATCGCTGAATGTATAGATACAATATAGAATTTATTTGTTATTTATAATGTTGCGAACATTGAATCGAATTTAAAAGATTAGAAATTTTTTTTTTTTTTAAAACAGTGACTTGATTCTTTTTCAGTTTTTACTGTATGCGATTATAATTTTTAAATGACAGAAAAATAGCGTTGGAGAAAATTCACAATGTTTTATAATCAATGATTAAAAATAAAAAAAAAAAAGAATATATTTTTTACAAGAAAAATAATAAAATAGCTTCTTACCTTGGGAAAATTTTTTTTCTTTTAAAAATTAGGTTTGATCAAGAAACAGTTTTGTAAAAATATTTTTTATACAAAAAATTATAATAATTTGCGTAGAAGAATATTTTTTTTCCCCTTTAAAAATATTTCAGTCATCGAACTAAATAAATTGAAAAAAAAGTACATAATTTTTAAATTAGTACGTAAAAGTACTAAGTAAATAAATAGAGGCAAGAAATTTTAGTACCACGTAAATATTGATAATTAATTTTTTTATTTTTTTATTACGTAAAATACCTGATTTTTAATATGTCGAAAACACTTTGAGGGTTGATTTTTTTTTCTTTTATAATATTTTTTCTTCGTTGATTATAAATATCGTGAATTTCGTTAATCTGCGAAAAATAGTGGTGAATTTTTCTTTTAAAAATGAAAATTTTCTTTTTTTTTTCAAATACAGACGTGGCTTCCATTATTAGAAGAATTGAATGCATCACATAATCGGCTAGTCACACTATCGGATCGTGACTTCCAGGGATTCCCTGGTTTATGTTGGGCTGATGTTAGTGCAAATCAAATACGTTCTTTAATACCGGAACTTGTCGCTAATACAAGATGTACAGTTCATGGAGTACCTGATGTTCTTCGTATTTATTTACAAGGTAAAAAATGAAAATTTTCTTTTCTTTGCAAAATTTTTTATTTTTTATTCATTGTATTACAAATATATGAATTTTTTTGATATGAACTATAAATTATAATTTATATTTTTTAATCGAAGTGACACACTTTTTTTTACTTTTTTTGATACTTTTTTTCGACAAAGTTACTTTTTTACTACTAATTTTGTCCAAAAGCTACTAAATGCTATTTTTTCAAAACATAATTTTAAAAATGACAGTATTCAAGAATTTTAAATTTTAGTGAATTTTTTTATTCCTAAAAGCTCGACAAGATTTATTATTGGTCGCGTGAACTACTGCTTTATATATCATTATTTTTTACACGAATTTTCATTTTTCAAAATAGCATTTCATATAATTTCTTTTTAAACGACCTTTTACTCAATAGAATTTTTAATTTGATAAATTTTTTTTTGACAGAATTTTTATTTTACAAAATTTCTCTTTACTTAACCGTTTTTTTTTTTTTTTAAATAATTCTAATTTAGCCGAAATTCAGATAAGAATTGAATTTAGAGTATTTTGAATTGTAAAATGTTTTAAATAATTGAAATGCCAAGATTTTGATTAAAGTTATTAGAAATAATTATTTCAACAACAAAATTTGAATCAAAATTTTTAATAATAATTGACTTTCAAGAGATTTTGAATTAAAATTTTTGTAAATTAAAATTGCTGAAAATTATTAACAAAGTTTCAAAGAGTAATTGAATTTTAGAGAATTTTTAATTAAAAAATTTTTTATTTAATTGAATTTTTGAATAATTGGATTGAAATTATTAATTTACTCTCTCAATCTAAATTAGTAGTTTTCTACTAATGAAAGAGTGCGTATTCGTTTACCAATTGAATTAGTACAGTTTTGACTAATTTGTAGTAAAAAACTACTAATTGCTAGCAGAAAACTACTAATTCATGGAGTAAGTCGTATTCATTACTATTTCAAATTAGTAAGCCGATTTACTCCATTAATTTACTAGTTTTCTACTAGCAATTAGTTTTTTTTTACTAAAAATTAGTCAAAACTGTTACTAATTCAGTTGGTAAACGAATTAGTAGTTTTTCACTAAAAATCAGTCAAAACTGTTACTAATTCAATTGGTAAACGAATTAGTAGTTTTTTACTAAAAATCAGTCAAAACTGTTACTAATTCAATTTGTTAAGCGAATACGCACTCTTTCATTAGAAGAAAACTACGAATTCAGATTTAGAGAGTAGCAAAGAATTTTAGATACAAATTTTAAAAATAATTGAATTTTGGATTAAAATTTTTAGAAATAATTGAATTTTTGGAGATTTTTAATTAAAATTATTGTTTTAAAAATATACTTTAAATATTTTATATAAACTTCCGATTCCAAGTTCTAGAATTTAAAAATTCGAATTACTTAAAATTCTACTGAATGAGAATTGTAATAAATTAAAAATAGATTAAATTAGAATTCTTCTCATGAAACAATTGGATAAAGAGAAATTTTGTAAAATAAAAATTCGGTACTTTGAAAATTCCGTTGAGTAAACATTCGTTAAAAAAAAAAATTCTCTATTAAATGCTATTTTGTAAAATAAAAATTTATTTGAAAAATTATTTTAATGGAATAATCATACGCTCCTAACGTTGTGTCAAAAATAAAAAGTTTATCGAAATTTAACAATAGATAGTTTTTGTTTTAAATAATCAGGAGAAAAATAATGTTAATTTTATTCCTCAGAATTTTTCTTTTAATTTTTTTTAGGCAAAATTTTTAAACTTTAAATTAGAAAACTAATTTTACTTCATTTTAAAGATGACACTTTTTTGATACTTTTTTCAATTTTGGGGATAATTTTTTTTAAAAAAAAATTATACTTTTTCACATTTTTCTTAGTCTCTTACTAAGCTTGGAAGCTTCTTAATACAAATACACTATTTTTCTAAATATTATTTAAAAAATTTTTTTTTTATTATTTTTGTTATTTTATTATTATTATTTTGTTATTATTCTTCTTATTTTTTATTATTATTATTATTATTATTATTATTATTAATTTACGGATCATAATTGATATAAACAAACGTTTTATTCGCGTTTATAATTTATGAAATGCCGTTTTATGAGTCAAGGTTTTCTCGGATCAACTGAAATCATTGATCCAGTTAAATCGTTGACAAAAGTCAGCAGTTGATTTATTTAATGTTTTTATTATGCGACAGCTTGAAAGAAAATTTAATATCTGTTGTTTTACAAAGAGGAAAAGGAATAGTTATTATATTTATCGTATGACAACCTTGAATGTTTAAGGTTTCAATATTTTATTAACAATCGTAGAATTAAAAAAATTTTCTTTTAATTTTCAAGTGCATAATAATAATTCATTAAATTCTATATGAGTCATTGAAAAAAAAATCATTTTTTAACAGTTACATAAAAAAAATCTTGTTTCAATTTTTTTTTCTTTTTATTTCTATTTCAGTTTTTTTTATTTACATTTTTTTTTTTAAATTAATTTATTTTGTTAATTTAAAACATTTTTTTCAAAATTTAATTTCAATGGTTTAATTAAATACATTAATTTATTATCTTCAATAACGGTAAAATTTAAAAGTATTTATAAATTGTCTACACAAGATTTATTTCTAGTAGCTATGACCTTTCGCATCATTTACATTGTTTTTTTTTCTTTTTTTTTTTTTTTTTGTTAGCAAAGAAAGTTTTCAGTTATTTCAACGAACACTCGATGATTACTATTTATTAATCGACGCTGTCAATTGACTTCGTACTTTAGGTCACGTGGAGTAAACGAGCATTTATATGTCCATTGATTATTATTTGTGATAATAATTGAATGACTAGGTTCATAAACTTTTTCCGCACGGATTTTTTCATTCAAATTGTTTGAATATATTTTTTCCAATTAACTCGATCACGTTTCGTTAATAAACCTCAATAAAAAAAAATAATAATAATAATTTATAATATTTCTTTTTGGAAATTATTCTTATTACTTTTTTATTTTTAATTAATCAAGATTTTATGTAATTTGTTTTTTTTCTGTCTCCCTAAAAAAAGAAAAAGAAAAAAAAATTGATCAAGTATATAGTTATTGATTGTCGTGACTTTTTGAATAATAATTAAAATTAATCTGTTCATTCGTAACTCACATGATCTGTGTTTGGGTTCTTCTCGCGCGTTTTCAACAAGCCGTATAAATACATCGATACGCGCACATTTTACTTACACGCCGCGCAATAAATTAATAAACAAGTTAGAAAGACGAAGAAGAAAATTATGATGATGATGATAATGAAAAAGAAGATGAAGAAGAAGAAGAAGAAGAAGAGACTATATAGAAAAGCGGAGTCGGGAGCTAGACGGGTCGAATAAATTACTTGTTGATAAAACGCCCAAGTAAATTCTGCGCTTGTTGAAAAGAGAACGTATTATTATTTGTTACATGGCGTGCGATAACCCGCAATCAAGACGCCAACGTTTCCAACATTTTATTAGTCTTGTCTAGGGTATATGTCGCGTGGTGTCGTCTCATTTATTATGCTTATTTGTCAACAAAATTATGCCTTCGTTTTTTTTTTTTTTTAATTTTTTTCACCTTTTTTTCGTCTAATTAGCAAATTTTTCTTTGATTTTTCAATTTTTTTTTAAATTTCGAGTTTTTTGAAAACATTTTTTAAAGAGAAAATTTTTGTATATTTATATTTCAAATTTAAAGCAAAATTTTAAATACTGTAAATTATTTGATTTACTATTGAAGATAATTTCGAAATTATTTGATTGAACGATGCTAATTTTTCGTATATTTCGTTTTTTTAAAAATTTTTTAAAGAAAATTTTTGTATTTTTATATTTCAAATGAAAAGCAAAATTCAAAATACTATCAATTATTTGATTAAATTAATTTTTAAAAATATTTTCAATTATTTCATTGTAGAATAATAGAAAATTTCAATTTTTTTTTTTGTTTATTTGGAGATAATTTTCAATTATTCGAACGAGTTATTGTAATTATTATTTCGATTATTATTATTATTATTATTATTATTAATAATAAAATTAATAATTAATTAATAATTATTAATTATTATTAATATTGAAGATATTTTCAATTATTTAATTGAAGCTATTTTCAAATAATTTAGATGAAATATTTGAAGATGATTTCAATTCTTTTATTCATTATTTGGAGTTTACTTTCAATTATTTTATTTATTATTTGGAGGGATAATTTCAATTTTTTGATAGAGTACCTAATTGAATTTTTTTTTCAAATATTAAATTATTTAGTTAAGAAAATTGAAGATATTTTCTCTAATTAGATGTAATATTTTTTTATTTATTTATTATTCGGAGATAATTTTTAAATATCTGATTAAATTATAATTAAAGATATTTTAAATATTATTTAAATTATATATTTGAAGATAATTTTTAATTATTTGATTGAATAGGTAATTAAATACAATTTCAATTTGATTAAATAATTGAAAATATTTTGAACAATTGGATTAAATGTTCAAAGATATTAATAATAATAATAATAATAATAATAATAATAATTTATTTGATTGTATCTTTTCACCTTCCTTAATTACCAACAAATATTTTACGCATATTCAAAGATAATTATTTAATTAAATAATTGAAGGAAAATTTGCTTTTTGTAATACGTATAAAAGATAATTTGAATTAATTTTTTTATTAAAAAAAAATAAACTTTATATGAACTTTATAAAAATGTGATTAAATCAATTTTATTTTTTACGGCTTATTTAATTATATTAATGGAATAATTGAGGAAAATTTACAAAGCTGAAGTACGCAACGTTTATGATAAACGATTTTTAAAGAAATAATTTTTTAAAATGAAAAATTCTATAATTTTTTTGTCTAAAAAATACTTTTATAAAATTTGTTGATTAATAAAAATTACAAGAAATATTTTTTAGGCGAAAAATTATACTAATTTTTTATTATATTATAATTATTTTTCATTTAAAAAAATTATTTCTTTAAAAATCGTTTATCATAAACGTTGCGTACTTCAGCTTCATGAAAATTTTACTTTTTGCATGTATAAAGAAATAATTTGAATATTTTTTTTTCTTTCAATTAAACTTTATAAAAATGCGATAAAATTGATTTTTGCGGTTTAAAGTTGATCCTTCTTTTTAAATTCTTACTTTTTTTTCTACTAAAAATTCATTTATACAATTTTTTTCTAGAAAAAAAATTTATTAATTATTTTTCGAAAATAATAAAAATTTGTAAATTGTTTTAAGGAGAAAAATGTTTTTAAAAATATCTTTTTTTTGCTTTTGTTTTTTTTTTTTTTGATTATTTCTTGTTTTTTTCACGCAGACAATCCAGTTTTGTGCGATGCTGGTTTGGCCGATTTGACAGTGGCCCTGGAGGTAAATCATGCAAAAGTTTATGGCGTTGCAAATGATTGTCCAACAACGCAGACGATAACGACGTCGACCTTGCCACCGTTGCCACCAACACTTTTTTTGGCGGCTGCAGCTGCCGCTTCCGGTGGTAATGTTTCATTTGCAGCAACCCTCGAGTAACAATTAATGGGGAAATTGTTATTTAACGCGAAGGAATTCGCCAGAAAGAAGAAATAAAAAAAAATAAAAAAGTTTTTTTTTTTTTTAGAGGGCGAAGCTCTTTATAGGGATGATACCCAGACCCTCATGAAAAGGAAAGAAAGAAAAATCATTACTCGTTTTTTTAAAAAAAAAAAAAAGATTTACTCTATAATATCAAGAGAGACTTTTTTTTTTAGATATTTGACTCGAGTTTTTTTTTTCTTTTCTTTTCAAAACGCAGTCTTCTTTTATTGTATGAGAGTAAAAAAAAAAAAAGAAAAATGATTCTTTTTTTCCAAAACTTGTTCTTTAATAATAAATTAATAATTTGAGAAACTTGCGCTGAAAAATTATCAAAAATTTTTAAAACTGAAATAGTATCTAAAAAAAAATTAAGAAACAATAATTCTAAATTAATGTGGAAAAATAAATTTTCAAAAAATCGTATTTTTTAAAATTTTGTGTTTTTTTACACCAGAGAAAATAATTTCGCTGACAATATTCTTTTTTTATATTTTCAGTGCTTCTTTTTCATATTAGAAAAGTGTGAGTGTATTTTATAAAAGAATTACTATATGTATATTTAAAATGAAGTATATATATATATATTTAAAAAAAAGTGTGTATGTAGCTAAAAAAAAAAGGAGAGGAATATTGTTGAGATCTTGAAACTGCGTTACGAACTTTGGGACCATGTTAAAAAAAAAAAAAAAAAACATTTCATCCGTCTGAAATTGTCGATGATGTTTTTTCAGATAAATCTTTCGAAAGACTAATTTGAAATTAATATGGAAAAAAGTTATTTAGTTTTATTATTATTATAAATATGATTATGATCCTAGTTGATCTGAAAATCGCACTGAAATCAAAAAAAAAAATATTATACATTAGCTAAATTTTTAATTTAGCAGTTAATAATCACAATTAATATTAAAATTAATTGAACAGATGATAATTTCAAGAATCATTAACAGTTGTTGATTAGAGTGTTGCAATATTAGCAATTAGTTTTTTATTTTTTTTTTTTTTTTGTTCTTATATGCCACGAGTAATATATATTTTTCCGTGTGATCAAATTAAGTTATAATGACGAAATTCCAAAAGCAAATATTCAAATACAGTAATATTTCTTCTTCTTATATTGTATTGTAAAATGTTATCTTTAAGTATTTTATATTTGAATTTTTTTTTTAGAATTTTCCGAATATTTCATTGTAGAGCCAAAAAAAAAATTTTCCAATATTTTTTTGATATCTATTTTGAAATAAACCATTGATTTTTTTTTTGTATTTATGATTTAGAGTAAAATTTGACGGCTTCACGAAGGTGTACGTAGAAGGATATTTTTGTCATTACAGTTGAAGGCTAAAATTGTGCAGTGCAAGGCACATTGTGCTCGGAAAATATAAAATATGAAACGTTGCAAAATCCACGTTTCTAAGAATGATGAAGTATATATGTACATTTTAATGTAAATTTATTATAATTATTAATTTAACAATAAAAGCCATATTTTTAATAATCAACTGTATCTTCACTACTTAACACTACCGAATATGTATTTCATTGTTTTATATATAATTTATTTATCTTTATATATTTATACACAAATAATTGAAAATAAAAAACGTCGTCCTTCGAAAACGAAAAAAAAACAAACGATTCTTCATAAAAAATCAAAATTAAATTTCGTATCAAAGTTCTTTTGTAGTATAGTTAAACAAAAATTGTTAAATAGAAATTCAATCAAAAATTGTCCAAAAATATGTAATAAAAATTAAAACATTTCAATAAACATAAAAAAATACTAAATAAAACTTGTAAAAAATTAAGTTTTTGGTTTTCAAAAAAAAAAAATAGAAATTCTTTTTTTTGTGTATAAAAATTCAAAAAAAAAAATTTTATTTTTTCATCGCTTATATTTTCCAGCGAATAATACCATTGTTATTACATAAAGCTTTAACGAGTTATAATATTGTAAATAGAATTATTATTATGACAATAAAAATTTTTAAAAATTTCTAAAGTACGTCTCATTGAAGAAGTGAAAACAAAACGTATACGTTCTAAAAATTATGAAATAAGATATAAAGATTTTCGATAAAAATGTAAATGTTCTTAAATATATATATAAGTGACAATAAAATTTCCATATTATAAGCTGCGAGAGAAGAGAGTTTTTCGATATATATGAGTAATTAATTACATTTCACGAAGATCGAGAAGACAAACGACCAGGTCAATAAATGTGAATGAAATCTGTTTGAGTTACGTTAGCGTTTGCAATAGACTAATTGAGAGTGGGCGATTAATTGACCTTTTATTAACTCGTGCCAATAGGGACGAATTGTTATCAACGTACGTTGTGCATACATAATAAGATTGGCCCTTTTCACGTAAGTAGATATTGCTAATTTTCAATAGACAACTTATGACAATACGAATAAATAGTTGAACAACTTTGTTTTTATCATTTTTCGTTTTTTCTTAGAAATTTTTTTTTTTAAAATGTTATTTTTATTTTAAAAAAAAATTTCCCTCTATTTCGAGAAAAATTGTTCTTTTAATTAGATAATTTTTGAAAATTATGAAACTTCGCAGGAATGATTTCGAAGGCCATAAGAGATCAAGAAATGAACAATTTTAATAAAAATATTTATTATTTACTCAGGGTGGCCTACCAATCGGGAGAAAGCCGGGACTGAAAAATTAATCCGTGAGATTTTATGGGTTTTGTAATTCACGCAATTATTCGAAAATTGTTCAACTTTTAACCATCTAAAATTTCGTGTTAATTATGTAAAATATATATGAGCAATTCCACGTGAGATTGAAGGGTCTATCCTCAGATTCCTTCTATATACTACGTCTAATCTAATTCTGTGTCAAAAAAAGAATATTAAGTATTACTAAAAATCGAAAATTATATAATAATAAAATGCTTGGTCTGTCCTTCTGTCCTAACTTGAAGTTGACCTCTTCTGATTTCACGTGTTTTTTTGCATAGTAATCTTATGACGTGTCAAATTTTGACAATTCTTTTTCTCATTTTTGCCAAAGTTGTATAATTGTGTTTCCAAATTTCGGAATAAGTTTCTTTAAAATTCCAAATTCGAAAATTTAATTCACGAAGCTGAAGTACACAACGCTTACCAACGAAATTTTTTTTAAAGTTGTATATTCATTCAAAAATTGTATACAAATACAAAAAATTTAGGATGAGAAAAAAGATGCGCCAGGAAATTTCGTACAAGATAGTAATTTGAAAAAAATTTATTTTTAAAAATTAATTTTTAAGGTACCAAGGGCATACGAATACCTATTAAATATTAATTATAAAAACACAGGCCTCGAATCAACTTAAAGACACAAAAAGTCGTTTTAGTCGATTTATATTCCAAAAAAAAGTGGATTTGTTTTTTATTTTAACAAAAATATTTTACAGTTTTTTAAATAAAAAATTTTTTTTTTAATAATCCTTTTCGAAGGGTTAAAGTTGAAATTTTTAGAAATAATTAAATTTCAAGATATTGTTAATTTTCAAACAATTATTAAATTTAACAGAATAAAAATAATTAATCAAACAATTTTTTGAAAACATTTTTAAAATTTAATTGAATTTTCAAAGACTTGAAATTGAGATTTTTGAAATTAATTGAAACTTTAAATGATTTTTAATTAAAATTTTAGATGTAAAAATTTATTAGAAAATGCGGACAAAATACAATAATTTGAAAATCATTTTTAATTGAAAAATGGTTTCAGATAGTTGAATTTTCGAAGAATATTATTAAAATAGTTAAAAATAATTGAATTTCCTTAGAGTTATAATTGAAATGATTAAATTTCAAAAAAAAAAAAATTTTCGATGGAAAATTTTAGAAATAATTAAATTTTAGATGCTTTTAAATTCAAATTATTGAAAATTCAATTAATTTTGAATTCAAATTTTTGAGAATAATGAAATTATATTTGATTTTGAGTTGAAAATTTTTGGGAAATAATTGAATTTTAATTGAAATTTTGGATAATAATTTAATTGAAGTTCATTTTTTATTGAAAATTTGGATAATTAATTTTGAATAGAAATTTTAGAAAATAATTGAATTTTATTTAATTTTAAATTGAAAACTTGGTAAATAATTAAATTTTAAATTGAAAATTTTGGATAATTATTGGATTTTTAATTGATTTTGAATTAAAATTTCGGGTAATAATTGAATTTTAGTTTATTTTGAATTGAAATTTTTAAAAAATAATTCAATTTTATTGTGATATTTTTTTTTAAATTATAAACAATTGCTAAATTTCATAAAAATTTTAATTGGAAAATAATTTTGATATAATTGAATTTGTGATGTATTTCATTAAAATTATTAAAAATAATTAATTTAGTGAAGAATTAATTATAAAATGTTATTTAGAGAAAGACTGAAAAATACCGTTCCGAGAAGGTAGGAAACCCCCGCTAAGTAAACGGAGCCCGATAATAAGTTTAAAAATTAAAAATAAATTTTATTTTTTAAATAAATAAATAAATTAAAAAATTTTAATTTTTCAACATTAATTTTTTTTTCTTAAACTTCAATATTTTCTGAGCAAAAAACGTTTAGGAAACTTTTTTCTAGGTTTAAAAGTGAAAAAGTTTATGAGTAATTGAAAAAAAAGTTGCACTAATTTTTTTTAATGCAAATATCTCGAAAAATAATAAATATTTTTTTGAAAATTTTATTTACTCAATTAGACCCATAATCTCTACCCAAAAACGTAGTATAGAAGGAATCGGAGGATAAACCCCTCAATTGCACGTGGAATTGCTCATATACCATCAACAAAAATTAGCTATTTTTATTTCTCACAATACAAAATTTTTTAATTCTACACTCAAAGAAAATATATAACAAAATTTCGTAAATACTTTTCAATTTAGGGAAAATGTGTCGAACTGAAAAAAAATGATATAAAATATATTAAATCTCAGTAAAAATTTTGTATAATTACTGTAAATTATATTGCAGTTCGTAAATATTTACTAAAATTTGAAATACATTTCTTAAAGACTGAAAAATATTTTCACAAGTATATTATTTTTTGTATCAATATTACCCATTTTTACATGTTTTCCCTAAATTGAAAAATGTTTACTAAAATGTCTACTATACTTAATAAAATTTGTTATATTTTATTTCAATGTACTTCATAAAACTTAAATTTTAAATAAATTTTCATAGAGTGCTTTTGGTGTTCATTATTTTTTACAATTGCATATTACATAAATATAATAGATTTGTGTACAGAAAAAATGTATTTTAAAACCGGGAGAAATCTCTAATTTCTACCGGGATTAAACCGGGAGGCAAAAATTCTAAAAATAGTGGCCACCCTGATTACTTTACCAGCATGTAATTGTTAGGTCACGGATTGAAAATTACAAATACAAAAATTATAAAATATCGACGTCTCTTGTTTCTAAGATCGTATTTCAATTGTCAAAATAATAAAATCCTGTTTGGAGCTCAATTCAATATAATCGTACAAAAATTTCCGTGTAATATAATTGTATATCTTAAATTAAATTTGAATTCACGTAAAAAATAAAGGAAAAATTTGTTTGTAATATTGTTTCATACTTTTTAATGATTAATTAATGATTTATAATTATTAATAAAATAGAAAAATAAAGATATTAATAAATTGAAAGTAATACAAAATTTAAAGATATTTTTTTATTTATGATTTAATTATTTTTTTTATTTGTTTCATTTCATTTCATTTCATTTATTAACGGGACATGCCCTTTCGTACAAAAGTACTCCTAAATTCTAATAGTTACGTAAGTAACAATACAAAATATAAAATATTAACTAAATCTAGGTAGGCGCTATAATGGTTAAAGTTCAGTATAAGTTTATACAGTAAAGAATAACATAAATCAAATCAAAGGAGAAGATTAATTTTGATAAATTGAATCTGCTTTACCATTATATCAATTAATTTAAAAAATTTGTATTTCTATTTTATTACTAATTATTAATTAATAAATTTTTAAGAAGTATAAAATAATATCACAAACGAATTTATACTTTTTTTTACGTCAATTCAAATTTAATTCATAAAGTAATTGCAATTAATTTTTAGATTTTCTTTGCACTTTTCTTTTCTTTTTTCTTCATAAATTATATAAAAAAAAAAAAATTTGAAAAATAAAATCGCCACTTTGTTGATTTCTGCTATATTTAAATATCAATAACTTCTTTCTCAGTAGAATCAAAAAATATGAGATTTTGGGAATATTTGGATACAAACATATCAAAATTTTTGCGTTGGTTTTCAAGATAAATAAAATTTTTTCTTTTTTCTTGTTATTTCGAGAAATTTAAACAAATGACATTTCTCACCTAAAGTTAACTTCATTTTAAAAATTTTTTTTATAAATTATTTATATTTGAATGTATTTTCGATTTAAGACGTTTTGTTTGTGATTAAAGTTTATTATAATTAGGGAATTTAAAGGTTTTGGTTATTTTTTTTTCAATATAAAAAAATTTTAAATAACAAATCATCTAAGTTAGGCCAAAATATTTTTAAAATTCAAAATTCTTTGATAATAATTTTTTTTTATTCAATTCAACTTTGACAAATCGATTCGTAATTTCCTTAATATTTTAAATCTGTGTTTATCTCAATTTTTTTTGAAAAATGGATTTATCAAGTTTTGAAAAATTGCTTCTCAAATATTGTTTTTTTTTTACATTCGATGTTTTTAATTTTGTTTCTTTAATTATTTATAATTTTTCTTTCATTGCTTTTTTTAAATTGATATTTTTTACCTAAAATTTATTTTCCAATTTGCTAAAAATTTTAATCATATTTATTTATTTATTTTATTTAATAAATTATTAATTAATTTGAAGATCATTTTAATTTATAAAAAAAGTATTCCCCTGTATAAAAAATAATTATCGTGGTTTTTTTAAAAAAAGTGTTTTACTATGTACAATAATAATTGGCAAATATTTTTCGTATTTGACATAAAAAGGCAGTGATGTCATTAACTTTTGAATTGATGGAAAAATTGATATTCAGTTGTTTTTGATGTTCAACTTTTAATTCAGGTTCAATTTTCTTTACTGGAAAAAAGAAGAAAAAATGTTATGAATTTGAAAAAAAAAAAAAAATTGAAAAAGAAATAAATTACAGTAGAAATTAAAGAATTTTTCAAACCTTTCCAAATTTTATCATCACGTGAAAGATGAACACAATATTTATCATCGTATTTTTTGTAGAAAAATGTTACTGTTATATCTTCATTATCAAGATGAAAATCACCCCTTATTCGCATATCTAATTTCTCCTTATAAATGAAACATCCTCTTTTTAATGCTTCCCAATCTTTTTTCTTTTCCTCTTTTTTGTCCTCCAATTCTATATATTTAAAAAGAAATTAATATATAACTTTATTTAAAAAAATAAATAAAAAAAAATGAAAATTTTTAGTAGGGTCAGCCGGGGTAAATCCGAACGGGGGGTAAATCCGAACGCTAATTATTTCAGCTTAATTAAAAATTTTAAAAATAAGTTCGATATGAGAATTTTTACCTCAGATCCTCTTCAAGAGATTCTAAGTATTATCCCATTTTTCGTTTGTTAATTAGCAACAGCATAAACAAAGATAACGAGTATTGCAAAAAAGATTGAAAATCAAAGAAGACACTCTTTCAGTATTTTGTCTCGTATTTGAAGAAAAAGAAGCTAAAAATTCATTTTATTATTTATAATTGTTTGTTATGAATACTAGAACAGAAACTATATTTGATTTTTGCCTTCTGTAAAATTTTATTAATAATATCAGACCGTTCGTATTTACCCAAGAAAATTGGAAAACTGGGGTAAATCCGAACGGTATTTTTAATAATTTTTTTTTACATCAAAGCCACACAAAATTGTTTTTATTTGATTACACTATTATTTTAACATTATAAAAGTACATAGAAAAAAGTTTTTCTTTCTATACGTATCCTCGTTAGTAATTAATAAGCAGAAACTTAATCTCTGTTCTCTCGAAGGAGTGTTTCAATTTTTTTGCCAAATGGTTTGTTGAAAAAAGTTTTTCAGGATCTTAATAAAATTTGGTATTCTACGGTTTTTGGGGTCGCTAATTACCAATTTGAAGTCAGTTTTTCAAAATTCAAAATGGCGGACGAGAATTAAAAAATTCATTGGATTCGCTCGAAAATTGTTACTCGGGGGGTTTCAGGGTTAGCAAATTTGATCATTTTTAAAAATAAGTTTTAGGAAAGTACGTCATTTTGAATTTAAAAAATTTGACTTTTATTTTTGTATTTACATTCAATCACTCCAAAATACTTTCTGTACCAAGTTTTGCAAAAATCCGTTATGATTTGATAAAGTTATTGAAGGTTTTAATTGTGTAATGCATTTTAATTTTTAACCTGTTTGATTTTTGTATTTATATATGATGCATTATTACATAATAGGTTTATTATCGTATTTTTTTGAGTTTTTATATGAGTTTAACAATTGCAATACTTTAAATTTATTTTCCCTAATATTTTTCTGAAATACAGTGGCGTTCGTATTTACCCCCATATTTTAGGAAAGTTGCAAAGTATCGAGGTAAATACGAACGCTAAGTTTCCTGCGATTGTAATTTATCAAAAATTTTTGCTACCCCATAAAATTGTTCTATGGAAGTAAAGTAACAACTTCATGCACCAGAATACCGGAAGTATTTTTTTTTTAAAGAAAAAACTTATGTTATTGTTGAAACTTACTAAAAGCGTTCGGATTTACCCCGATTGACCCTATATAAAATAAATGAAAATATTTTGAGAAATTAAAAAAAAAAAAAACAATTCTAATGAAATACTTGCCCTTTTCTTTTGCCATTACTTGAAGAGCTAGAAATTCCCTATCTGTTTTTAATTCCTCTTTTTTTTCTTTAAACATATCTCTGAGATTAATAGCACTAGATATTTCATTGTCCAAACGTTTTTTGTTTAAAGTCGTTGCATCCAAATTTTTTTCGCTATTTATAGTTTGAGAGTTTACTTCATTTACAGCATTTTTAAAATCAGCAGTGTGTTTAATAAATTCTGTAAATTAAATAAATTTTTCTTATGGTAAATTCCAAAAAAAAGAAATTTTGATACGTTTTTTGTTTAAAAAAAAAAAAAAACATTTTATAATACCAACAAAGAAAATAGAATTATTCTATATAATAATTATTTACCTTTTTCAAAATATAAATGTCTTTCTTGTTTTTCTACAAGATAGGAATTAATTGTTGAACCGGCTGATGATAATTTTTCATATAACGCTTTTGCAACATCGACTTGTCCTTCTAAAATACTTTTGACGTCGAATTTACTTGAGTCAATTAATTCTTCCATCTTATATATATAAAAAAAAAATAAATATAGTTTTTTTAAAAACTGATTTAACTAATAAAGAAATAAATAAATTGTGAAACTTCAAATCAACAAACAAAAGTAAACATAACCTTCAAATTTCGTCCGATAATTGTTGTTATTGTTTAAGATATTCATTTATTTTAAAAAAATAAATGAAATAAAAATGAATAAAATTAAAATGAGTTAATAATTACTTCAGCCAAAATTTGTTAATTCTTAAAAAAAATACGTTTAATTTTGTTAAAATCTCGCGAAATCATTAAATTTAGTACAACAATAAAAAAAATGATAAATTTGTATTTGCACAGTATTTCAAAATACTTTAATTTACTGTTAAATACTGAAAACACATTTTTAAATACTTTAATTCTTCTTTAAATACTAAAAAATTATAAATATTTAAAATTAGTATTCTTTTCAAACAAAATAAACATTGACATAACAAATAAACAGTGTATATAATTGGTACACACATTATGTATAAATATATTTCATTGATACTTACGTTAATTACTTTCATGTTTATACTTTAAAAAAAAACAATGTTACAATTATAAAATCAATTAAAATACATTTTATTATACAATTTAAAGTTAAATAACACAATAACTGTCATTTTTCAAGCGTTAGTTCACGATTTGTCCGCCCCTTGAACAGATGTCACTACAAGAATTATTTAAGGCGCATTTCTAAAACGATTGCAGTCAACGCTCATTGGTTTATTTCAAATTTTACGCAGAAATAAGCAATAGCCAATGAACGTAATCGTATTGGAAATCCGCCTTTAGTTATTTAAATGAATATTCGACGAGAAAATTTTGGTAATCGTTCTCCATCATCACAGGTAAGTTTGAATATTAATTTTCAAGTGGTATTTTGGCTTTTTTTTACACAATTATCAATTAACATTGGTAAATTAGACTATTTTCAACAAATATCAATGAAAAAAATGTACTAACTGAATTATTTCTGTTCTTTTTTATAAAATTTCCAAAGCTGTCAAACTAACCTATTTTCTGTTCAACTCAACTTAAAAACTAAATTTCAGCGTGAATAAAAAAAAATTTCATAAAATAATTGTCAAAAATGAATTGTACGGATATTAAAAGTCATTAATACAAAATACCAAATATTTTTCTAAAAATAAGCCGCAACGATTATAGGTGAAATAAAATGGAATGACCCTAAAGAAAAAATCGAGTTGAAATCAATCCAATCCGTATATTACAGTAAAACCCACAAAAATATTAGATTACAAGAAACAAGAAAAAATTCGATGTAAGAAGATTTTATATTTAAATATGTGAGTTTTACTGAAATTACAGAGACTGTTATTTGAATTTAAAAATTTCTTTTTTCTGGGAAATTTTCTGAATTACGTGAAAAAACTGAAACTAAACCAGTTTTTAATTTACTTTCATTTCACTAAAGTTACAACCTTATGCAATGATTTTGATTATTTTGGGATAATTTAGAAATATTGACCTATAAATTTAATGTTTTACAAAATTAATCTTTCCTCCTCGTATACAACTTCATACGTATTATATAGAAAGATTTTTGAAAATAATTGAACTTCAAGTGATTTTTAATTGAAATTTTTGTGATAATTTCTGTTACTGAAGAATTTATTAGAAATAACAGATAAAAATTGAACTTGAAAAGATTTTTTTTGAAAAATTCTTTCAGATAATTGAATTTTTAAAGAATATTAAAAAAAAAAGAAAATCATTAAAAAAATATTTTGAATTTTGGAAAAGTTATAGGTTAAAATTATTAAATTTCAGAAAGTTTTAAATAGAAAATTTTAGAAATATTAAATTTAAATCCATTCTTTTTTTTCTAATGAAAATAAAAGAAAAATTATCATGCATAAAAATGTATATAATTAAAAATATGTTTTATTGAGAAATTAATTTAAAATATTTTTCGAGTATAATAATTAAAAATATTCTAAAAATAATTCAATAAGGCAAAGTAAAATTAAAATTAATTTTTAGTATTGTAAATATAAAATTTTACAAATAATAGTATTCTTTTCGATCAAGAATAAAAAAAAAATTAATAAAATAACTTTTTTCTTCTATTTAAATATTTGAAAACAAATTTTATTACAATTTCCCAAAAAGGAAAAATAGAATTAAAATCTTATTATTTAGTTTTCTTTTTTTTTTCTAAGAGTGCAACAATTTAATTCTATGAATTCATTTGTATCATTTCTAAACTTCCATCGTCTCTAAGTTTTAAAATTTGTTTCACTGATGTAATATTATTTTCAATTTGTTCTCCATCTTCTTGCTCAGTCATTGTGACAATTTTTGTATTATCAATTGTACTTTGTTCCTCTTTATTTAATTCTCGTTCATCTGTAGAAAAAAATAGTTATTCTTTTATTTTTTATTTCTTATAAAAATCTCTGACTCTTTATTTTTTAAATTATTTTCTAAAAATTAAATAATCGTAAAATGACAAATATTAGAAAAATTTGTAACTAACTTATTTCGTGCATATCCATGTGAACATTAGTAAAATCAGACAAATTTTCTCCTATATTTTCGTCATTTTTCATTTCAATATTTTGATCCTCTGGAATTAGAAGAGGAAGTGAATTATTTTCTCCACTTACATTATTTATGTCAACCATATTATTTTCTGTCGAAAAAGAAGTAAACAAAAAGAATAAAATATTAAAATACATTTGATTAATTGAAAATTTTCATTAATAATTTAAGCCTTAATAGTCATAAAATTTGGGTAAATTGAAACTTTAATGAATCAAAATTTGGATAAATTGAAATTCGGATAATTTGAAAACTAAAATTAATTAAAATTCGGATAATATTTGAAATTTTAATTAATTTAATCAGGGTGGCCATACTATTTTTAGAATTTTTGCCTCCCGGTTTTCTCCCGGTAGAAATTAGAGATTTCTCCCGGTATTAAAATACATTTTTTCTGTACACAAATCTATTACATTTATGTAGTATGCATTTGTAAAAAATAATCAACATCAAAAGCACTCTATGAAAATTTATAAAATTTAAGTTTTATGAAGTACATTGAAATAAAATATAACAAATTTTATTAAGTATAGTAGACATTTTAGTAAACATTTTTCAATTTAGGGAAAATGTGTAAAAATTTGAAATATTGATACAAAAAATAATATACTTGTGAAAATATTTTTCAGTCTTTAAGAAATGTATTTGAAATTTTAGTAAATATTTACGAACTTCAACATAATTTATAGTAATCATACAAAATCTTTACTGAGATTTAATATATTTTATATAATTTTTTTCCAGTTTGGCACATTTTCCCTAAATTGAAAAGTATTTCCTACGAAATTTTGTTATATATTTTCTTTGAGTGTAGAATTAAAAAATTTTGTATTGTGAGAAATAAAAATAGCTAATTTTTGTTGATGGTATATGAGCAATTCCACGTGCAATTGAGGGGTTTATCCTCCGATTCCTTCTATACTACGTTTTTGGGTAGAGATTATGGGTCTAATTGAGTAAATAAAAGTTTGAAAAAAATATTTATTATTTTTCGAGATATTTGCATTAGAAAAATTAGTGCAACTTTTTTTTCAATTACTCATAACTTTTTCACTTTTAGTCCTAGAAAAAAGTTTCCTAAACGTTTTTTGCTCAGAAAATATTGAAGTTTAAGAAAAAAATTAATTTTGAAAAATTAAAATTTTTTAATTTATTTATTTATTTATTTAAAAAATAAAATTTATTTTTAATTTTTAAACTTATTATCGGGCTCCGTTTACTTAGCGGGGGTTTCCTACCTTCTCGGCACGGTATTTTTCAGTCTTTCTCTAAATAACATTTTATAATTAATTTTCGATTTTTAGTAATTATTATATAATAATAAAATGCTTGGTCTGTCCTTCTGTCCTAACTTGAAGTTGGCCTTTTCTGATTTCACGTGTTTTTTTGAATAGTAATCTTAATTGACGTGTCAAATTTTGACAATTCTTTTTCTCATTTTTGCCAAAGTTGTATAATTGTGTTTCCAAATTTCGGAATAAGTTTCTTTAAAATTCCAAATTCGAAAATTCAATTCACGAAGCTGAAGTACACAACGTTTACCAACGAAATTTTTTTTAAAGTTGTATATTGATTCAAAAATTGTATACAAATACAAAAAATTTATGATGAGAAAAAAGATGCGCCAGGAAATTTCGTACAAGATAGTAATTTGAAAAAAATTTATTTTTAAGGTACCAGGGGCCAACGAATACCTATTAAATATTAATTATAAAAATACAGGCCTTGAATCAACTTAAAGACACAAAAAAGTCGTTTTAGTCGATTTATATTCCAAAAAAAGTGGATTTGTTTTTTATTTTAACAAAAATATTTTACAGATTTTTAAATAAAAAAATTTTTTTTTAATAATAATCCTTTTCGAAGGGTTAAAGTTGAAATTTTTAGAAATAATTAAATTTCAAAAGATATTGTTAATTTTCAAACAATTATTAAATTTTACAGAACTAAAAATAATTTATCAAACAATTTTTGGAAAACATTTTTTAAATTTAATTGAATTTTCAAAGATTTAAAATTAAGATTTTTGAAATTAATTGTAACTTTAAGTGATTTTTAATTAAAATTTTAGATGATTTCACTAATAATTTATTAGAAAATGCGGACAAAATACAATAATTTGAAAATCATTTTTAATTGAAAAATGGTTTCAGATAGTTGAAATTTCAAAGAATATTATTAAAATAGTTAAAAATAATTGAATTTCCTTAGAGTTATAAATGAAATTATTAAATTTCAAAAAAAAATTTCGATGGAAAATTTTAGAAATAATTAAATTTTAGATGCTTTTAAATTCAAATTATTGAAAATTCAATTAATTTTGAATTCAAATTTTTGAGAATAATGAAATTTTATTTGATTTTAAATTTGGAAAATAATTGAACTTCAGTTCATTTTGAATTGAAAATTTTGGGAAATAATTGAATTTTAATTGAAATTTTGGATAATAATTTAATTGAAGTTCATTTTTGATTGAAAATTTGGATAATTTATTTTGAATAGAAATTTTTAAAAAATAATTGAATTTTATTTCATTTTAAATTGAAAACTTGGTAAATAATTAAATTTTAAATTGAAAATTTTGGATAATTATTGGATTTTTAATTGATTTTGAATTAAAATTTCGGGTAATAATTGGATTTTAGTTTATTTTGAATTGAAATTTTTAAAAAATAATTCAATTTTATTGTGATATTTTTTTTAAAATTATAAACAATTGTTAAATTTCATAAAAATTTTAATTGAAAAATAATTTTGATATAATTAAATTTGTGATGTATTTCATTAAAATTATTAAAAATAATTAATTTAGTGAAGAATCATTTTAGTTCAAAATTTGTTAAATAATTGAATTGAAGAAGATCTGAAGAAGATCTACATTTTATACTAGAAAAATGTATTTTATTTACATTTTTTTTCAAATGTAAAAAAAAATGTCGCATTTTATTAAAATAAGTCGATAAAAGTCGTATTTTTGAAAAAAGTCGGAAAAATTCGTATAATCCGAGGCCTGTAAACATATAATTTTCATTATTATCATTTAATATGTAATAATATTCTAATAAATTAAATTATTATTGATAATATTCATCTTTAATTTCTTTATAACAAACAATTAAATAGTTAATTTGGCGCGCTTGCGCGCGTTTAATTTTGCTAGTATTTAATATTCTTTTTTTGACACAGAATTAGATTAGACGTAGTATAGAAGGAATCTGAGGATAGACCCTTCAATCTCACGTGGAATCGCTCATATATATTTTACATAATTAACACGAAATTTTAGATGATTAAAAGTTGAACAATTTTCGAATAATTGCGCGAATCACAAAACCTATAAAATCTCCCGAATTAATTTTTCAGTCCCGGCTTTCTCCCGGTTGGCTGACCACCCTGTTAATCTATAGATGGAAATTTAATTAATTTTTTAATCAATAAAAATCAGAATTTATTGAATATTGGAGCAATTAAAATTTAAATGTGGAGAAAATAAAAGGGAAATTACTCACCCAAATTTTCTTCAACATTGTCAATCAATGTTTTTGTTTTTATCTTACAACTATGTGAATTATTATGTTGATTATTGCCAATAAATTGTATTCCACATTTATCGCAATTAATTTTTTGATTTATATGTTGTCTAAGATGATGAATCATAAATGTTTGATAATTCGTTGAATATCGACATTTATCGCAGGAAATTAATTTTTTATTTGTCATAACTAAATCATTTGTAATATTAATGGAAGATTTTTTTTTCTTCTTTTCATTTTCTTCATTAGTCGCTGTGACATTTAATAATTGACTCGATTTCATTGACGTGTCATTTGTCTCAAGTTCTCCATTTTCTAAATAATATTTACGTTCCAAATAACGTAAAACAGTTCCCTTAACTGTTTTCATTTCCATTTCTAAACGATCCAATGTATTTATTAAATTCGCACAACTACGACAAATTATATCATTTTCTGATATGACAACCATATATCTATAAATATATAATATATTTTAAATATGTTAATAAAAAAAAAAAAATGGATATATAAAAAAAAATGTTTTCTTTTAATTATAAAATAAAAATATTGTTTAAAAATAAATAATATTTCTAACAGTGGAATAAAAATAATTGAAATGAATATGAAAAAAATTGAACATAAAAATAATTTATGAAAATTTCTCACCTTTCTCCAACAAGTTCTCCTAATTTTTCAATAACACGTGTTCTTGTACTTTGAGTTTTGCATGATGCGAGAGTATAATGTTTACCTTGCACTAGTGAATCGCATACAAAACATTGTAAAAAATCTGAACTATTAACGTTATTACTTGTGTCAACATTTATTGCCGTTTCTTTGAGAGATTTATCTTCAGCGAAATAATAATTTTGAGCTGGATGAACAAATACAGAATTTGAATTTGCCATATTCTAGTAGTATTTATTATATAATAATAATAATTATTGTTATTATAAAAAATAACCCGAAAATCAGAAAAAAAAATTTCAATTCACTTCATCAAATACTTTTAAAGGTTAGGAAAACTTTATATATCCGTAGTTTATTGTTTTACTAATTATTTTTACGGAAAATAAATTTACAAATTCACTTTTCACTTTAATTCACTAGGAAATGATTTTATTTAAACGTTAATACACTGCAAATAAAAAATATATTTCAATTGTTTATTCTATTGTTGTTTTTCATGGAGGAGGACATTTTTAAATTCTCTGAAATGACTAGTGATTTGTGAACGATTCTCATTGGCGGAAATTGGACAAGTTAAAATAGCATTCAAAAAAAAGTCCCTGGATTTCATATTTCAAATTAAAAATATTGTTAACAAAAATATTCAATTAGAAAACAATTAATTTCAAAGTAGTTTTATGATATTTAAAAGAATTTCTTAACAATAAAAAAGTAAGACAAATTATTTATTTTTTTATTTTGTTTAAGGGTATGTGGAAACCTCCCACGTGACCTAGTATGGGAATTAATGTGTTTTGCAAGTATTCATCTTACTCTAAAATGAGAAAAGATTTTTATCTAAAATTTTGAGATATATGATAATTAATTTTTTATTGGAAAAGAAAAAGAAATGGTCAAGGTGTTTAACTACTACAGTTGTAGGGAAATATTTTCCCATGTGACATCATCAACTCCGAGGAATCGAACAGAATAGTCCAGATTATTTTCTCATATCAATGAAAAATTCAATCAATTCAGGATTTTTCTTTTGCAAGTAGATTCAACGGACATCAAAGTTAAATCAGATATGAGAGTTTACGCGCTATAACTCTCATTTATCCACGAACTATATAATGTTCGAAGATACTCCCATTTCCACAATCGAGAAAATAAGTGATATATCTTATTAAAAAGATTGAGGAAATGACAGACCTAAATTGAAGGCTCAATGACAGAGAAAAATCACCAGTCCACTCCGTTCGTTCCCTCGAAGAGGATGAAATGACACCAAATTCCTGAGTAGTAACGGACCATTTCTATTTTACTTGAAAATTTAACTGTCCTTATATATTAAAACCTATGTGAATATCTGCGCTTGTGAGAAACCTCATTTTTTAAAAATAAAATCCTAACGACTCTAAAATTCATTAAATCCCTTTTATTTTTACAAAGAAAATTGTTCCTATGCATAAATATTGTGAAATTTCGCGAAATAAAAAAAAAAAATTCTTCTTACTGTAAAAACGATGGATAAAATATTATTTATGTAAATGTGAACAACTTTTTTTAAAAACGCATTCTAGCGGCAAAATTATTAACTAACGGTAATAAAATTTTATTTAATAATTTCATTAAAATAATAATTAAAAATTAAAATAATTATTAATTAATTTAGAAAAGTTTAGTAAAAATTAGTTATTAATAATTTATCAAATAATTTTAGATAACATTTTTTAAAAATAATGGAATTTTTTAAAGAATTACAATTTCAAAAGATTGTGTTAAATTTCAAACAATAATAAATTAATAAGAGAAATTTTTTTTATTAAAATTAATCGAAAAAAAATATAATCTGTTTAAAATTCAAGGTGATTCTAATAAATTTCCACAGCTTATTATTTAAGTGGCCAAAAACATTAGCTTTATTACATAATATGAAAGGAAAACATTAAATCAGTTTTTTTCTTCTTCTTCTTCAAAATACTCAAATTTCTCAAATAATTTTTACAAAAAAAAAAAAAAAAAAAAAAAAAGAACGCAAGAAAAATCACATCCACACACGTGCTTATTAAAAATAACAAAAAAAAAAAATTGTAAAGAAATCAAATAAAATAAATCATGTAAATGTAAGATTTCTTTTTTTTTTTGCATTGAACTTGATATTATAATTTTATCAAGTTTTACACATTTATTTCTGTATTCAATCTAAAATTGAAAGTCTTTTTATCTTCTTCTTCTTTTTCTATTGATGAACAAGTATCTACACTTAAGTAAAATTGAAGCCTGATATTCTTATTAAAAAGACAAAAAAAAAAAAAAAAAAACAAATCAAATTAGAAAATATCGATAAAATATTTTACAAATTAAATTTTCAAATCTCTTGATGAAAGTTGTCTCTCTAATAATGTCGTACATTCTGTCTCTATAATAAAAAGTTAATGTACTCTATATGTATATATATATATTCTATATATGGCCTAGATATTAAAATGCCTTACATTTTTCTTAAATTGTAAACTGATAAAGACGAATGAAACGAATCTTAAAAAGATTAATTTTTTTTTTCTTTTGTTTACGATTATGATCATACATTGAATATGATATTGAGTAAAATTCGATTTTTATGTTGAACAATTTTTCTTTTTTTTTAGGCCACAGTTTTCGGCTTAGTTTCTGACTTTTTTACAATCGTTTCTTTATCCTCGTTTTGTTGTTTTCCATCGCCTCCATTTTTTTCTTTGGCATGTTGTTTTTTACCAGTATTACGAAAACGATCATAACGTGAGTCTTCGTCGTCACTTGATCTTGCACCTGTTTCAGCTTCACGCAATATATTACCCAAATCTTTATCTACATCGTCAAATAATTTATCACCACTATCAACACCATATTCATCTTCATCTTCTTCATCGGCTTCATTTTCTTTACTATTATTTTTTGTTGTTTTTTCACTTTCCTCCTCGGCGTCCTCCTCCTCCTCTTCTTCTTCTTCTTCCTCTTCATCTTCCTCATCGTCCTTTGACTCGTGTACATTGCCATTATCGGATAATGCTTTTGTTTCATCATTACCCGATGCAACACTATCGGAATTTGGCTGATCGGCATTTGTTGAACCACCTTTTGTATTTTCACTTGTATTCAATGAATTTGTTGTTGTCGTTGACGATGATGATTGAAGATGAATTCGTTCAGCTTGTCGTCTCAATGCTTTGTCATCATTATCACGTACATATCTGTTAATTATATATTTTTTTTTTTGTTATAAAATGAACACGATATAGAAAATAATCTTCTAATTTAAATAAACAATTTCTCAAATTATAAAAGTACATTGGATTGACTTTAAAGCGCAAAAAAAAGGTCATTAAATTTATTAATTCTTTAATAAGAATAATTCTATACTAATATTATCAAAAAAAAATTTTTTTCGAATATTTCAGAATCAAACAAGACAAAGTTGCAAAAATTTTAATTTAGAAAAAATTTCTTTTTTTTTACAAAAAATTCTTAAAGTACCATTTTTGAAATTTTTTGAAATCTGATTTAAGCAATTTATTCAAGTTTACAATTTTGGCATAGTTTTTAGTTATAATGATTAAAATAAATTTTCGAACAATAATTAAGTTTTGGGTGAAAATTTCCCAACTGGGCCACGTAAAACTGACTTTTCAAATTTAAAATATTGTTTTTCATAATCTATTGCAGAAAGCCGAATTAAAAACATTCCTGAAATGCGTTTTTAAAAAAATTAATTATTTAATTATTTATTAACAATTAAATATTTTGTTACCTTTCCACTAAATTTGCAATTACTCTGTTGCTTGTTAATGAAATTTAATAAAATTTGGTGAGTATATAGAAAAATTATGTCTCTTTGAAATGCAATAGAAATTTCAATTAACCTTTATTGTTTATACAAAAAAAATTGTTTATTTAATAAACAAATGAATATTTAAACTATTTCTCAAATGTTTAGGAAAAAATTTCAAAAACGACATAAATCTACACTTTCTTAACTTTAATTAAAAAAAAAAAAAAATCTTAGTACCTTTAAAAAATGAGTGAATTACGAGAATTTGAAGAGCGACGTGTAAGCACTGAATCAGTCACCACTGCCGCGCGCGGCGTGCTACTACGCGTCGAAACCTATTCTCTTTTATCGAATGATACTAATTTATACTAATATAATTTATAGTAATACTAATTTGGCTAAATAAAAATTTGGTTTAGCGAAAATTTAATTAAATAAGAATTTGGTTAAATAAAAATTAGGCTATAATAACAATTCTATTAAAAAAAACTCGGTTAAATAAAAATTCTTTTAAATAAAAATTCCGTTAAATAAAAATACAGCTATTGAAAAATTTGATTCTACGTTAAATTAATTTTTTACAATTCAAATTTAGTATACATTGAGCATCCCAATTAAAATCTTTTTGATGAAATAACAAATTCATAAAATTAAATTTGTTCTTATATTTACAAGAAATAAAAAAAAATTTTGTTTTTAAATTATAAATTAAATTATTAAATTATTATTCATTAATTATTAATTAATAAAAATATTAAAATTAATTTTTAAAAAATTAAATTTGTTCTCATATTTATAAGAAGACAAATTTTATGAATTTGTTATTTCATTGAAAAGATTTTAATTGGGACGCTCAATGTGTACTAAGTTTGAATTTTAGAAAATTAATTTAACGTAGAACCAAATTTTTCAATAGCAGAATTTTTATTTAAACGAATTTTTTTTTAATAGAATTTTTATTAAAGCCTTATTTTTATTTAACCAATCTTATTTAATTAAATTTTGGCTAAAACAAATTTTTATTTAGCCAAATTAGTATTAGTATAAATGATATTTGTATAAATTAGTAACACTAGAGAAAATTTTACATTGGAATGTAAAGTTTTCTCTAGTGATACTAATTCTGTTACTTGCAAAATAATTCTCGTAATTCACTCATTTTTTAAAGGTACTAAGATTTTTTTTTTTTAAATTAAAGTTGAGAAAGTGTAGATTTATGTCGTTTTTGAAATTTTTTCCTAAACATATGAGAAATAGTTTAAATATTAATTTGTTTATTACCGTAAAATGGGGTAAAGTCGGCGTTTGCGGGTAAAGTCGGCCGGCGCTTTAAACACTTAAATATTGTATTTCATTTATTAATTTACATTAATTCTAACTACATTTTTAATAAAACTCGGATTTCTTCTGGAAAAAAGTAATAGTTAAACTTTAAAATGATTTAAAGCGCCGGCCGACTTTACCCCCAAACGCCGACTTTACCCCATTTTACGGTAAATAAACAATTTTTTTTGCATAAACAATAAAGGTTAATTGAAATTTCTATTGCATTTCAAAGAGACATAATTTTTCTATATACTCACCAAATTTTATTAAATTTCATTAACAAGCAACAGATTAATTGCAAATTTAGTGGAAAAGTAACAAAATATTCAATTGTTAATAAATAATTAAATAATTAATTTTTTAAAAAACGCATTTCAAGAATGTTTTTAATTCGGCTTCCTGCAATAGATTATGAAAAAAAAATATTTTAAATTTGAAAAGTCAGTTTTAGCTGGCCCAGTTGGGAAATTTTCACCCTTTTACAGATTTTTAAATTATATATATATTTTTTTTAAATTATTGAATTGCATAAAAGTATTTGAAACTTTTTTTTAAATAATTGAATTTTTAAAAAAAATATTGTAAAAATCATTAAAAATAATTAAATTTTGGAAGAGTTACAGTTTAAATTTTTAAAAATAATTGAATTTCAAAAGTTTTTTTTAAATCCGCAATAAATAAATTTTACAGAATTGAAAATAATTTAGCAAAAATAAAAGTTTTTATTTGAAAAATTCTTTCAGATAATTGAATTTTCAAAGAATATTAAGAAAATCATTAAAAATAATTGAATTTTAGAAAAGTTATAGTTGAAATTATTAAATTTCAGAAAGTTTTAGATGAAAATTTTTAGAAACAATTAAATTTAAAAAAATTGAAAATAATTTATTAGAAATTACAGACAAAAATTGAAATTCAAAATTATTAAATTGAAAAATGCTTTCAGATAATTGAATTTTCAAAGAATATTATAAAAATCATTAAAAATAATTGAATTTTAGAAAAGTTATAGTTGAAATTATTAAATTTCAGAAAGTTTTAGATGAAAATTTTTAGAAATAATTAAATTTAAAAGAATTGAAAATAATTTATTAGAAATTACAGACAAAAATTGAAATTCAAAAGTATTAAATTGAAAAATGCTTTCAGATAATTGAATTTTCGAAGAATATTATAAAAATCATTCAAAATAATTGAATTTCGAAAAAGTTGTATTTAAAATTTTTAAATTTTCTAGATGAAAAATTTAAGAAATAATTAAATTTTAGGTTTTAAATTGTAATTTTTAAAAATAATTGTATTTTAAGTGATTTTGAATAAAACTTTTTGATAATTTTTTTTAATGATTTTAAAATTTTTTTTAAATAATTATTGGATTTTATATAAATTTTTAATTGCAAAATAGTTTAAGATAATTGAATTTGAAGATTTTTAAAAGAAATATTTATTTTAAAGAAGTAGAAGTAATTCGTATACAAAAGGAAAATTTATTACACAACGGAAATTACAGTTCTCCTAGTGAAAATACGAATGTCATTTAAAAAATGAAAAATTATAAGTTCACTAAATAGAAAACATAAATAAATGATTAATGTTTTTTTTTTTTTTTACCTTTTAAGATGACTGCGAGTGGAACAATGAAGAGCGACAGCGCGCTCATTATTTTCGCTTCGTGGCAAATAAACTTTGCACAATTCACAAAATTGTACTTCAACACGTTTTATATATTCTGATCCAACTTTAATCATTTGCTTTGTTTTTGCCTTTTTCTCCGTATCAGTTCCTTCGCCTTCTGATTTTTCCTTCTTTTTCTTATCGCCATTCTCTTCATCTTCTTCAGCTAGAATACAAACAAAAAAAAAAATTAATATTTTCTCAAAAACAAAAATTTTAATTCAATTTACAAAAATTTTCACCATCAACATCGCCCACTGAATCAAGTGTCATGAAATTTTCGAGATTCATCTCTTTATCCTCATCTTCACCACCGCTCGAATTAACTTCATCACCATCGCGTTTCTTTGTTTCATCTTGAAGATTCTTCTTCTGAAAGCAAATAAAACAAATTAAAAATATCCGTAAAAAAATTAATTTTCAAAGAATTAAAAAAAAAAAAAAGAAAAAAAATTACCCTAATATGATCCAGTGAACAGACATGTGTCTCGTATGTCATTGGCGATCTTAATTGAATGCGACAAACACGACAGAATGGCGTCAAGAAACGTTTAATTTGCCTATGTGAATCTGACAAATTGTGCACTGCCTTAAGTGATCTGTAATTAAGTTTACAAACTGGACAGAAAATTGTTCTCGATGGTAGTGTGCCACGTGCTTCGTCTCGTGCTTCAACACGACGTTGCTCTTGACGTTGAACAATACGCATACGTGCCAACATTGCCTTATGTTTGGCGGCAACGCGTCTCATTGCTGAATTATGTTTACCCGAATATAAATGCAATGAATATTCCTTGAATGTAACACTTCTATGTTGACAATGTACGCAAATCAATTTTATAAAACGTCTACCGTCACGTCGACTTGGCAATTCATCAGAACCTGATCTTGCATTCTCCTCTTTGTTGTCCTCCTCTTTACCCTCCACTTCCTCTTCGTCGTCTTCCTAAAATGCAAATTTTCAATCATAGAGATCGAAAAAAAGGAACGAGACGCGCATGAATAAAAAAAAAAAAAAAATAACATCCAATAGTTCAAATTTCCAATGGATCAAATTCTAATAGGGAAGAATTTATTTAGCATAATTGCAAACCTCAGATCAACTTTAAGGCGTAAAAATAGTCGTTTTAGTGCATTTAAATTCCTAAAAGAAGAAAGGTCGGAAAAGTCGATTTTTTTTATTTTAATTAAATTTAATTAGTTAATAAATATTTTACTTTTAATAACTAATGTTATTAGATATATTAAATTAATTCCTTAAGGGTACGTGGGAACCTCCCACGTGACCTAGTATAGGAAAATATGTTTGTCCGAATAAATATCTGTCAGAAAAATTTTGGCGCTAATTTAAAAATTAACCAATTAGAAGTTATCAATGAAATTATGATTGATTAATTTTAAAATTAGCGCCAATTCGGCGTTTAAAAATTTTTTTAAAATGAAAAATTCGAACAAGTGAAAATTCGTTTAGAAATAAATTCAAATTTCGAATGTTAAAGAAACGACAATTTTAATAAAAATAAGAAAAAAAAAAAAAACTCACATCTGGTTTTGGATCTTCCTCATCGTCCTTTACTGCATCGTCTTTTTCCTCCTCGTCTTCAGTAGTTCTTTCCTGCTTAGGCTTTATTTTTTCCTCCTTCTTCGCCTTGTCCTCATCTTCTTCAGCATTTTCATCATCCTCACCTTGTGGCTGTACGTTTGTTTTTTATAGTTTAAAAAAAATGTAATAAGAATTCTCGTTATCCAATGTGTTAGCATATTTAACACACTTCTAACTAAATTCAATATTTTAATAATAATTGAAAACAATTGTTTTTTTTTCAAATAACTATTTCAAGACATTATTACTAAATATTTGTGCATATATAAATGTATGTATATATAAAAAAAAAACATTGAAAGTATTAATTAAACATATTGTAAATTTTATTTAATTAGTAATTTCAAGAAAATAATAATAAATAAATGTAAATAAAAATAAATATAATATTAACTACAAATATATATATATATATATATATATATATGTATAAATTGAGCAAATAAATGAAATATAATTTTAATTAATTAATACTTTGTTATGAAACATAGATTTTACATAAATTACTGTTTTGATTTACTCACTTTCTTCAAAAGAAACTATAGATACAATATTTATTTTTCAATTCATTATTATTGTAGATAAATAAATGGCAAAAATTATTTTATTGACATGAAATTTAAGCTAGAATTTTAAATTGCAAAAATTTATTGGAAAAATGAAAAAAATAAATATATATAAAAATTTAAAAAAAATTCCAGGCCTTTTTTATGATTTCCAGAAAAATTTTTTTTTCGCCATTGACATGAAAAAGTGTCTTTTTTGTGCCTGTTTTGGGCAGATAAAGTAGCACTTTTTAAGGCAGTTTGGGCCAACTGCCTAAAAAAGACTTTTTTAGGCAGCAAACTGCCGTATAAAGTCTTTTTTAGGCAGTAAACTGCCCTATAAAGTCTTTTTTAGGCAGTTGTTAATTTTTGCATAATTTTTTTTTTTGCTTTTATTTTATTTATCAATTTTTATTATTTTTTTTCTTTAAAATTGTTTCACTTTTTCATAACAATGGCGAAAAAAATAGCGTATGTGGCTCGCACGTAGTAATTTTTAGGTTCGGATGATTTCAATACTCGCTGTCTGTGCGACTTCGGTTCGACTCGGCTCGCTTTCGGCTCGACTCGACTCGCCTTCGGCTCGTCTTCATCTCACCTACAGCTCGCCTTCGTCTCACCTACGTCGCACTAACGACAGCTCGTACTGAAAATTACATCCTCACCTAAAAAGTACTACTTTACGTGCTTGCCACATAATATACTATTAAATTCCATATTTTTTTTTACATGATTTTTAAATTCTGTACGAAACCCAAGAAATTGTATTATATCTTAATGTTCATTTCGGATCAAACATAAGGTGTATATTTTTCATTTTTAGAAATTCTTAAATATTATTGAATTATTTTAGCTAAAAATATTAATTTCTACATTTTTTAAAATTTCAATTTTGTACAAGTTTTTTTTTCACGTGAATTTAAAAAAAATGACATTATAAACTGTTTGCTCCGAAATGTATCTTTTTTATAGTCAAAAACCCACTTTTTTTAATATCAGAGCTTCATAGTGATCCTAAAAAATATTTTAGGGGAAATAAGGGGACTTTTAGGGTATTATGAAAATTACATAATTAAGGATAAAAGCTTAATTTATACACTAAACCACAAATTTATTAAATTTTTCTTCTGATTATTTAAAAAAAAAATTTTTCTATTGTTAAATTTCGATTAAATTTTTGTTTTTGGCACAATGGCAGGAGCTTATGATTATTCCATAAAAATGATTTTTCACATAAATTTTTATTTTACAAAATAGCATTTAATACAGAATTTTTTTTTTAAACGAATGTTTACTCAACGGAATTTTCAAAGTAACGAATTTTTATTTTACAAAATTTCTCTTTACCCAACTGTTGCTTGAAAAGAATTCTAATTTAACATATTTTTAATTTATTAGAATTTTCATTCAGTAGAATTTTAAGTAATTCGAATTTTTAAATCCTAGAAATTGGAATCGAAAGCTTATATAAAATTATTTAGTATTTTAAAACAAAAATTTTAATTAAAAATCTCCTAAAATTCAATTATTTCTAAAAATTTTAATCCAAAATTCAATTATTTTTAAAATTTCTATCTAAAATTCTTTACTAAAATTAATAATTTCAATCCAATTATTCAAAAATTCAATTAAATAAAACATTTTTGAATTAAAAATTCTCTAAAATTCAATTACTGTTTGAAACATTGTTAATAATTTTCAGCAATTTTAATTTACAAAAATTTTAATTCAAAATCTCCTGGAATTCAATTATTATTAAAAATTTTGATTCAAATAAATAAATTTCTAATAAATTTAATCAAAATCTTGGCATTTCAATTATTTAAAACATTTTTCAATTCAAAATACTCAAAATTCAATTATTGTCTGAATTTCGATTAAATTAGATTAAAAAAAAAAAAAAAAAAACGTTTGAGTAAAGAGAAATTTTGTAAAATAAAAATTCTGTCAAAAAAAATTTGACAAATTAAAAATTCTATTGAGTAAAAGGTCGTTTAAAGAGAAATTATGTTAAATGCTATTTTGAAAAATGAAAATTCGTGTAAAAAATAATTATATAAAGCTGTAGTTCACGCGGCTAATAAATCATCAACTTGGCGAGCTTTTAGGGATCAAAAAATTCGCTAAAATTTAAAATTCTTGAATTCTGTCATTTTTTAAATTATTTTTTGAAAAAAGTAGCATTTAGTGGCTTTTGGACAAAATTAGTAGTAAAAAAAGTAGCCTTGTCGAAAAAAAGTATTAAAAAATTAAAAAAAAGGTGTGTCACTTCGATGCCTGCATTATAAACTTTTTCTTGCATTGAAAAATTTATGAAATTCATAAAAATGTTTATTTTTCGCAAATATTTTAAATATTAATGGAATTTTTCAAAAATTTAAATTAAGAATTTTGAATTAAAAAAATATTTTAAATAATGTAATTATTATTTATATATATATATATATAATAATAAAATGCTTGGTCTGTCTTTCTGTCCTAACTTAAAGTTGGTGTTTTCTGATTTCACGTGTTTTTTGAATTGTAATTTTATGACGTATCAAATTTGTGTCAAATTTTGACAATTCTTTTTCTCGTTTTTGTCAAAGTTGTATAATTGTGTTTCCAAATTTCGAAATTAGTTTCTTTAAAATTCCAAATTCAAATTCAAAAATTCAATTCACGAAGCTGAAGTACACAACGTTTATCAACAAAATTTTTGTTTAAATTTATATATTGACCCTAAATTACATATATTTATTGTAGGCGGAATATTTAAAGTATTTTTCAGATAAATATTCCGCCTATGTTAAATATGAACCGCCGGATATTATAATTAAAATTTCTACAGCGGTATTCGTTGGCCCCTGGTACCTTAAAGATCAATTTTTAAAAATAAATTTTTTCAAATTACTATATATATATCTTGTAGGAAATTTTCTGGCGCATCTTTATTCTCATCATAATTTATTTTTTTTTGTATTTGTAACAGTTTTTGAGAAAAAAGCAAAAATCTAAATTTTTCATAAAATCATTTTTAATTAAATTTTTTTACTTTAATTCGTTCTAAAATGAAAAGTTCTGAATATTTTTGCATACAATTTACAGGAGTTATAGTTTAAACCATCCTTTAAAAATGATCCTTAATAATAATTCTTCATTTTTTAATTAGAAAAAAAAAATATTAATTTCTCTGAATAAAATGTTTATTGATACACAATAAAGATTACTGTAAAGTTTTATTTTAATACACTTTTTTTTTTTTATTATCAATGAACATTTTATTCAGAGGAAGTTTATCCTCAGTGAAAATTCCCTAGATAAACGAAGCTTTTGAATAATATAAAGCCTAGCAGCACTGAGCAACAAAAAAATTAATAATTTTTTTAAAATTAAAAATGAATTACTATTAAGGATCATTCAAAGGATAGTTTAAACTATAAATCCTGTAAATTGTATGTAAAAATATTCAGAACTTTACATTTTATAACGAATTAAAATGAAAATTTTAATTAAAAGTGATTTTTAGAAAAATTTAGTTTTTTGCATTTTTCTCAAAAACTGTTACAAATACAAAAAAATTTATGAAAAGAAAAAAGATGCGCCAGGAAATTTCGTACAAGATAGTAATTTTTTTTTTTTTTTTTTTAAAGTTTTTGTTGATAAACGTTGCGTACTTCAGCTTCGTTTTAATTCTATTAAATATTAATTATATAAACATATAATTTTCATTATTATCATTTAATATGTAATAATTTTCTAATAAATTTAAATTATTATTGATAATATTAATTTTAATTTCTTTATAACAAACAATTACATACTCAATTTTGCGCGCGTTTAAATTTGCTAGTTATTTAAATAATTAATTTACTTAAAGAATTTTAGAAATAATTGAATTTTTTTGTGAAAAATTGGGGAAATTTACGAAGCTGATGTACGCAACGTTTATGATAAACGATTTTTAAAGAAATAATTTTTTAAAATGAAAAATTCTATAATTTTTCACCTAAAAATTATATTTCTTGTAGTTTTCATTAATCAATAAATTATTTTAAAAAAAAAAGTATTTTTTAGACAAAAAATTATAGAATTTTTTATTTTAAAAAATTATTTCTTTAAAAATCGTTTATCATAAACGTTGCGTACTTCAGTTTCGCGGAAATTTAGTGAAAATTTTTCAAATAAGATACTTTTAGAGACAAAGAGGGAAAAAAAGGGAACGACTATGAAGCCTGTAATATTGATTTTCTCTAAAAAATTAACAATATTTTTTACCCCTAGATTCCCAATAAGTGTGACAAAAAAAGAAATTATAAAAAGTGACAATTATCCGGTGGGGGAAAAAAAATGTTAATAATACAAATCTTCATTTTGAATGTTCAAAAATAAAAAAAAACATTTAAAATAGTAAAGAAACAAAAAAAAAAAAAATTGAACAGTATCAAAAAAACGAAATTACCTTTTCATCTTCATCCCAGTTACTCCGGTTGTCGTCGTCGTCTTCGTCAGAAAATTCAGCATTAATAGCCTTGGCCATTCTATCCTTGTCCTTCATGCTGGGTGCAGAGTCCTTTTTACTACCAGAGAGCCTAGTAGTACCGCTACTATTGGCACAGCAATTTAGGTTTTGATTTAAATTATTTCCCTTTCATTCTCATATTTCCTTTTTTATTTATTTATTTTATTTTTACTTTGTTCTTGTAAATAATCGTCAACTAGCTTCTAATAATATATTGCATGCTAGTTGACCTTTTTTTTTTTATCAAATAGATATATATTTCGCGATTTTTATTTCATTTCGTGATTTCCCCCATTTTTTTTTTCTAAATATATAGACTCATCTCATCTCGTATAATTTTAATGATTTATATGTATGCATATATATATACCGTTCTGCCTTTTTGTTTCTTCAAGTTTCTCGTGATTCAACATATAACATTTACTGACTGATAATAATAATATTTCTATATCTATAAAATGAATGATAATAAAGAAGTCAGAAATTGTATCAAAATAAAGATGTTTTCGTCGATTTTGATACATTTAACTTTTTTTTTAGAACCCTGTTTTATTATTATTATAAAAAATTTTTTGCCTCTCGGCAGTAGAAGATCATTTTTCGTATTTTCATTGGTTGATTTTTTTTTTTTTTTAATCGTCATATCTTGACTCATATCCAGTTTCGATAGAAAAGCAAGCAGGCTACTTAGGACGGTATTGAGGTTTTTTTTTTATTTTTTTTAGGTTTTTTTTTGTATTTTTTTTTTTTTGTTTTTTTTTTAAAGTTATTTTTTAATTTAGTTACCTCCTGCGCATCTTGGTTGTTGTCATGCGCACACGCTGGATGTAGTCTCGTGAACGTGAACCCAGCAGCTTGCGTCGATAGTCAAGCGTGCCGAGTGTTCGCTTCCGAGACAAGATGATGTCCGATCGGGAACCACGATGAATTCCACCGCCACCTCTGCCACGTGTCGATGAACGACCCCGATAACTCGAGGTCTGACGGGAAATTCTTCCACGACTGGAAGTATATCTTGGTGCCGGCGGTGCCATATCGTTAATGCGTGGTGGTTGTGGTGTTGTATAATTCCTCGATGCAGAATGCCTGTCTTCCGAACGATGATAGGATGATGTACGTTCATTCTGCCTTTTCTCCTCGTACGTTGAATTTGACGATCTCTTATCGTCATATTGTCCCGATGTTGATGAACCACCATAAGAACCCGAATACCTCTGCGAACTGCTGCTACCACCACCCTGCCAAATCAAAGTCAATTGTGCTCCTTCCAATCTCTTTCTTTTTTTTACTTTTTTTTATGCAATTTTGTATTCTCGCTCTTTCTATTTTCTGTTTCATTTTTTTTTTCGTTCGTTTTCGAAAGAATACAATATCGCTATTCTTCTGCAAATTTTTATCATCTTGAGGGACAAAATATATATATATATTTAACAAAAAGAATTTTGGGGGAAATATTGTTTTTTTTTTTGTAGCCTTGTTTTGAAATAGCAAATTTAAATTACTAAATTTCTAATTTTTTTCACACACTCCCAAGATGTTGAGAGAGAGAAAAAAAATGCAAAGATGGAAATAAATATTTCCGAGCAGTGAGAATGAAGAGACAAAACCGGAAAGTATATATATAAATTTTCTTTTTAAAGAACGACGTTTCATTCATTAATTTGATTCTGACTGTTCGAAATTTCTGAAATAAATCTCGTACCCTTTTTGCATTGTTTCGTTTTGCATTGAAAGCTTTTTTTAGACTTCTGGATATACTTTTTTTTTTAAAGGACTTGCGATGATATTATATAGCAGTTAATTAACTGTGGAATGACAGGTAGCCATTAGAAAACAGGAAGACTAACACACAACTTCACCATTTTTTTTTTTTTTTTTTAAATTTGTGCTCTACTTTTTATTTTTTTTTAAATATTTTGCAGTGTTCCACCACTTTTATGTCCCAACGTAAAAAGAATAGGTGTGTGAGTAGTTGTAGACTCGTCGCTTAAAAGGAAATCATGAAAACTATTGAGTTTATTTTGTCTAATATAGAGAATATTTTTTTCAATTTCCTGATTTCTTTCATATATAGATTTTATGATTTGAATCATTATCCTATAATTTAACTAGTTTACTTTCAAGAGGCGTTCTACTTTTAATTTTTGGCAAAAGAGACTACACAATTTCTACAGGAACCTTGTTTTTTTTTTCTTTCTTTTTATTTCCAAGAGACATTTTTCTCTCTCGATGAATTTTTTTTATTAAAACTAATAAATTTTTTTACTGAATTTACGGTGAAAAAATGATTTTTTCACGTTGGTGAAGTTTGCAACGTTTATGATCAACGATTGAAAAAAAAAAATTATTTTTCACTCAAAAAATAATAACTAATTTTTTGCCTAGAATTTTTTTTTCAAAAAAAGAAACGTTGCAAAAAAATTTTTTGGATAAATAAATAATTTGCATAGAAAAATATTTTCTCTTCTCAATCGTTGATCATAAACGTTGTGAACTTCACCGACGTATTTTTTCTTTCTTTTTTTTTTTTTTTTTTGGAAAAGAATAGATTGAGAAATAGATGTGAGCACAATTAAAGTTATTTGTGAATGAGAAATGAAATTAAATACCTGATATGAATCATTCCTCATTCTTTTGCGGCCAGAATCACTGGATGATCTGTGATCATCTCGTCCGGAATACGAATCCTGTGAATAATTCAATTTCTGTAAGTTCCTTTTTTTTGCATAAAAAAAAGAAATGACAAATTTTGTGAATTTGAAATCAAGAAAGAAGAATGAAAAAATTTAGAATTAAAAATTTTTTAAAATACGAATTCAGTGGGAGTATTTAATGTGAATTTCGAAAAAAAAAATTAGCCAACTACTACAATTTTTTATTGTATTTTAATTTTTAAAATTCGCGTTAAAATAGTTCCGGATTAATTAAATATTTAATAGAAAGGAAATTTAAGGATTTCTTTTGCACTCACACGTGGTCGCTTGTAGGCATTCGAGTGTTCACCTCTTCCACCTCTATTTGAGTATCTTTCAGATCCACCTGGAAATTAGAAAAAAAAATATATATATTTATAAAATTCAATTCTAAATAAAACTTACAAAAAAAGTCGATATTTGTAATTCTTAATCAATTTATTTATCACCATTTATTATTATTATATTTATTATTATTTAATTATGATGAAATATTCATCTATCACTATTAAATATTAAATAAATTAAATAATATCATAAATTCTTTAAAAAATTGAAAATCATTCATATATCAAATTTTAAACTTGAATTCAGTAAAATAGATTCAAAAAAAAAAAAAAATTGTAGTTCTTTTTTCGTAATAGCTTTGTAAGTTTGATTTATAGAAAATTAGAAATTATTCTAATTAAGATTTTTGGCAGAATTTTTTAGAAAAAATTATTAAAATTTTCTATTTCAAACAAATTAAAAAAATTTTTTTTTTTTTAAAGAAACTCTAGAAGTTTAAACAATTATTTTTTCAAATAATAAACAAATGTTTCACTTTTTTTGCTGGAGTAATAAGCAAATATTATTTTATTATAAATATTATAATATTCTAATTATTAAATTCATTTTATTAATCCCCTAATAAGAAATTGTATAAGAATATTATTAAGAAAATTTATTTCGAATATTTCAGAATCCAACTAAGACAAAGTTTCAAAAATTTTAATTAAGTAAAACAAATTATTACAAAAAATTCTTAAATTTCTATTAAAAATTAGTTTTTAAAGTCCCGTGTGGAAAAAGCCACGATCTTGCCCTCAAGAGTTCGGGGCCCCCGGCGGGGGCCCATGAGGGCTGATCCATATGGCGAATCCATGAGGGGCACCGTAGGGGCCCCGCATGGATCGCCCTCATGATCGATTAGCAAAATTTTCTAAGTCCAAAATTCAAATATTTTTTCGTCAACAAAAAATGAATGTTTCCAATGATTCAGAACAACGAAAAACGCGTTTTTAATAAAAATATATTTACACTTTTTTGAAAATAACACTCACACTTATGGCAAAATAGATGAGGGCCACCGTAGGGGCCCGCATGGATCGCCCTCATGATCGATTAGCAAAATTTTCTAAGTCCAAAAATCAAATATTTTTTTATCAACAAAAAATGAATGTTTCCAATGATTCAAAACAACGAAAAACGCGTTTTTAATAAAAATATATTTACACTTTTTTGAAAATTCACCTGAGATGATTCATGATAATAATCATAAAGCATATAATTAATTATATTTTATAAATTGCATTTGATTGGAAAATATAATTTAATATCTTAACTTTAACTAAATGATGTTAAGCACTTTTCTTTGTTAGGTATTTTTCAAGTTTAAATAGCATCAAGAAGTTAGCATTCGTTTTGAAGTAGCGTGCGTAGCGTAGTTGGTAAAGCGTTAGACTCGTAGTCCGTAGGTCTTAGGTCCTTAGGTTCGATTCCCCCCATGTGTTAGATTTATTTATTTCTCAGGTTTGCGTTTAATCATTAATTCTATGTATGAATTAATTGAAAAATGAAAATATCGGTTAATAGTATGCATAAATTACATATTTTTTTATTTTTTAATTAATTAATTTATTATTACTTTTAATTATATCCGACAGTTAATTAATTAGAACGTTAATTAATAAATTCAATTTGAGTAAGAATTTAATTTAAAATTGAATAATTATTAAATAAATATGTTATTTATTCATAACTTAAGCTTATTTATTATTAATTAACTTTTATTATTAATATTATTGATTAAAAAACATTATGGCAAACTTGAGGGCAAGATGAGGGCAAACGTGAGGGCCCATAAGGGCGCCCGTAGGGGCACCCTCATGGATCGCCCATGCGGGCGCCCTCATCGATGAGCATGTCGTTTCCATGAGGGGCCCCTATGGATCATCCATATGCGGCCCTCATGGCATGAGGGCGATCCATAAGGGCCCCCGCTGGGGGCCCACATCACTTTTCCACACGGGGTCTGATTTAAGCAATTAATTTTGAACGAAGCTGAAGTACGCAACGTTTATGATAAACGATTTTTAAAGAAATAATCTTTAAAAATGAAAAATTCTACAATTTTTCGCCTAAAAAATATTTCTTGTTGTCATTAATCAACAAATTATAAAAAAAAAATATTTTTTAAGCAAAAAATTAAAGAATTTTTCATTTTAAAAAATTATTTCTTTAAAAATCGTTTTGTTTTTTCTGACAATTCAATTTTTGATTTTTGATTTAAAACTTTTTTTAAATTTAATTGAATTTTTAAAGAATTATAAAAATCATTAAAAATAATTTAACATCAATTGATTTTTAATTGAAAATTTTGATGATTTTTGTTGCTCAAGAATTTATTAGAAATTACAGACAAAAATAAAAATTTAAAAATATTAAATTGAAATTTCGAAGAATATTATCAAAATTGTTGAAAATAATTGAATTTTGGAAGAATTACAGTTGTAATTTTTAGAAATAATTAAATTTCAAAAGATTTTGTTAAATTTCAGACAATAATTAAATTTTACAGAACTAAAAATAATTTATCAATAAATTTAAGATAACATGTTTTAAAAATAATTAAACTGTAAGTGATTTTTTTATTGAAATTTTCCACTGATTCCTGTTGCTGAAGAATTTATAATTATAGAAAAAATTGAAATTTATAAGTTTTTAATTAAAAAAATGTTTTCAGATAATAGAATTTTCGATGAATATTATAAAAATCATTAAAAAATAATTGAATTTCGCAAGAATTATAGTTGAAATTATTAAATTTCAGAAAGTGTTAGATGAAAAACTTTAGAAATAATAAATTTTAGAAAGTTTTAAATTTCAATTTTTGAAAATAGTTGAATTTCAAATTGATTTTTGATAATTTTATTTAAAGATTGCTATTTTTAATTTTTAACAATTTGGTCTAATCAAGTTAGCATTTTTAGATGTTTTAGCTCAGGATCTCAATTTTTTTTCTTTTTTTTGCTTAAACCCTTCATTTTGGGGTAAAAATAAAGTACCCTAAAGTTGGTACTTCGAATTCCTACCGGAGCCTAAATTTTTTTTTTAAGAAATAGGTGCTAAAAATCAGTTTTTTGCAAAATTCCTCCTTTCATGACATTTTAGCATAAAAATAGTTAAAATAAAAAAGAAAGTGTATAAAATTCTGAGTAATTTGATTAAAAAAAAAAAAAAATGAACCCTGTAGCTCAAAAATTGACCGAGATATAGCTTCCGCAAAAAATTCATTTTTTCCGTAATTTTAGCCAAAATTAAATTTCATTTTTTTTTTATTTATCTGGAAAGAAATTTTGTTTTATCATAGCATCAGTAGTTGGAATTACCTGCGTTTATTCTATATAAATTGAAAAATAAAAAATATATATACTAACCAGAATTATATTTATTGCGAGAATCATAGTTCGAATTGGAATTGTATTTATTGAAACCACCACGAGATGTGTAATTACCACGTCCACCGGAATTTGAATTATTCCAATCTCTTCCGCCTCCACCACCTCCACCCCCACGGCCTCTGTACGAACTTCCTCCACGAGAATTAAATCCTCGACCGCGTGGACTCATATTTGAGCTGTTGAAACACAAAAATTCGATTAAGATTAAAAAAAACAACAAATTATTTCTATAAATAAAATTATTTAACATGCATTATTACTTATTACTTACTAATTGAAAAATTTGTAAAAAAAAAAAAAAATAAATAAATAAATGAAATAACAATGCTAATGTTTATGATCAACGATTAGAAAACACATTTTTTTTAAACGTAGCTGAAGTACGCAACGTTTATGATAAACAATTTTTAAAAAAATAATTTTTTATTTTAAAAAATTCTATAATTTTTTGCCTAAAAAATATTTTTTTATAATTTATTGATTAATGAAAACTACAAGAAATATTTTTTAGGTGAAAAATTATAGAATTTTTTTCATTTTAAAAAATTATTTCTTTAAAAATCGTTTATCATAAACGTTGTGTACATCAGCTTCGTTTTTTTAAAACAGAAAATTATAAATTTTCAACGAAGCTGAAGTACGCAACGTTTATGATAAACGATTTTTAAATGAAAAATTGTATAATTTTTCGCCTAAAAAATATTTCTTGTAGTTTTTATTAATTAACAAATTTTAAAAAACTATTTTTTAGGCAAAAAAATTATACAATTTTTCATTTAAAAATCGTTTATCATAAACGTTGCGTACTTCAGCTTCATAAATTTTATCTAAAAAAAAAATGTGTTTTTTTTTTTAATTTTTTGATCAATAAACGTAAAAAATATTTTTCGAGGCGAAAATTCACAGAAATTTTCATTCAAAAAAATATTTCCTTAAAAATCATATAAACATAAATTTTATTTTGTTAACAAACGTGATATTTCTGCTATAAAACACAATATATATATAGCGGATGTGCGAATGAAGTAATAAAAAACTCATTGTTACGCTCTCTTTGATGCTTTTACCGGAAATGCAAATTACAAAATCGGTAAATATAAAGATGTTCTTTTTTCATTATAATTTGTTTGTTTTTTTTTTCCTAACGTAAATTAAATACTGTTTTTAAATTTTTTTCTTTTATACACGCAGTTCGATAATAAACCGAAGATTATTAAATATAATCTTTTCACTGAAAAATAGTATAATTGATTCAAGAAAATTATTTACTCGTTCGTATTTGATCCACTAATTTTTTTTTTTTTTGATTCAAGAAAATTTACTTAAAGTAAATTTTTCTTAAATCAAGAAAATATTGAATCAAATAATAATGAAATGAATTTTCTTGATTCAATACTATTTTTTTCCAATTTAAAATATAATATTAAGAAAATAAGGAAAATTTTCTGTTATATACTGAAATAGAATTTTCAGTTATTTTTAAAAATTATAAAATCGATTTCACAGCCGTGAAAAATAAATAAAAAAATTTGTCATGTAAATAATTTTTCCATTCGTCAATATAATTTTATTTAAATAAATTTCTTATTGATCATTAAAGAGTAATAATCATTTTCCTTTGGGTATCAGATTTTTAACATGTTTTTTTTTTCTGTAATTAGATCGAGAGATATAGAAATAATCGCGATATAACCTTTAAAAAAAAAAAAGAAAAAAAAATGCTGAAGCTAGAATTACAATTCTAATTGATATTTCCATTAAAGGTGAATTTGTTATTACATATGTAGTATTGAAAAAAAAAATAGATAAACCACAAGTGCTTTTTTAGTTTTATTTGCTTTGAGTCAGATAAATAACTCAATACTGAATATACACGACAAGGCATAAATATTTAGTATTTTTTTTTTACATTTACAAAGCAACATTCATGGCATATATTGGAATTACCAACCTGTATTTATTATAACCATAATTCATGATTATGGTTTATTGTTGTTCAAAGTTGTCAGAAATCTTGGCAACGCTCTAGGGAACAAATAAATTCATATATTTTATCCCATATATTTATCAGTAAAATTCGAAATTCAAAATTTTCGAATTTTTTCAATTGCCCTTTAAGTCGAGAGCAATGTAGAAATTTAAAAACTACAAATAAAATAATAAATAAAATTTTAAATTAACAAGATCTACATTTTTAAATTTTAAGAAATTAATTAAATTGAAATAAATATTTAATAATAAAATTTAGTACAAAAACATTTGAATCTCGTTCTTAGTCTTACTTTTCCTATTGTTAAAATTTTAACCCTTTTTTTTAAAAATTATTAATTTTATATAATTTTCTTTTTGGACATTTTTTCCTAAAATACATAAAATAATATTACAAATTGAAAATACTTTTTTAATTTGTATCAAATTAAACTGAAATTAGAATTCAATATAAAATTATATTGAATTAACTATATAGTCCTTTTGTTAAAATTATTTTTACTAACCCAAAAAAAATTTTTAGCTACGTTGTTAAAAATAACGAAACAGCCTTGAGTAAGAAAAAAAAATTAATAAAAATATTAAATAATTTCGAAAAACAAGATAAAAATATGGTGTTTGTAATATAGAAAAGAATTCAATATTTTATCTTTATCTATAACTATATAAGGCACACACAAAAGTTGTGCTCTCTACAAAATCAATACTCAAACACCCTATTTCACCGCTTACATTGTTTCACTGACAATCGTAAATAGAAAAAAGGCAATTATTCATATATATTACCTTTAATTTTCTTCTCAACTTCAATGGTCTTGATTTTCACAACAATTTTTCACTGATTTTCACAAGAATAATTGCCGAAAAAAAAATGAATCAAACTTTATTTAAAGCAAAACGCTGCTCTCTAGACCGAGATTGATGTGCGACGTTTGAACAAAGATGGCGAACCGGTTGCGTCCTAGACCCCTGCCGGATATGCGTAACACTGAAACAGGAAATTGACATTATTAAAAAGTGGAAATGGAATTTTTGAATTATAATATTAAATAACTATTTTATATATTTAATTTTTTTTTATAGAAATTTAATTTAAATCATTTTTATAGAAATTATTATTTTTTTTATATTTAAAATTATTATTAATTATTGTATAATTATATTTTTATTTTCAAGGTCCACCGATCCACACACGTGTCGTTGTTCCATTGTTTCGTATGTTGAGATCAAAGCCCGACAAAGATCTTTTGTTTAAACATTATGTTAAAATGTGTTAAAAATACAATATTTTCTCTAAATTTATTTTTTTATTTCTTTGTTATTATACAATTATAATATTAATTTTAAATTCATAGTTTTAAATTTTGGTAAAATTTATTTTATAAAAAAATTTTTAATTAACTGCTGATGTAGATATATTTTTTTTTTTATAAATAATTTATTATTTTTATAAATTATGGAGAAAAAATATTATGAAATTAATACTCCTTTTAAAAATGATGATATAGAAAAAAAACTTAGAGAGGAATTTGAAAAAGTAAAAAAAGATGGAACGTTTTTAAATGTTTCGGAAATTGAGGTTAAGTTTTTTTTTTTTTTATATATTATTTACATTTCGATTTCAAATATTTTGAAATTATAATTGTATTAAATTACAGGAGAATTTGATGATTTTGAAAAAATGGTTAATTTCAGCGCCAAAAAATATTGTTTATAGAGTTAATACAATATTATCTGATTCAAAACAAATAACAAATTGTATAGAAAATGAACTTCATTGCGTAAGTTAAATTATTATTTTATATTTCTTTCAATTATTTTTATTTATCTTAACACTAATGTAAATTCATATTTTTTACAAAAAAAAAAAAAAAATTTCTTATTCTATTTACATTAATAAATTATTTTATTATTACAAATATTAAAAATTGCAATAAAATAAAATATTTAAATTTAATTATATACATATAATTTTTTATTTTATATTTTGGAAAAAAAAATTTGAAAAATTTTATTTTACAATTTTATTGTAAATGCGTTAAAATTAATTATAATTAATTATTTTTTATAAATAGAAAATTTTTAAATAATATAATTAGTTTTTATTTTGAATAAAAAATAATTATTTAAATTTATTTATTACAGCAAAACAAGACAAAAGGACATTGTCGTAAATTACCGACAATTAAATTATTTGAAAAAATTCCAGAATTAATTGTCGTTAATTGTTGGAATGATGAGATTAATTTGAATTTAGAAATTCAATCGAAAGAAATTATTGTCGATGTAAAATGTGGAGAAGCTGTAATTCGAGGAGCTGATATTTTTGCACCTGGTGTAATTGGAATGCCTCATGGTATTTTTTTTTTTATAAAAAAAATATTCTCTTTTATTTATTAAATATTAAAATATTTTAATTAAATATTAAAAAAATATATTTTATATAATTATTTACAAATTAAAAAAAAAAAAATAATTTTAATTTAGGATTAAATGTCGGTGAAACTGTTAGTGTATTTGCTGATATTGTTAAAGATTGTAAAAAGGGTCTTGTTAAAAAATATGCCGATGAAAATAAATTTTTTCTTGGCAATGGAATTATACAATTGACCAGAGACGATTTATTTGGACATGAAATAAAAAATGTGAGGTAATAACGAAATTAATATTTTAATATGATAATAAATTTTTTCTAAATTATAAAATGAAAACGAATTAAATTTTATTTATGAAAAAAAATAAATAAGAATTTTTTTTTTTTTTTTTTAGTGGTATTGCTGTAAAATTAATTGATGTTGTGTCGAGACTTCCACAATTAAATGATAAAAACTTTGAAATTGGCTCGTGTTTACTTCAAAATTTACCATCAATTATTTGTTCACGAATTTTGGATCCTCAACCGGGAGAAATTGTTCTTGATATGTGTGCTGCTCCAGGTCATAAAACTACACACATTTCTGCTTTAATGAAAAATAAAGTAAGATTTTGAAAAATTATGTTTTTTTTTGGTTTCCCATGTTTGGGAAATATTAAATAAATAGGAAATATTAGAAATAACTAAAATAATAATTAAATTAATATAAATAATTAAACAGGCCTTAGATTATACTTTTTCCAATTTTTTTTTTTTTTTCGAAATTACGACTTCTTTCGACTTATTTTAATAGGATGTCGACTTTCTCGACTTTCTTTACATTTTTTACAAAATTTTTAAACAAAATACGTTTTTTTAGTATACAATGCTAAATTCATTATTTTCAATAATATTATAATGAAATTCTTCAAAAATTCAATTATCTTAATCAATTTAATTATTGTCTGAAATTTAATAAAAATATTTTGAAATTCAATTATCTCTAAAAATTACAATTCGAAAATTTAATTATTTAAAAAAGTTTCAAATAAAAACTCTAAAATTCAATTGTTGTTAGAAATTAAAAAAAAAAAAAAAATACAGCAATTTAAATCTGTTTAAAACTGAATATTATTGCCTTAAATATTGTTGACCTTTATAACTAAAAACTACTAAAATTTTAAATTTGAATAAATTTTTGATAATATTCTTCTAGAATTATTTTTATTAAGAAATTTTTTTTTGAATGTAAGTCAACTAAAACAACTTTTTTTGCCCCTCAAAGTCGATCCGAGGCCTGTAATTTAAAATTACAGTATTAATTTCATGCCATGAATTTAATATTATTATTATTATTATATTATTATTATATCATTTTTTTTACTATCTTTTTAAATAATTTAAAAATTATGAGAATATTTTTGTCTTTTTCTTCATCCAGGGAACGCTAATAGCACTCGAAAAAAATAAGAACAAATTACAAGGCTTAAAGAAACATTGTGAAAATTTTAATGCAAATCAAGTTCATTGTTTTTGTTTTGATTCAACGAAGGCATTAATAAATGTCGATGAAAAAAGACAAATTTCACAGGGACCTCCTTTTTTAAAGGAAACATTTGATCGTATTTTATTGGATGGACCATGTAGTGCTTTGGGACAGAGGCCACAATTTTTCAATACAATCACAATTTCACAGCTTAATTCCCATGTTTTTTTGCAAAAAAATTTATTTTTCACTGTAAGTCCAAATTTTCATATAAAAAAAAAAAATCATCAAATTATTATTTAAAGTAAATAGTGTTAATTTTCCAAAATTAAATAAAAATTTAAATTAAAAAAAGCAGTGAGAAGATCTTTATGGAAAAATATTTTTTTTTTTTCTACTTAGACAAGAAAAGAAAATTTAATATAAATTTTTTTATTTAAAAATATATTTATATCGTAAAATCTAATTAATTACAATAAAAAAATTAGTTTTAAAAAAAAAATTTCTATTTTTACAGGCAGTAGAACTTCTTAAATCTGGTGGAACTTTAGTTTACAGTACTTGTACAATTACTTTAGCAGAAAATGAAGAAATTGTTGCATGGGCATTAAAAAAATTTCCAATTTTAAAATTACAATCGATAAAAAATAAAATTTCACAAATGAACATTTTAAATTATGGTACTACAGGTTTTAATATCGATGGATTAACAATTGAGGAATCTGATTCATTACTTCGATTTGGTCCCGAAAGTGATTGTATTGGATTTTTTATTGCTTGTTTTACAAAAAAAGAAACACAATAATTCATTAATGGTGAGTTAAATTTTTTTTTATTTGCCTACATAAATTTACAAAATATATTAGCATATAATATTTGAATTAATTGGAAATTCCTTGACCGTAAATTTCAAATTCTAATTCATATCCTGATATTCTGGTTGTAATTTTGAGAAATTCATTTACTGTTTCATTTTTTCTAATTAGAATTAAATTAAATTTTTAATTTTTTAAATTATTTGAAAATTCTTATTTTTTATTAAAACATAGTGTACCATTTTCTTGTGTAATTATTATTAAATAATTCAGAAAAATATACTTACATTGGTTGAAAAATTATGGAAATTTTTAAACTTCGTCCAATAATTTTACTGCCAGATGATAAAATGCCAGTTGTGGGAAAAATTGAAAATTCACTCTGTTCGTTTGTTTGTTCTATTTGAAAATCTTGATCCCACACTTTTTTTGCGGACAGAGAGAGAAAAAAAAAAATTAACGAACATTTAAATATTTATTTGATATTTATAAAATATATCATTACTTTTTGAATGAATAAATCATTTGAAAATTTTATTTAATAATTATAAATACCTGCACAATTTTCAATTGTAAGAAATAATTCTTTACTACTGCCAATATAAACATCATTGAAATTTAATGATTTTGTGGAAAGCTTTATCAAGGGAAGATAAATTTGTAGAGAAAGTTCAATTTCCTGTTAAGAAATTCGTAAATTTAGTATTTTTATAAATAATAAATTCAAACAAATTATTTATAATTTTGAATTTTTATTAATTAAATAATAATAATAATAATAATAATAATAATAATAATAATAATAATAATAATAATAATAATAATAATAATAATAATGAAATATTAACTATTTACATTAGTATAAATAATTACAAATATTTTAATTAGTTTTATAATGTGGATAATAAATAGTAAAATATTAGTAGAATGTAATAATAATTAATAATACACCAATAAAATATTATTATAGTAATTAAATAAATACAATTAAACACTAAAAATAAAGTAAATTGTAAATTTATAACACTTACTTGTACGCATCCATCAGAATAACAAATTAATAAGTTTGTATTTATCCTTTTTAACCAGTCATTATAATTTTCATTCTCCTTGACTATTTCATGAATCATTCTGTCATTTAACGTACAGGCAACTAGAGTCTAGAAGACAAAAAAAAATTTTTTTCTCCAATGAAAAAAATTTTATTACATAATTTAATATATTTTTAATTTAATTAAAAAAAAAAAAAACATTACAAAATTTCAATTTTAATTTAATTAAAAAAATTAATAATTTATTACGTTAAAAAATATTTTAAAAAATAAACATTAATTAATAATAATGCGAATTAATTGATTTGAATTGATTGAATTAATTAACTAATTTATTTTAATATTTTTTTTTTATTATTTTTTATACTTCAATGCTCTCTCCAGGTTGTAAGCATAAATTAGTTGATAATTTATTTGCAAAATTTGTCACATTTTTGATACGAAATGGATAATCAATCTTGAGAATTATATTCAATGCTTCTTGATTTTCATTTTTTAAAACAATTTGCTTTTCAATTCTTCAAAATAAAAGTATTATTAACTGGTTATAATTTATTTATTTATTTTTTTTTTATAATTATGTATTTTTTTCAATAAAATTAATTTTCAAATTAATAGAAATTATTATGAAATTATTATATTTAAATATTTCCAAACAAATCTTATAAATAAATTATGAAATTAATTTCCTTGAAAGTACAATAATTCTAATTTGTAAAATTAAATTATTGTAATGAAAATTAAAATTACGTATTCTTATCTTTCAATCCATTTCCAAATTCATTAGCAAAGAATTTAAAAAGCATCTGCGATTTTGGCGAGAGAATAGTAAGAAATGGTCTTAAATTTATAATTTCTATGTCAATGATAGTCGGAGAAATTGAACAGCCATCACTTCGTAAATAACATTTATCTTTTCTTTCAAAATATGAAAATTCAAATTATTTTTTTTTTTTACATAATTCAATATTAAATAATGAAAAAATATTGTTTTTTCGTTATATTTTCCTCTTCAAAAAAAATTATAAATTAAATACTTGTGCTTTGGAGAAATTCTAATAAATCCTAGAGCTTGAAAGTAAATTTTACTATTGTAATAATTAAATGGAACATTAGAGTTAAAATTGACAGTGATAAATCGTTTTTCCTTAGCTGGAATAAATAATTCTCGTGGTTGTATCTAAAAAAAATGATCATGAAAATATTATGCAAAATAAAAAAAAGTATTTAATTAAAATCTAATAATAAAAATAATAATAATACTTAAAATTATATTTTAAGAAATTTCTAAATAATTAATAAAAAAAAATATATATTTAGTGCCATTCCAGGAGTTTTTTAGCACTTTTCGGAGTAACCTTTCCAAATTAAATGAAACATTTTTTTAATAATATTTATTAATATTAAGGTCCAAAAAAACCACTTTTTAAGTAAAAACAATTGTTTATTTAAAAAATACAACAATAAATAATGCAAAAAATTCACTTTTTTCCTGCAACTCCAAATAAATTGGTTTAAAGATCAAAATTTTCCTTATTTTTCAAGCTTTACTACCGCACAAGAAACATAGAGTCCGAGAAAATATTCAACTCACAATTTTTTAAACAATGTTTGTTTACTTTTTTGTATTTTATTTACTGTGAAACGTCTGCTAAAGCTGCGCGCGACGTTTGGAAGTTGTCGCTTTCCTTATTGAGCAGAAGCTCATTACACTAGCGTAGTAAAAAACATGTTGTGTGAAAAGTGAGGTTTTTCATCCTTCAAAAATGTTTTTTATGATTTTTTACTGCAAAGTAGATAATTAAAAACCATTCAATGTGATAACCAGAAATTTTTACGTTTCGTTTAATGACAACATAACCTCACTTTTTGCACAACATGCTTTCTACTACGCTAGTGTAATGAGCTTCTGCTCAATAAGGAAAGCGACAACTTCCAAACGTCGCGCGCAGCTTTAGCAGACGTTTCACAGTAAATAAAATACAAAAAAGTAAACAAACATTGTTTAAAAAATTGTGAGTTGAATATTTTCTCGGACTCTATGTTTCTTGTGCGGTAGTAAAGCTTGAAAAATAAGGAAAATTTTGATCTTTAAACCAATTTATTTGGAGTTGCAGGAAAAAAGTGAATTTTTTGCATTATTTATTGTTGTATTTTTTAAATAAACAATTGTTTTTACTTAAAAAGTGGTTTTTTTGGACCTTAATATTAATAAATATTATTAAAAAAATGTTTCATTTAATTTGGAAAGGTTACTCCGAAAAGTGCTAAAAAACTCCTGGAATGGCACATTAATTATACTTTTTTGTACGAAAACGCATTTTTTTTTCTTTTGTAAGCTTGAAGAAATATAAAATAAATATTACATTCAAAAGTCTCTCGTCAACTTCGCTAAAATCTGGAAGCACAGACAGTTCTATTTGTTCTTTTTGTGACTTGTCTTTTTCAATAGTACTACAATTTTCTGATAATATTGTCATTTTTGAACTTGACGAACTGGAAAAATAATTGGAAAAAGTATAATTTCCTTTTTCAAATTTTGTACGAAAATTTCTTAAAAGGAAAAAAAAAAAATTCTAAATCTAATTTTACCTGTCAGTTAAAGTCAAAGAATTAAAACGATTTAATTCCTTGAAACTTGGATTTGATTCGTATCTTTCTAAAGAAGATTTAATAAAAGGTGTCTCAAATTTTAAATTTTCTTCATTGCATTCATTCTTGGAATTTTCAAAAAATGAATATGGCGTAAAAATATGAAGAAATAATTTTAATGGCCTTATTTCAATAAATGAATCATTTTCAATTCGAAATAAATGCCATTTAATAATTATTGGAATGTAACTTGTATTCTCAATAGCGAGGGATCTGAATTTTAAACAATCATCGTATTTCATAAATCTGAAAAAAAATTTTTCAAAGAAAAAAAAAATTAATTTCTTTGATATGAAATAAAAATTAAATTGAAATTTAATTTTTAAAATAAATAATGTTTAAGTAACTAAAAGAAAATTATTCTTATTTTTATATTGTAATATTTCAGAAATAAAAGGTACAAATAAAAAAAAAAGGAAAAAAATATTTAAAAAAAAAATTAATAAATTACCTCAGAACTGGACGTTTCCAGAGTAAATTTCTACAAATTGGATACAAAACTGGTAAGTCCTCGACTTGAATTTGTACATTAAATAAAAATTGCGGTAGACCATCGATATTAATATAAACTTCTTCATTATATTCTCCCCAGGTATCTGCATAGGTGTAAACATAAATTGTTTTTATTTCAAAAGGATCAAGTTTTCCACATGAAGGTTTTGTGAGTACAACAATTCCACATTCGTGCTGTTTAATTTCATCCCAATTTTCATCTAGAAAATTTTTTACATTTATTTTTTTTCTATGAAAAATAAAAAATGGTATTTATATTTAATAATCGATTAAAAGCAATTAAAAAAAAAATTGAAAACCTGAATAAAAATTTTGTATTATTAATTTAAATTAATTATTATTATTATTTTAAGTTTAATTTAAATTCAAAATTCTAATTTTTTTTTATTTATTTATAATTATTATTTATTTAGTAATTGGATTAATATTTTATTAAATTTTTAATTAATTAAAAAAAATGGCGCATTTATTTTTAAAATGTAAAAAACAATTATTTACCAATGAATTCATTTTCATTTTCGAGAGAGGAGAAATTTTTTACATTTATTGAATAATTCGTCTCGATAGCAGTATTGTTTTGAATTAAAAAAATTCTTTTTTCAGCTGAAAATAAATTATTCAACATTTAAATAAAAACATTTTGTCGTAATTAGAAAAAGAGAAATAGTGAAATTTTTCGAAATTGAAAAATATTGTAAAAATGTTTCTCAATATTTTTTTTTTTTTTTTTTTGGATTTATCATACCTTTTTTAAGAGAAAGTCTACTAAATTTTATAATCATATTTTCTGTCCATTTATATTTTCTTTCGCAAAAAGAAGTGAGAGAACAATAATCATTTATACTTCCCAATGAAATTTCCTCTAAATAATTTTCCATTTCACTGTCTGTTGATTCAAATTCTTCTGGTGTAAAACTTTCACTTCTTAATTGAATATCTCTGTATCTTATTATCTAAAACAAAAAACGAAAACTAGAATCTCAATTAAATTATTTTTTTCTTAAAGAAAAAAATATAAATTATTTAAAACAAAAACGAAAAATAGAATCTTAATTAATTAAATTATTTTTACTTTTTTCTCAAAAAAAAAAAAATAAATAAATAAATAAAAATAAAAATGATAAATAATTTAAAGAAATTTTTAACTTTCACTCATTACTTTTATATCAGATTCAATTTGATTGCCATTATTGTTCCAATTAACAATTATTAATTCATCACTTGGTAATAAACTCTCGAGATTTCTCCATGGAAATAAAAACGATACATTGAATGATTCTACAAAACATTCTATTCTCATTGTCATTAAATTATTCATATTTCCCGAAAAGCATGGTATGAAAAATGAAGAAATCCAACCCTATATATATAAATAATTAAAAAAATAGAGAAATTAATAAAAATTAAAGTTAAAAAACATTTTATCAATTATTAGAATTTTTTTTTCACTTTCTTACAGATTCAATTGGTTCACAATATAATTGTATTATTTTTATATTTTTTGGACGTATTGTACCCCTTTTTGGTTCAATTATTACATTTAATTTATATTTATCGTCGCCAAAAATGTCACCCCATTCAAAAATTATATGTCGATTTGATAAATTTCGTAAAATTACTGAAAATTGTTCTCTCATTCCTTTATAGAGTGATCTGAAAATTGGAGAATTAAAAAAATAAAAATGTATTCCAAATAAAAATAAAAAAATTTTTTTTTGAAATAAAGAAATTCACAAACTTTGCAGGTTTTAAAACGGCGATTTGCTGTTCATTTTGTAAAAAAATTGAATCTATTGATTGAACGCCTCTTGAATTTTGATAATCAATTATTGATCTTAACTAAAAGAAAAAGTTTTCCTTTTTTTAGACTTATAGAAAAAATTTTGTAATTACGTAATTTTAATTTCAAAATATAAATTTCTAAGAAAATTAAAAAAAAAATCATTTACTGATTTTGTCAATTTGTCACAATTTTTTTCAACACATGAGAATTGTTCGTTTTCATTTGAATATTTGCATTTATAATAATTTGCATTTATTTCTTTATCATAATATTTTGTCTCTTTATTTTCAAAAGATTCAGACAATAAAACTTGAATTATGATTTCTATGTCAAAAATAAAAATATCAACGGTCTGGAATTATTGCAAAAAAAAAAGAAAGTATTTTTGTATTAAAAATATCGATTATTATCCACAGATTCTAAATTTAAAATATACATTTATAGAAAAATTATTAATATACAAAAAAAAGTAATATAAAAATATTTTTATTTCTACTAATTATTAATATTGTAATTTAGTTATCTTACAACTTTACACGTTCTTCTTTTATTTACACTATTTTGTAAATGTAATTTTAAATTTTTATTAATTGCTGACAGTGGAATATCTTCGATACATAATCTAAAAATATCATTTTCTTTAAATTTGTATAAAGTTTATTTAAAATTAAAAATTACTTTTGTTAACAATAATAAAAATAAAAAAAAATTAAATTTAAAATTATATAAAAAAAAAAAAATTAAATTAAAATGAAATTAAAAATTAAATAAGGAAAAATAAAATAAATCTCACTGCAATACTGTACGATATTCATCAGCGACTAAATTATCAGTTTCAACAAAAATCAAAAATGAAGTTAACGAATGAGGTTGAAAAATTCCCACTTTTGGATCAATGAAAATTTCATTTAATTCTAAATTTTCCCAATTTTTTTCTTCATTATCATTTTTTTCATTTACTTCACGATTCTCCCAACGATAATGCATAATTATATCACTGTCAAAAAAAAAAAAAAAAAAACAAAATTTTACATTCATCGAAAAAAATGAAAAAAAAATTAATACAAAAATTTTGTAACAATAATTTACCTTGTATTAGATATTTCAATTACAGTTTCAAATCTTCTTTTCGACTTTTCATAATTTAATTCGACACAATATTTTGTGATAATATCTTCACTTACTTCAGGCACGAGATTTTGCTACAAAATGTAAAATAAATTTTGTTACTTGTAAAAAAAAAATTAATAAATAATTTTTTACCTCAAAAAGAATAAATTTTTCTTCAAACATAATTCCATCTCCTATTATTTCGATTGATTGAACAGAACAATTGTCTCCAATAATAAAATATTTGTCCACCTGGCGTTTAAATAATAGTTCTATTAAAAAAAAAAAAAAAAAGGAAAATTAAATTCATTTTTTTTTTTATTTCAAATATTTCTACCTGCATTCCATAAGTGAATGGAAAAAATAAAGATTGAAATGTTATTTCTTCATTGTTTTGTAGAATAAAATAAGCTGGAAAAACAGCGAATGGTGGTGTTAAAACTATATTGTCGCTTGTTACATCCTGTAAATGTAAATTAAAACATTTTAATTTTTGCTCTAAAATAATAAACAAAAATCATATTTAATAGAAAAAAATTATATAAAAAAAAAATCATAAAAAATATTTCAAAAAATAAAACAATAATATAAAAAAAGGATAAAAACTGACAAAAATAATAAATAAAAAACCTCAATTTTCATTGATGACCAATCAACTTCACTGATGATAAAAAATTTTCCACTTTCACCAGTATTTTTCATTGTTGTTGGAATATTCACCATCTCACCAATGAAACATTTTCCACATTCAAAATAAGCGGTGAAAATTATTTCATTTGCTGTCACATTGAATTTTAATATCTCCTTTGAAGAATTTAATTGTGATTTCATTTTTGCTGCTAATAACTGAGCTTAAAAATTGAATTACATTTAAATTTGAATAATAAATATTTGAAAAACAATTATTTTATTCTATTTTTATAAATTCTAATATTCACCTCTTTGCGATTAAATAATTCTTGATCAATTGTCATTGTAGTGTTTAATGAAACTGTCGTGCTCGTTGATTCGGATTGAAAACATGAGTGATAAAGTGTATTAACACCTAATAATAATTATTTTTATATTTAAAATTTATTTTTTTAATTAATTTTTTTCAAATTCATGTTTTCTTTGATATAAAATATTTTCTAATTTTTGTTTTTCCTAAAAATTTTATTTCTAATAAAGTTTAAATTTCCTTTTTCTAATAAAGATATACTATTTTATTTACAATTTTATTAAATTAAACCAAAGAATAATTAAAATTTTTTTTTTTTAATAAAAAAAAATTCAAAAATGTTTTCCAATATTTAATAATTAATTTTCAGTGAGTTATAAACAATTTAAAGTAATTAATGACATATTTTTTTTTAATAAGAACTAAAATTCAATTAATTGTGTAAAAATTAATACAATAGAATGAAAAAAAAAAAAAAACTTACCTTGTAAAACTGGAGGATCTCTGAAAGCATGAACAAATAATACAATTGTTTTTCCTCCTTGAATTCGAATAACAATATTCTCTTCAGGTTCTTGATAAAAATCAGAATAAAATGACACTATTAATTTGGCCGACATTCCCGGTGCAATTGATCCTTTTTTATTATTTCCAAATTCAAGAAAAATATTAAATCTCGACTTTTTTGGCCTCTCCAATTGAAATCTCGCCAAATTTGAACTGACATTTTTCAATGATACAATTTTCTGAAAATAAAAATAATGTTTCGTAACAAAAATTTAATTTCGCATTTCGTTACTGAGATAATTTTTTTCTTTTTGTAATAAAACAATTTATTTCACCAAAAGGATAAAATTATTTTACTAAAAGATGAAATTATTTTACTAAAAGATGAAATTATTTTATTATAAAAAAAAAAATTATTTTATTGTAAAAAATATAAGATTTAATTCGTATTTCTTTTTGGAATATATAATTTACCTTATAAGTTTTCTTCAATTGAAAATTACGAAATTCTAAAATATCCGGCGTGGCAAAAATTATTGCCTTTTCATTTTCACTTTTAATTGAACTTCTTCGTGTAGATTTAGTATCAAAATTATCCACCGATTTCCTGTGTTTAATAAATATTATATAAAATTAAAAAATAAATAATAGGAAAAAATGAAATCAAAATTATTCGAAAATTAAAATGAACAAAAAAATATACATGAATTTCCTCGATGAAATAGTAATTTCTGAATTCATTGTCCCTCGACGATTTTGTATTCATCGATAAAAATATTACTCATCAATCTCTAAATTGAAAAAAAAAAAAACATTTAATGGAAATTATAATTTCACTTTATTTTTGTTTCATTTGTAAAAACTGACCTACATTATTATTATTATATATATATATATATATTTTTTTTTATTTAAAATATCGCACAGTTGAAACAAATCATATCTTTCAATTTCGGAAATTGTGATTCTTTTTATTTTCTACTTCATTCTATTCCTTTATTTTTCTATTTTTCCTTTTTATAATTTACGCAAGAAAAAAAAAACGAAAATAAAAATATAAAAAATTTGTTTAAAATTTTAATGAAAAAAAATTTACAGTTAATACAAGATTTATTGGAAAATTTATACCAATATATATATTTTTTTTTTGTAAAACACAAAAAAAACTTCTCAAGTGCTATTTCATTATTTAGGTCCGTTACCTTAATTTATTTGTTGAAAAACAAAATCTTTTAAATTCACGGACCACATTTTATTATTTCATCTTAATAATTGTCGTTATTTTCTTTTTGTACATTTTTCTGTCAACAACGAAAAAATGTGACACAATGTCTTGAAGTTTGATGAAAAAAAAAAAAATGACGAGAGTATAATAGCACTTCTTTTTTGAAAAAAAAAAAAAAAAAATTCTCTCAAGCAATTTAAGCATAGAATAATATTTACAGAAAGATAATATTGATAGTACCTAAACTAGGATTTTATATCTGTTCATTTCTTTCAAACACTCAAAATTCTCAGGTATATATATATAATATATATATACTTTTCTTAGATATTAATTTTTTTCATTGTTAATTTTTCTCGCTTGAATCTAGCTTAACATATTGTTTAAAAAAAAAAAAAAATTGTTACAAAATTTCGATTGAAAAAAAATAATAATAATTATTTGAAAATATATTCATTAATCAAAAACTGTACACTGCTAACAATACACGAAATTATAATAACAAAATACAATATATTTATAATAATAATAATAATAATAATTAAACCATATTAAACTAACGATCGCGTCTCTCTCACTAAATCATTTTTTTTTTTTTAACAATTATTACCAGTTATATATATATATAATATATAATCATATAATTATAATATAATCATTTTATATTATGAATATTATATTATAATAATATGTATAGTAAAAGTATAATAATAAAGGAAAGAAAAGCACTCCTCGTAATTAAAAAAATTTTTCTTTTATTGACAAGTTAAACTAGGTTCAAGTTAATCATTATGCATTAATGGTTTCATACCATAATTGCTCAGCAAAAATCACATAATAAATTTTTCGTAATTTGAAAACAAATCATCGAACATAATAGACAACAAATTAATACGAGAGAGAGAGAGAGAGAAATATAAAACCCTAGATTATATGGTACGTTTTTTTTTTCATCTTCTTAAAATATATAATTATATAGATGTGTATTTTTTTTTTGTTTTTTGTTTCCTCTGACAAGTGTTTGTAGCCTATATTTAAAGGTGAAATATTGCTACTCACAGCAGTAACATTTTTCCCTTTTTCCTTCTACAATGAAACATATTTGAATCGACATATAAATTAATATTAATCCTAAAATAAAATTGTCAGCCAACTGTAATACATTGAGACATGAATGTTACAGTAAATGGTTGTAATCTACAATAGCACATAGATTGCTTTGAATTTAAAGTGATTGATTTTTTTTTGTGTTCATGTGTGTGTGTTTTTTGCTTTCTTTACAATATTTCTTTTTTTTTTTTTAGCAAAGTCAAAATTAATTTTTATTTTGAAAAAAAAAAATGTCGTGTGTATGTGTGTGTGTATGTGTGAAATTGTCATTTTAATTTAATGTCACTGATTCACAAAGTGAACGTCCCTATATATATATACATAGACGACTCACGATTATATTTTATTTCAAAGTACACACTTTTTTTGTTTTGTTTTACTGAAAGTGTTATTTCAATATAGCAAAATAGCTACATGATTTCTTTTTTTTTTTTATATATAAATTTGAATCCATGATCACTTTTAACTGTTCACTTGTCGAGCTCGAGAGCTGCGTATTGTTCCTCATCAACTTCCGTCATCATTAGATTTCCATCGGGAAGAAGTAAAACGACTCTTCTCGTACCGCCTGTTAAAAAAAATTGAAATATTAAAATAAATCTACTAAAAAATAACTGCTTCTAAAAACAGTTATTCATTGATCTTGGAATTTTAACATAATTTCAGTTCCTTTTTCATTTTTTCTTTTTTTCTAATTCAAATTTATTTTTTTTTTTTTTAATATTCTCTATTTAAAAAATTTTGGCTTCTAAAATAAAATTTTCTAATTCTATCTATAGGTATTTTTTTTTTAAATTTTCTACAAGGGATTTACTAAATTCGTTACGAATTTTCGATTTTTCTTGACTAATAAAATTTCATTTTTTTACTTTAATCGATAATATAAAAAAATGAATTATTATTACTTTTATAATTCCGAATTAAAAAAAATTAAGTATTAATTCATATTTACATAGTAACTTTTTAAGGGTATGTATGTATATGTAATTCTAATTTTAAAAATATATATTATTATTAAATATTGTTAGAATTTAAAAAAAAAAATGACAAATAATATTGTTTAAATTTATTATTAAAGTTGATTTGAATTTTAAAATAAAAAATACAGATATTATCTTTAATTTAGAATAATTATTCAGAGAAAATATGTCATAAGTTGATTAAAAATCTTCGTTTTTGTCACCAAATGTAAACACAAATGTTTTAAACAAATAATACCACTCAAAGTAAAAAAAAAAAAAAAAAAATGCGTCAATTTTACAAAAAAAAAAATATCTTAATTATAAATCATACTTAAAATTTAAGTTTTATATTTAAAAAAAAATTCAATAATTAATAGTTATTCATCTAATTGAAAAAAATACAAATACACATAATTTTTAATAAATTCTTCGATAATTGAATTATTTTTGAATTTTTTTAGTTTAAAAATTTTTTAAAATAGAAAAAGTCTAAATTTACAATTGTAATTCATTCAATATATATTAATTAAAAACTTTGATTCGAAATTAAATTTAAAAAAAAAAAAAATTGTACCTATAAAGTTTTTCATACATTTAAAAATTTTACAAATTTTCAATTGAAAATCTTTTAAAATTTAATTATTAACAAAAAAATTTAACTGACAAACTTCGAAAATTTAATTAAATAAAAAAATTTCAACAAAAATTCTTCGAAATTTCAATTATTTCCAAAAAAAAAATTTTAATTAAAAATTTTCTAAAATTTAACTATTTGTCTGAAATTCAATTATTCCTAAAAATATATCCTATTAATCTTCAAAAATTCAATTATTTTGATATATTTATGATGCTGAAGTTCATAATGTTTATGGTTAACGATTTTAAAAGAAATATTTTTTTGCAGGAAGAATTCTATAACAGGGTGTCTAACAATTGCGTCAAATCTTAAATTATCAAATTTTTATTTAGTAAAATTATATAAAGCAGATTTTCTAGTACATCGAATTTCAAATTAATACAATTTCAATTTATTGGAATTTATGTCAAGAAAAATTGCATAAAGAAAATTTTTTTTAACAGAATTTTTATTTTAGTAAATTTCGATTTATCAAAATATTTACTTAACAGAACTGTTTATGAATAAATCCACAATTAACAGAATTTCTATTTAAAAAATTTCTTAATTAACAAGGTTTTTATTAAAGAAAATTTTAATTCCAACTAATTCTTATTTAACAGAATTCTCATTTAAGGCCATGTGGGAAATAGACGTTTTTTTGTGGATTCCAACTTTCTCTGAAATAAATAATGATTTCGGGTTAAAATATTCAAGACTTGATTTTGGAGGGTGCAAAGCATAGGGCTGTTCTCATTTACGTAAAAATAATAAAAATAAAGCAATAAATAGTAAAATAATGTATTTAATCATAGTTCATTCAGCGGCCACTCGCTCGAATTGGCGCTGTTTACTGGAGCACTGACACACTCAAGCAACGTCTGTGTATGCGCCGCCATCTTTTTTGTCATTTTCGTTTAAAAACTAAACTTTTTAAAATTATTTTTTAAATAATTTAACGCAAAATTAAGTTTTTTCAGGAGAACAGCGCGGTGCATTGTACCCAAATCTATCAACCCTCAAAATTTTAGCCTAAAATCTTTTTTCATTTTAGAGAAAGTTGGAATATTGCAAAACACATTTTCCCATACTAGGTCACGTGGGTTTCTCCCACATGCCGTTAAGAAAAAATTTTACCTAGTTCTTCTTTTGTCAATTTTTATAGACATAAATTTCGTTAAATTGAAATTATATTAATTTAAAATTTTTAAAAAGTATTAGGAAAAATGCTTTATAAGAGTTCTGCTAAATAGAAATTCTTTTAAATCGAATTTTAGTTAAATGTAAATTGAAAATTTTGCTAAATAGAAATTCGATAATTTAAGATTTGACGCCGTAAAAATTTTTATAAGTTAAATGTGGATATTAGCATTAGTGCGATTCCAAGTGAGATTTTGACTTTTTCGGAGTAGGTTAACCGATTGCAATGAAACTTTGGAATTTTGTTATATATAGTAAGACTAATCTTTAACGTAAATTTCAGCCTAAAATATTTGTTAGTTTACGAGATTTGCAATAATAACAAAAAATTTAAAACTGCTATATCTTCCGTTCTAATAAACGGATTGAGGTCTACTTTTTTTTAAAATGTCAAGGAAAATGAGAGGAATAAATCTCTTTCAGAACATTTTTTTATAATTTTACAACTAAAAAAATTATTAAATAATAATTGAATAACTTTCGCGCGACTAACTAAAATTCAATCACTTAAACGCTAAAATGATCTTACCTGTGTTTTCTTTAATGTTCCAAAGGATTTTTATTGTAAATGTAAGTTTAACTTAAGAAATTTTATTAATTTATTAGTATAAACAATTGAGATTTCTGCTAGTTGACGTGCAGACGACATTGCGCACGCAGCATTCTCACATAGCCAACTGACGTGATTCGTGGACTAAATTGGCTATGTGAGAATGCTGCGTGCGCAATGTCGTCTGCACGTCAACTAGCAGAAATCTCAATTGTTTATACTAATAAATTAATAAAATTTCTTAAGTTAAACTTACATTTACAATAAAAATCCTTTGGAACATTAAAGAAAACACAGGTAAGATCATTTTAGCGTTTAAGTGATTGAATTTTAGTTAGTCGCGCGAAAGTTATTCAATTATTATTTAATAATTTTTTTAGTTGTAAAATTATAAAAAAATGTTCTGAAAGAGATTTATTCCTCTCATTTTCCTTGACATTTTAAAAAAAAGTAGACCTCAATCCGTTTATTAGAACGGAAGATATAGCAGTTTTAAATTTTTTGTTATTATTGCAAATCTCGTAAACTAACAAATATTTTAGGCTGAAATTTACGTTAAAGATTAGTCTTACTATATATAACAAAATTCCAAAGTTTCATTGCAATCGGTTAACCTACTCCGAAAAAGTCAAAATCTCACTTGGAATCGCACATTAAATAATAAAAATTATTCGTATTAATGAATAATTTACTTTATTTGAAGTTGAACCGATAAAATAAAATTGTATCAAATAATTTTTATTTATATTAAAAAACCAAATATTTCACTGCAAAAAAATTAATTAATTGTTATTCAAGTTTAAAAAATCATTTATTAGATTCAATAAATAGTAGTAAATAATTATTTACTTAATAAATATAAGACATATCACATGCTTAATAATTGAGTGTGAAGGCCAAATTTTTAATTTGCATTTGCTTTGGGAAAAAAGTGAAAGAAATTTTGAAACTAAGTTACTTTAATTTATTCCAGGCTTCACAGCATAAAATTTGCTGAAAAAAAGGGGAATAGGGGAAATTTTTTTTGAAAAAAGGGAAAAAATAGGGTAAAATATAAATGTATATTTTCCTTAACTAAAATGCTTTAAATAGTTGTTTTAAACAGGGTGTTTAATAAGGATTGAGAAAAAAATTACCCGACTTTTCCATGACTCCACCCTGATATTTTTTTATTTTTCCCTGACTTTTTAATAACCTTAGTTCTGCTTTCTTTGGAACAAATGGTAACAAATGGTAATAAAAACCATTCAAGTTTTTTTAGATTAAAAAATTTTTAAATTCACAAAAAAATTTGAATTTTTGTAGAAATTTACAGAAATTTTCCTGACTTTGAATTAAATTTTTTGAAATTCCCTTACATTTCCCTGACCGTTAGACACCTTATTTTTTCTTTCATGTTTATAACCCTTTGAGGACCAAATTATTTCTTAAAAAGTCACGACTTTTGATTTTCAAATAAGCTTTTCAGAGAAAGTAATTAAGGTTTCTTGTGTCTCAAAATCAGATTTTAGAATTGGAAATTTATTAAACTAAATAAAAAACATTGCTTCAAAATTCAGTTTTAAAATTCATGGAACTTATCGGGGAAAAAAGAAGAAAATATAAATAAAAAAAGTAATTTACCTGGTGTTGGATCATCGGCTTGTACAACTTGTGCAACAACTTGTCCCTCAGATTCGTCCTGTGAACCGGCAACACCCGCCGCATTTGAATTATCCATAATCGACATAACCATTTCATTATTATCCGTCGATTCACCAGTATCGCCACCCTCTTTCACATAAAATTGCGAGCCAAGATTCGTTTGATCAGGCAATAATTGTGCAACAGCTTCAGCAACAGCATGATCCAATGTTAATACCGAACCCTCTTCTTGTGGATCGGCAGTCACATAGGCGCACAATTGTTCTCCATCACCTCGCGTCACCAATAATGTCTGTCCATCTTCAGCTTGACCCGCAACTTGATAAACAACACCATCGTCACCAGTTATTGTCACAAGATTAGTTGTCTCATCATTTGCAACAGTTGCAGCGACATTTTTCTCCTCACTATTCTCCGTTTCGTCAGCTATTGCTATTTTCTCCGTTGATGATGATGATGATGATAATTTAGTCGACGATAATGAGGATGATTCATTTGTTGCAGTCACTTGTGCTGTTATTGTTGTTGTTGTTGTCGTCGATGTTGGAGTTTCTGTTTTTGTTTCATTTTGTGTTGTCGTAGGCGACGTCGATTCATTGACACTGTCATCGAGGCATGGCAAATCGGGTGCAACAACATTTGTGAGGGTAATTTGTTCGTCATTGCTTGTTTGTACAATTGTTCCAGTTGTACCGCCGGGACTCATTTCAACCCTCATCATACCTGAGCCATCGGTTAAACCATCGAGCGATGGTAGAACAATTTCAGCTGTTGTCACCGATGCACCACCTTCGGGATTAATATCGGCTGATGCGACAATTTGTACAGGTGTTGGTGGCGTTGGTTCTTGTGGTTCGGGTTCTGGTTGATCAATTGGTTCACCGTCGGGACCAATTATACGACCAGTCAATGGACAAAGTGTAAAATCACGTGGTGGACTCTCGGGTTCGTTTGTTGTTGTTGCTGTTGTTGTTGTTGTCGTTGCGCTTGGTTGTGTATCAATTGTTGGTACCTCGGGTTCATCATCGCTGCTACTCTCCTCTGAATTAACCTCATGGAATTCCATATGAAGGCCATCGCCCTCGGCGAGTTTACTTTCTTTTGGTTTATTCGCTTGATTCGCTGCGTTGATAATTTGTTCGGGTTTTATTGGTTTTGAACGAATTGGCGTTCCACGTGCACCTGCCAATAATCCACCGCGAGCCACTGGTTTAACACCGGCTTGCTCTTGTAATTTTCGTTTGGCCATTAATAATTTTTGTTGTGTTTGCTGTGCAATCAATGATTGTGGCTTATTGGGTGTGATTTTTTGCATTTGTTTTGTTGCTGCTGTTGATGTTGTTGTTTGAATGGGATTGGCTTTTTTTGCAATACCACCGGCGACTGTGGTGAATTTTGGTCTCATTTGAGTTGTCGTGGGACTTGGTGTTGTTACTGTACCTTGTTGAACGACCATTGGTGAACGTTTTTGTAATGCTTGACGTGGTGTCGCTTGTCGTGACATGGGAGCACGTACTGGTGAACGTATTCCACCGACATTGACAATATTTGATGGTGTATTTTGACGTATATTTGCTCGTGGTAAAATTGTTCTTCCATCGGGTGTTCGTTGTACTGTTGTTACACCAGGACGAATTCCTGTCAAAAAAAAAAAAAAAAAACGTGGATAAATTTAAGAAATTAACTATTAAATTCAAGTTTAATTAATAAAGTGAGCCTCGGATCGTAAGGCGTAAATAGAAGTCGATTTAAATTTTAAAAAAAGTCAATTTTTTTTTTTTATAATTAAATTTGGAGTCAAAATGAAGTGTGGCAACATTTTTTAAATAGTCGTAATTTTTTCATGAAATTAACATATTTTTATTTAAAATAATGTAAATAACTGTACAAGTTGCAATACAGTTTAAAAAAATTTGAAGATTTATACAAATTATTGTTATAAACATTTTTGTGAGTGTTTTTACAAATTTTTTATTTTCTATTATTAATCTAAAAAATCAATTTGTCTGGTGTTTGGGATTATTATTTTAAATTAACATTGTTTTCAACTAATATTTTTCATTTTTAACAAATGATATAATTTGTTAAAAGTAGAAACAATTTATTTAAACAAAAATGAAAATTAATCTAAATTCTTCTTCGATTTTTCTATTTTTTTTTGGTATATTACTCGCAAACACTATCTAAAATCATTCCCAAAAAGGAAAATTTGGTATTTTACTTAATTTTTATTTGTTTAAATAAATTGTTTATATTTTTAACAAGCTACATAATTTGTTAAAAATGAGAAATATTAAACGAAAGCGGTGATAATTTAAAATAATAATGCCAAGTGCAAGAAAAATTAAATTTGTAAATTAATAGAAAAACAAAAATTTGTAAAATCGCACACAAAAATGTTTAAAACAATAACTTGTATAAATCTTCAAATTTGGTAAAACTATTTAACTTTTTTTTTTATTTACTGTTTAGAATAAAAAAAAAAACGTGAATTTCATGAAAAAATTTCGACTACTCAAAAAATATTCGCCCACTACACAAATTTTGACAATTTCCTAAACAATTTATTCAAATTGAAAATTTTGGCATAGTTTTCAGTAATTTTTAATTTCTAAAAATTAAATTTTAGAGTTTTTATTTGAAATTTTTTTAAATAATTTAATTTTTAAAGAAATATTAAAATTATTAAAATTAATTGAATTTTGAAAAATTAATCGTTGAAATTTTTAAAAATAATTGAATTTCAAATGATTACGTTAAATTTCTGCCAATAATTAAATTTTACAGAATTGAAAATAATTGAAATATTTGAATTTAAAAAGATTTTGTGAAATATCTAACAATAATTAAATTTTACAGAATTAAAAATAATTTATCAAATAATTTGAGATAAACTTCTTTTTAAAAATAATTGAATTTCAAGTGATTTTTAATTGAAATTTTTGATGTCTTCTGTTAATGAATAATTTTTTAGAAATTATTGATAAAAATTGAATGTCAAAATTTTTTAATTGAAAAATGCTTTAAATTAATTAAATTTTCAAAGAAATATTAAAATTATTAAAAATAACTGATTTTTTGTAGAGTTAAAAATAAAGTTAAATTTTTTTAGAAATATTTGAATTTCAAAAGATTTTGTGAAATATCTAACAATAATTAAATTTTACAGAATTAAAAATAATTTATCAAATAATTTTAGATAACCGTTTTTAAAAATAATTGAATTTTCGAAGAATTACAATTTAGATTTTTGAAAACATTTCAAGTTCAAGTGATTTTTTTTATTAAAATTTTTTGGTAATTTCTCTTGCTGAAGAATTTATTAGAAAATACTGACAAAATTTTAATTGAAAAATGCTTTCAGATAATTGAAATTTTGAAAAATATTATTCAAAAAATTTTTTCAAAATAATTGAATTTCAGAAAGTTTTAAATGGAAAACTTTAGAAATAATTAAATTTTAGCAAGTTTTAAATTGAAATTTTTGAAAATTATTTTCAAATTGATTTTGAATTTTAATTTTAGTAATTTTATTTATGTTTTTCTTTTTTTAATTTTTAAGAATTATTGAATTTCATAAAATTTTTAATTTGAAAAATAGTTTAAAAATAATTGAATTTGTGAATAATTTCATTAAAATTATTGAAAATAATTAATTTAGAGAAGAATTTTAGTTAAAAATTTGTTAAATAATTAAAATAAAGATCTGCATTGTATACTAAAAAAGACGTATTTTTTTAAATTTGTAAAAAATGGAAAAAAGTTATATTGTTGAAAAAAAGTCGGAAAAAGTTAAATAATCCAAGGCATGATAAAGAGAAAAAAAAATAATTTTTTTTTTTGCCTACCTGTTGTAATTCTCGGTTGTAACGCAATCGGCGATTGAACAGCCGTAACAACGTGAATTTGTTGCATTTGATTGAGATCAGGTTTCGGTTGAATTTTCACTGGTTCTGATTTTGGTGACGTGACAATTGTCGTTTGTTGTTGTTGCTGTTGTTGTTGTTTAGTTGGTGTTATTTTCGGTGTAGTGACAACTTTCATTTGTTGATAGACTTGTGTGCCATCAGGTTTTGAAATAACTTTAACCGGTGTCGTTGAATTTGATGGCGACGATGAAATCACTTGTTTTCTAACAATTGTATTTGTCTCACGACCCTGTTGTACCATTATAACTTGACTTGTTTGTCCAGGCGATGCACCTTTCACTCCCATTTTATTGCCAGCCGATGAATCGAGTTTTATTATTCCATCTTTTCTCGACATCACATAAACGCCTGACGATAAATTTGGCACTTGTTTTGGATCAACTTTAACGACACCCTTTGCATTTGCCACCAATACCGGTTGATTTGATTTCACACCATCGCCAATATCCGAACTCGATACAATTGATCGATTCGAGCCATTTGATTGAACATTGGCACGATGAAATGCACGTTGAATCATATCGCTACGTCCTGTCATTTTATCATCGTCGGACTCGGCTGTCCAGTCCTCGTCACTTGCCGTTTCTCCTTTTGCTCGTTTTGCTGGACTGTCTGAATCGCTGTCCGAATATGGTATTTTTCTTTTACCTAATACTGTTGAGAAAAATTAACAAATATTTCAATTTTATTTCGATAAAAAGAAAAGAACATTTTTTTTTAAATAAAATATTTTCTCGCTTAAAAAATTCAATTACTTACATTCTGCCTCTTCGTCTTTCATTGATCCACACCATTGTTTTACTTGATCCATTGCCTTGGTTTTACTCGAACGCATTGGTCTTCTAACGAATACGAAATTATTCATAAGTGTTCATTGAAAGTATATCAATTTTAATTTGAACTTTATAAAATTTAGAAATTTCGAAATATTTTCTAAAAAATAAAATGGATTCTCACCCAGCTTGAGATGCAGAACTAGGACCAGGTTTCACATTCTCGGCTTTAATTAAAGTTTTCTGCTGTGTTCCACCTGCTCTCAGTGCATTTTTCGCTGCCTGTTGTGCCTTCAGCTCCTTTTGTTTCGCGAGATTTCTTTCAAATTCTTCGAGTAAATATTTGCAAGTCGAAACACTTTCAATTGGTTCCCATGTATTATATTCACTGGAAATATTTTTCTTTTTAAATACATTTTTCAAAAAGGTATAAGAAACATTTTTTTTAAAAAGGACATTTATAAAAATATTTTTAAAAAGATTAAAAAAGAAAAATAAAAACTTGAAAATTAATTTTTTTCTTTAAAATGAAGTAACAAAAAATTGAAAATACTAACTGCGCGTAACCGTCCCATTTCAAAAGATATTCGTAGCATCTCTTCTTCGGGTTTAGTCTTTTAGCGAGAATTTTTTCCACGACATATTCTTCATCACTGTTTTCATTATCGGCCAAACTCTTTCCCATTTTCGACTGAAAGAAATGAAACAAAATTTAGAAAAAACACAATTAGTGGAAAATTCATAATTAAATTCTCATAGTTAAGGAAAATAATAAAATTAAAAAAAGCAAAAATATACTAAGATAAAACAATTTTTTTTTTCAAAATATACCTTAGGTTTAACAGACGGTTTCAATTTATTTTTCTTGTCCTTTTCTTGTTCGGCTTCGACAACATCGATTTTTTGCATCTTTGATTCAGGTGCTTTAATCACATCTTTCTTCATTTCCGTTTCTTCTGGCTGACCATTTCTTATCACTTTACGCATTACAACTGATTTTGATCCTAGAAATAAAAAATTATTTCACAATTTGTTTGTATTTTTTATTTTTTGTATTAAAAAAAAAAAAAAAAAAGAAAAGAAAGTCATTTACCATCGACAGAAGAATTTTGTGTCGCTTGTCGATTAATGTCTTGCATTTTTGTATTACTAATCTTTGTGAATGTTTGAATTGTTTTTCCTGCTGTGACCCAAGAATTTCTGATATGCATATCCATTTTACACCATTTTTGATACAGCTTCCATGAATTTGTTGCATCTTTATCGACACTTTCCTGTTGATGGATTTGCGAATCCTTCCAAAGTAAAAAGGCCCACAATTGTGCTTTTTGTTCATTCTAAAAAAAAAAGAAGACGGAATTTAAAAAAAAAATTTAATTAGAAAATAAAAAATTCAAATGAAAATAGTAAATTAAGAAAAAGTTTTTTTTTTTTTTAAAATTACTATTTACATATTTTAAAAATTATACATACATTGGCATTTTCTCGAAACTGAGAAACTTTCGAACAGGCACCAACTTTGGCACGATGCTCTTGGAATTCTTCGACAAAATGAAACACCGAGTGACACTGACCACAAACTAGAACGTCTAATCTGCCCATTTCCTCTTGAGCAACTGATAACGAAAAAAAACAGGGGGAAAAAATGGTAATAATTGAAAATCAATGTTAAAATTAGAGGCTGAAAAAAAAATTTCAATTATTATAATAAAACTTCTTTCATACCTTTAATTACTTTTGGATTGATTTGAGTTGTTGAACCACCGCCCTCGGACATTTTTTTCACGTACTTGGCTCACAAGAATCGCACAAAATTACTGATTCTAGAATAAAAAATTTTTTTTTTTTTAATATATTTTCAATTAATTTAAAGAAATTTTTTAAACAAAAGTTTCAAATCATGAATAAAGTACAGCAATTAATTTACAATGCTGAAATTCACGTTTATGATCAACGAATTTAGGAGAGATATTTTTTTTTTTTTAAATGAAAAATTCTATGAATAAAATATTTTTTGCAATCTTTATTAATTAATAATATTTGCGGGGATATATGTAAATAAATAAATAATAAAAAAAAACATTTTTTAGATAACAAAATTTTATAATTTTCCGTCTTAAAAAATAATCTTTTTTCTAATTGTTAATCATAAACATTGTGGACTTCAACAACAAATTATATTTAACAAATTTAAAGTATTTATAAATTTCTTTTTTTATGAGAAAAAACTTTTTTTTTTGTACAAAATTTTAAAATTTGTTTTTCGTACACTTCGATTTGTAAACTAATTATATATTAATTATATGTCCCCTTAATGATTAAATAAATAAATTAACCAAATTTTGTAATTTTATTTCAATTTAATTAATTTCAGTTTAATTAATAATTAACTTTCTATGAATCGAATTAATATTTGAATAATAAATAATAAATAATAATAATAATAATAATAATAATAAATAATAATAAATAATAATAATAATAAATAATAATAATAATAATAATAATAATTTACGTTAATGTAAAAAAATTAATATTAAAAAATTTTAATTATTTATTCATAAATGTTAAAAAAAAAAAAACATTGCAATTCACATATATATTTCCAGCTGGCTAATTTAATTAGCAAAAATGTATTGAATTACAAAATAGGGACATCAATACATTAAAGAAATTAAATTTTTGCAAAATGAAAAACAGAATACATAATTAATTTTGAGATTAATTTAAAAATGTGCATTTTAAAAATTGTACGTTTCAAGAAACAAATGTCTTGTGCTCGATTATTTGTACAAACCACATTTATTTAATTATCATGAAATGTGGCTTAAAGAAACTTTCTAAAATATTATCAATCTATTTTTTTTAAATTTATTTTTTATCGCATTTTTAAATTCCCTTATTTGCAAATTTATTTTAAATTTCTCGTTTACATTTTTATTCTCCACATTTTTTTTTCTCTACTAAAAAAACATAAATACAAAATTTTAAATCTATAACAAAAATTCTGTTAATAAATTGTATTTTATAATTAGAATAAAATATTACAAAAAAATACATATTTTTAATAAAATACTAATTCATTTTTTTTTCTTCCTAACCTAAAATTAATTATGTACTCGAATTTTATCACGATTTTTTTTTTCTAAATAATTGTAAACGAACAATTTAGCAATGATAAAAATGATGCTGAAAAAATATTCAACGTGCAGTTGAACTGTTCTTTCTCTTGTATTGCAAAAAGTAGAATTTAAAAGAAAAGAAAAAAAAAAAAAAAACAACAGGAAAAACAACTTGTTGATACATAAATTCGAGGAATTTTTTTTTTGTTCTTCGAGAAATCAAATAATCATTTTTTTACTTTAAAAAAGAAAAAATTTTCATTTCATAGAAAGTCGAAAAAACACGTGGTTTAATTGAGAGGAAAAAAAAAAGTGAATTTATTAGTAATTGTCAATCGACGCCGACACGTTGAAAAGCGTCACCGCGACGATTCTACAGTGGGGGAAACAAAAAAAAAAAAATAACCAAACAACAAACTTATAATTGAAATAAAAAAAGAAATTCCCTTCAATAAATTATCATTATTTAATAAACTTATTTGTGTAAATGACAAAAATGAATTTAAAGCAAGAGAAAGATATACATAGGTGAGGAAGAGAAAGAGAAGAGCATGGACTGTTCACTTGCACGAAATCATTCTGAACGCGACCAATTTTTGCGTATACTTAAAAATTTACAATCAAAATACTTACAAATCTGCTATTTTTGTTATGATAAAACAGCTGGTTCACGTTAATTTCAATAACAATTAGTTATTCAATGACTATAATGGCCTCATTCGCTTATTACAATCAGATATTCCTTGGAACAATGCCATTGCCGCGGTTTCGTGTTCGTTCTTCTTGTGTGTTCACACAACCCGACGAAGCCGATGTTCGTCAAGATGGTCGTCTCACTTATTTCACTCACTGTGTTGATTTCCTGTTTTTTATAAAAAGAAATAAACCCGCTTTTTTTTCAAACACCAAATTTTTCTTTTAATTCACCGTGATATTTGTTTAATGCCAATCAAATAATGGCACTTATTGGTAATAAATTTCTAATAAATTCTAATTTTTTCGACATGGAAAAATTATCGTCCGCACCGCACAAATAAGGTGAAAACAGGGAACAGTGATCGCGTCCAGCGACAGTGGCGCCATTGAATCCGCCCGCCACGGGGCAGCAGCCGACATTTTGGCGGGAAACAATTTTTACCTCAGTATTTTACATTTATAAATGTAACAAAAACATTTCAATATATGTAAAAAATAAGTGAGTGATATAAAATTCTTTGTTCTAAATATGATTGTTATAATTGAATGGTGGAAAAATTTTGTAACTTGTCACAATATATTATATAGTTTTCTGAAAAGTGTTTTTAGAGATTTAAATTTTACCGCGTGATTAAACCGGATCTAGCAGACATAATTTTGGAAGACGCCACAGAATTTAGCATATTTTAATTGGTTGATGAAAAAAAATCACAAGCTAATGGGAAGAGGTGGTTTATTTACACGTGATAAATATTTAATTGCGTAGAAAGAAATTCTTTATTATTTTAAAAATTAGTTTTGTCTAAAAACAATTATTAATTTGATTTCTATTTACGTTGAGTATAATTGTGGTTGAATGAGAAAAAAAAATTATGAGTGATTGTAAAAAATTTTTTTCTATACTAATCACAGGGTCGATATTTAATGGGTACGGTACTGATAAATTGTCCAATGGCAGATAAGTATAGAATGCGGTAAATTTTATAGTCTTGAAAACACAAAAACAAACAAAATTGTCAATGTGAGTTTTTTAAATTAAAAAATACTGTATATTATTTACAGGGGGATTTAAAAAAATAGATTAACTTTAAATAATTCTGAATTTACAACAAATATTTGTTTTTATTTTTTAATATTTGCATATAATATTAAAATATCTCTGTCTATATATATTTGGATGGAAAATATTTTATTTTTTATTAACAATATTGAAGAATAATATTATTTTGCTTGCAAATAAAAGTGATTATTTATTAGTTTGATAAATTTGTTTTGCGCTTTTTTTTTAAGTAAATAAAGAAAATTGCTTAATAAAGAAAAATTTAGGAAAATATTGACATTTTTATTTTAGGTTAGGAAAAAAATCGTAATTTAAAAATTTTGAAAAGGTTTTTAATAAAATAATAATGAATAATAATTTTTCACAATTTTTTAAAAATATTTATCTTTTATTTCTGTAAATTCAAGGATAGATGAATATTTACTTTAAAATAAAAAATAGTAAATTAAAAGTATATAAAATAATTTTTTTCAAATAATTTTTCTTTGGAGACAAAATATTTTTTTTCTTCCCTCTTTTTTTTTTTTTTTTATGAACCCTTCTCTTCGTGCGTGTTTATGGACAACACCCGATGGGCCTTATCGGAGGGGACCCACACCTTGGATTTAAAAGAATTGAGTGCTTCAGTGCTTCGCGAACTTCCACTCACGACTATTCAAATGTCGATATTCGGCACTCGTACTTAAAGAATAAATTTTTTTTTTCGAGAATCAATCATTGCAGTCGTGAAATCATCGAGACAACGTTACCATCTCTCCACTTACTTTAATCAAAATTTATTTATTTTTTTTTTTTTAATTGTCAAACTAATCACGTTTCAATTCGTAAGTAACTCCTGTTATATTACCGTTAAGTTGATTTTTTTTTTTTGCAAACTACAAAAAATATCTATAATAATAACAAAGAAAAAAAATTATCCTTTATTAAAAAAAAAATAGAAATAGAAAAAAGAACAATATTTTTAATTAATTTATTTACAATTTATAAATAAAATTTTCTGTTAAAAATTCTTTAACGAAAAACAAAATTTTATCATTGAAATCTATTTTAAATAATTAGAGAAAAATAAAAATAGTAAATTTAAATAATTATTATTATAATAATAGTATAATATGCATTTTTTGAATTTTTTTTTATATGCGAGGAAAATTATTTCAAATAATATTTATTTAAAAAAAATAATCAAATTGTTAAAAGTATTTTTTTTGTACTTTAATTTGAAATGTTTTGAGGGAAATGAAAAATTTTAATTAATTAAAAACATTATTGCAGTGGAAAAAAAAATCCAATTAATTATACCAAATGTAATTAAATTACACTATTGTTATAATTTGCAGTGATGTAAATTAATTAAATTGTCCGTGAAGCATTTATATTTTATTTTAACGAAATAAAAAAAATGATAATTATATTAAATTTTGAATTGGATTTTGTAATTGAATTTTTGAATTTCATTAGAAATTCAAAAATGATGACAATCTCCCGCTCAATGTGTCTTTGGTACTTCCTTGTGTTATCTAAAAATTTTGCTAAATTATGCTATATATTTCGGAGTTAATTAAAATAGAAATATATGCAAATTTTATTAAGAATACCAAGTGTCAACACTAATTTCTTTTTTTTTAGTTACTCTGACATTTACAGGATTTATTTTTAAATTACAAAAATGATCCATAAATTGTGTTTAATTCTCTATAAAAATGATAACAATTATCATAAAAAAGAGATTTGACAATTAGCAGTTTCTCTAAATTTTTTATCAAATTAATGGGAAAAAATTACTTAATAGTATTGTAAATTTCTTCAAAATTTTTAATGACTACTAACTTTATTAATTGTTTAATAATATTAATTTCTTTTAAATAATTAATTTTTTTTTCTAATTTCATTATAAATTATATATTAAAAAATAATTTATAAAAATATATTAAAAAATTAACATATAATTTACTATCCATAAAGGTTGGTGAACCATCTATTAATTCGGTTTCTTTAGTTTCGATTATTATTTTACAAGTTTAATTTAGAGAAAAAAGGTATTTTCTCAAAAAAAATTGTTATTCATCAAAATATAGTTTGTCAATATGGAAATCATATTTTCTGAAATTCAAACCGCTTTTGTTTCAAGTTTCCTTTTTTAGAGGCGTTAATGTCAGAGATACTATTCAAAAAATTTAAAGTGAAAAAAGAAAGGAATATTTTAAGTGACAAATCCCTTTTCTTTTTATTTATTGCGAAATAAATTTGAATAGACAATTTAAAAATACCAGAATGAATCATAAGAAAATAAATATATTTGAAGAGGTAAAATTTTATTCTCAGGATGAAAACATTCATTAAATGGTGATTTATTAATTTAATTTCTCAGGGGAGGAAATTTAATTTATTTTCAATAGAATCAATTTTTTCATCCATTTTTTTTTTTAAATTCAATTATTATAGAGGATATAATTATTTTTAAATTCCATTATAGAGAATACAATTATTTTTAAATTCAATTATTTTTCAGTTCAATTATTATACTTTAATTTCAATTGTTTTAAAAATTCTATTTTTTTGAATTCAATTGTTTATTTCGATTGTTAATTTTATATTATTATTTTTTCAGTTTGTCGCGAAAAATTTCCAACTTATTAAAATTCAATTCACAAATTAATTAAATACGAGAATAAATTAAATTTTCCAAAGAGTTAAATTAAAAAAAAAAAAAATTTCTAATATTTAAATTTATTGAATTTAAAAAAAATAATTGTATTTCATAATAATTAATTTACAAAATAACTGAATTTGTGAATAATTTTGCAGAGTTCTTAACAAATATTAATATTAATTAAAAATTTATTAATAATAAATATTTTAGAATAATTAATTTTTTTTTTCAACTCATAAAGAATTAAAAAAATTCAACTTTTTTGTTTCTTTTTCAAGTGAAACTATAATGAAAAAAAAAAAAAAATGTTTTTTTTTTGTTCGACAACCACCCCGTCAATATTCTGTTGATGCAAATGATTTGGGCTTAAGAAATATTTATGAAGGTATATTAACTGCTCCTGTGTCACGAATGTCAAGATGATAGTTAAAGTTAAACCATACTTATGACTCGTCCGTTTGGCATGTGCTCGATGCAGTTTTGTCGTTTCAGCTCTCTTTTTATCCCGATTGCTTACACCAACCACTACCATTTTTTTTCTTGTTTTTTTTTTAGAATATGTACAAAAAATGATGCTAACAAAAAAAGAAATCCTTTCTAAGGTCCTTGATCGAGTGGACCATTTTGTATAGTAGCTGAAAATTACCCTTTTCTCTTTGTCCTTTCGTTAATATTTATAGAATTTTTGCTATACGAACAGAAAAAGAATCAAATTATCAGATTATAGTAAAAAAAATAAATAAATTTTAATTTCAGTACATTTTCGTCTATTTTGATAACAATTGTCAATGTTTTTTTTTTTTTTATTTTATATTCAAATATATATGTTGTAAAAAATCAAGCGATTCTGAGACCATTTTTATTATCCGAGGCTAACCGGATATTGCGAGTTGTATATGAGTTCATAATAATAAAACTACTTTAAGAGAAAAAAAAAAAAAAAAGAAAAATTTATATTTATCCAAATTTTCTTGCCGATAAAAGTAAAATTTATTTTTACATTTATATATCAAAGGTACTTTAATACTTTTATTACCCTTTAATTTGAATAAATGCTCTCCTTTTTTGGAACAAATTGTTTCCAAATCAAAAATGAAATTATATACAAAAAAAAAATAATAAATTATAAATTTTTTTTATCAAATACTAATTCAATTGTTCAAATTTGGTAATGAATTCAATTTTTCGAATTTTATTGATTTCAATAATTTTTATTTATTTTTGTTTTTTTCAATTCAATTAAATTATTATTAAAATTTGTTTCATTTTCTCTAATATAATAATCATTAAGGTTGGTACAAAAATTTTATTTTGTTTTTCTCTGATTTTCAGTAAAAATAAAAAATTTTTCCCTTACCCTAATGAAAATATTTCAAGAGGTTTTCAATTATAAAAAATTAAGACAATAATTTTTAGAAGCAAAAATTTGAAATGAAAATTAAAAAAATTATAATTTTAGCAACATTTTTTAGAAATTTGATATTTTTCCAGTACATTTTATAACATTCCCTGAATTTTACATGATTTCCCTGACCCATGGCAATTATTTACGATTTTTTGGTTAATTATGATTCATAATTAATCGTAAAATCGTAAATATTTGCAATTAATTGAAACTACGTAAAAGTTTTTTTTTTTTTTTTTTAATAATTCAATTTATCTAAAAAATTATAAAAAATTAAATAGTAAAAAGTAAAAAATAGTAAATAAAAAGTAATTATTAATAATTAAATTATTATTAGTAACAATAGTTATTATTTATTATTAATTTTTAATTATTATTTATTAGTATATTTATTAATTATTTAATAATAATTTACTTATAAAACAATTCAGTACTATTAAATTGTTTTGACACCGAAATTAAAATTTAAAATATCCAGTTGTTATTTTTTTCTAACAAAAATTGATTCGCTATAAAAATCATTTTCCTCCCCAAAAAAACAAGTGACTACCTATTAATTAAAATTTTTTGGGAAAATAATTTTTGTACCGAACAATTTTTCGACAAATTCGTGTGATTTCAAATTTTGTTACACATTATAGACGATATTTTATATTGAAAATTTTTTAGTCAAGTAGCAAAAGATCTTGATAAAAGCAATCGCGACTAAGTGAACTTGAACGTGTCGTGTTTGCAAAATCCTTTTTATGCCAAGAAAACGTAAAATAAATCTTGACATTGTACAATGTATATTCTATTCATTGTTAATGTATCGATCTTTATTTTTGAAAAAAGAAAAAATCCAAAATTTCTCACCTGTATTTTGTAATTTTTTTCCCCAAAAAAAAAAACATTAATATTTTGCAAAATAATAATCCATTTTTGCTGATTGCTTTTAGTGGATTAAAAGAAAAAAAAACATCTCACTGAAATAAATTTTAATTTCCTACGCGTGACTCCTTCTGTCATCACTTCATTGATTTCGCTTTCAACATATATATCCTGTATAAATATACTGAGACCTATATAATTTAAAAAAAAATATATACAGGAAATATTTCTAAAATTATCTTCGATATATTTTGTAAGTGGTAATTTTTTTTTTCAATGATCCTGTTTTTTTTTTTGTTTTCAAAATTGAAATTTATGCATCTATTTAATCCTGGTGCGTTTCTTTTTTCTATATATACAAGAGTCAATCACTTTTTTTTTCTTCTTTTTTCTCAAGGTCGTTCGCGAATCCAAATCAGATTGTCACTTGGCTTTCTTCATGGCTAACAACCTTCAGTTTCGATGGAATTAACATTAAAATTTATAAATAATAATCGTTTATTTTTCAAATTTTCGTTCTTCTTATTCGACCAATTTTTTTTTGTCTCCACGATATACGCACATTTGGAAAAATCATCTAAATCCAAAAAATATTCGTGAAATATTTAGAGACAATTTATTTCTATTTGATTTCATCGTCACAACAGCAACTGAAACAAAAAAAAAAAAATGAAATAATTATGGAGAAGAAATTATTAATTTCTAAAATTAAAATATTGAAACTTTCTTTGCTTTTTTAAATATTATTTTTTCTAAATTTTGTTGGCACATTAAAATGTAAAATTGAAACGGGAAAATATTTAAATTTCCAAAATAATTAATAATTAATAATTAATAATTAATAAACGTTGGAAATTACTAAGCTTCAAATTTTTGAATTTCCAAAGTAATTAAATTAGAAAATTTTGTATTATCAAAGTAATTAATTAAAAAAAAAATTAATAATAATAATAATAATTTTTAAAAATAATTTTAAATTCAATATTTTTTATTTAATTACTTTGGAAATACAAATTTTTGTAATTTAATTACTTTGTAAATACAAACTTTTAATTTAATTACTTTCGAAATTCAAAAATTAATTGAATTTAAAAATAATGTATTCGCTCACAGAAAAAAAAATTACTAGAATATTCTATCTTATTATTATTAAAAAAAAAACAATCAGAAAATTGTTTACACCTCTTGAAAATATCAAAAAATTATGTTTTAAAAAATGGAACATAATTTTTTTATTGAAGTAACTTCTTTTGGAATGAGAGTGTTCTTTTTTTTAAATAAAATTTTCATTTAATTCTTCCAAACCTAAAATGAAATCGATAAAATCTTCCACACCCTTATTAAAAAAAAAAAAAAAAAATCCATATATAGAATTCAATATTACATTGTGAGTCAAATAAACGAAAATCATTTTTTGCATCCCATTTAAAATGATGTAAAATAATTTTCAAGATAAATTTAATTCAATTGTTGTGAGAAATTCATTTAGATATGTATATGTATATATATAATACATAATTTGTTACGCAAGATTTAAAATACACTTGGCATCGAAACCTTGAAATAAAACAACGCCAAGGGCACTCACCCGCAATTCACTTATATATTATGTTACACAGATTCTAATAAGCCACGGAATTATTGTATTATGCATGAGAGAGAGGGTGAACGTGTCGATAAGGAGCATATAAAATCATTATACATATTAAATAGACGCGGATCTTTACAAACAAAGACACGTGTGTCGTTTACCTTTTTACAATGTCCTTAATCATCTAATGGATCATTCGTGTTCCGCATAACTGTCATCGGTTTACTTTATTTTATTTTTTTTTTTCATTCCTTTTTTAAAACAAGAAGAACCTCTTTAATGGATTCGACAACTTTTTCCCCGCTTCTAAAAGGCAAATTCTGTTAAAAAAAAAGAAAAAAAAAGTAGAAAAAGAAGAAAATAATTATTCGGGTCTGATTTTTAAAATATTGGTTTCTTTATTCGACGTCAGAATTTTATTTGGGAAAATTCTTCCGAGGAATTTGGAATTAAAATAGTGCTTACAGTTATTTCTCAAAAATTAATACAATTTAATTTTTTTTTTTTTATAATTTCACTAAACTTTTAAATTTCATTTGATTTTTATTTTTTAATATATAATAAAAATATATTTAGAATAATTTGGATAAAAATAAATAAATCAAAACTTATAATATAAGTAAATAATAAAAGTTTATTATTTAAATTTATTTAATTCGATATTTATTATTTAAAATTTGTTTAAAATTTATTGTTTAAAATTAAATAAGTACTTAATATATATTTTATTAATTTTTGTTTTAATTTATTTGAAAAAAATATAACCAAATTAAAATTGTAAAAAAAAATTTCTGCATTGAAATCATAATTTGAAGAAAATTAAATTTCAATTGCAAACATTCGAGTTGAGAGACAAAAGAAAGAAAAAATGTTTTTAAAGAGAGATTCAAAGTATTATTTTTTTTTTCAATAGCAATGAGAGTAAAATATTTAAAAATGTAAGACAAGATGTGTTGAGATGGAATAAGTTCATTGACTCTTAAAGTCTTTTGAATATCTTCAAATAGTTTTAATAATTTATGGATACATGACTTTTTGGAACTTTAAGTCAAAAAAACTTTTTAAAAGTAAATTTTTAATTTTGTTCCACAAGTACGAAAATAATTAATTTTCTCAGATAGGATCAATTTTTATTTGAACATGTATACAATGAAAAAAAATTCAATTCAAATAATCGGTATTATCAAATAAATATATTTATAAAATAATTATTATTTGAGACAAAGTAAATAGTATTTGTTTGAAATAGAGAAATTATTGATTCAATAATTGATTATAATTGATGATTATTTAATTCAAATAAAAATTATTTTATTCAAGTAAATATTTATTTGATACTAATCAAGTAATCGATTATTTGTATTAAATTATTTGTAATTTTTAATTTATATATAATTTCTAATGAATTTTTTTTTTCAGTGTGTAATAAAAAAAAAGTTATTTCGAACTCATGTCAATATAAGAAAACAGAACTTATTAAATTATTATTATTTACTATATAAGTTTTGAATTATTTATTTATTTTTATCCAAATATTGTAAATAATTATTTTATTAAAAATCGAGTGAAAATTAAAATTTTTGCCAAATTATTATAAATATATTTATTATATTAATAATCGAATGTAAATTAAAATTTTAGTTAAATTAATAATGAAAATTATTGTCAGAATATAATTTTTGATTTAATTAACACACAGACACACAGACACACGTTTCAAATTATATTAAAAGGTTAAAGTTCTCTTTATTCTACTTTTTTTTTTTTTTTTTTTTGTTAATGCACAGACTCAGACAGCGTGTTTTTAAAGTGAACCAGTTTCAGGGAGAGATATGGTATTAAAAACCGGAATGTTATAATCCTTACACTTATGTTCCTGCTGTGGTTCTTATTATCTTTATTACATCGATTCGCCTGATGTTTCTGTACATAAATGTCCAATTTGCCAACAACTTTTTTAAATCCAATGATCGAAAGTAAACACACTGCATGTGCTTCGAGAAACTTCCTCTAACGAAACTTCAATTATGTAAATTAATTCATGTATACATATTGCAGATTCATTTTCTTTTTTTTTTTTTTTTTTATTATATATATATATTTTTTTTTAGTTTTTCACTTAAAATTTTGAAATTTCGTTAATTCGTTCTTTAATTAATTTAATTTTCCTTTTTCCTATCACTTCTCCCATTATTTTGAAAACAAAAAAAAATGTTCAAAGGAAAAAGATATATTTCTTTTCCTATTAAAATAAATCAGGGTGTCTAACAAGGATTGAGAAAAAAATTCCCTGACTCCTCCCTGACATTTTTTGATTTGTCCCTGACTTTTTAATAACTTTATTTCTGCTTTCTTTGGACAAAAATATGATTATTGACATATTTAACAATAAATTAATTTCTAATGTTAGTAACAAATGGTAATAAAAACCATTAAAATATTTTTAGATTAAAAAATTTTTAAATTCACAAAAAATTTTAATTTTTGTAGAAATTTACAGAAATTTCCCTGACTTTGAATGAAATTTTCTGAAATTCCCTGAGTTTTCCCTGACTTCCCTGACCGTTAGACACCCTGTAAATTTAAGAAACAAAATTTGATCAAAGAGGAAAATTAAAAAATGATTTTGGAAATTTTATAAAATTTTTGGCCTATTTTAATTAAAAAAAAAAAAAACACCGAAAAAAAGAAAAAATTATAAAAAAAAAGTAGATTTCATAATTTTTTAATTCTAAAAAATTCTAATTTTTGTTACCCTACAGAATATTAGAAAAAAAATTTGTGTTTCAAAAAAAAAAAAAATATTTTAAAATGCTGAAAAATAATTTTCACAATTTTTTTTTTCAAAATAGAGAGCGTAATTTAAAAAAAAAATTGAAAAAATTTTCCACTCATCGAATTTTTAAATTCACTGTCGTAATTTTATAAAAGTCATTTTAATCAACTTCCAAAACGAAACTAAAACTAATCCCCCGACTTTATAAAACTTTATCATAAAACTAATTAAACTATTTCAATTTTCGTGAATTTTGCATAATTTCGAAATTTTAATTTACAAATATTATAATATTCAAATAATATCGAAATTAGAATCAATTTTTTTTAAAAGTAATTAATTAATAAAATCGTGGTTCGTTTCTAAAGTCTCTTTTCAAAATTTCTACAGAGTGAAATATTTTTTATTAGTTAGTAAAATATTTTTTTTTTATAGTTAATTAAATATATTTTCTAATAATTAGTGTAAAATTTTCTAACAATTAATTTCTCAATATTTAATTATTTGATAAAATTTTAATAAAAAATATATTTTACAGGTAATGAAATATTTTTTTAATATAGTTAATTAAATATTTTCTAATTAGTTTGTGTAAATTTTCGAGTAATTTAATTAATTTTTCAAAATAATAAATGTAAATTTTCCAAAATATTTAATGAAATATTATTTTGATTGAAAAAAAGAAAAATTTTATGCAATTTTTTTTGTCCTACTATTAGAAATAATTGTTTCTTATTTTTATTGTTTGCAGAATTATGATAACACGGCATAAAATTTGGGACATCTACCTTTTGACAATGTGCTTTCTTATTCAGGTGAGTTGTTCAAATTTTCCAATGAGAAAAAGAAAAGAGAGGGACATTTGAAGAAAGTAAAATCTCAATTTACAAATCACGCTTTTACGTGACCCTCAAGATTATACGAATTCGCATATGTATATATATATTGAAAGTATTTTAACCAGTCCCTTTCGCTGCTCCGATTACAATTCCCCCACTTTTGTGAATTTTTTTTTTTTATCCTTTATTCCTGAAAATAAGTCACACACTTGCAGGTAAAATAAAGAAGTATGTGCACCTTTTTTTTTTTTCTTTCCTTTAAACTTAAAAAGTATTTTTCGCCAAGGTGCTGAAGGAGGCTCGCGTGTCTGGCCATGGAAGACTGATGGATCCACCGGCTCGCAATAGTATGTGGCGATTTGGCTTTCCAAATCCCGTCAATTACAACGACAATGAACTTTTCTGCGGCGGGTATGCAGGTTCGTCTTTTTTGGGAAACCTTTCACTAACATAATAATTCACAAGAGTAACACACACACATATATATTTATACATTACAAGACAAATAAATTGACCAATTATCGCAATGTTTGCAAAAATTGTTGTCTGTATGTTCATAATATTGGGCAATCGAAAATTGTAATATTAATGAAAAGAAGAGAGAGAGAGAGAGAGAGAGAAAAAAAAAGACATAAACAATGTTTTAAGGGTGCCTCATAAAAGTCAATAGTTACATTCTTTCATTACTTTACAGCTTTTCTTTTTTGACAGTTATTGTTTTAATTTACGATCCCATCTTGCAAGTAACGAATAAATCTTTTTCTTTCAATGAAATATAATTTATTGGGGGGAGGAAAAAGTATATTTTTTTTACTTTTTTTTTTATAAAATCTAAAAAAAAGCGCGCATATTAGAAACACAAAAATATTACGAGAAATTTTGTAAATAAATTTAAAAGAAAAAATATAATAAAAATAATATAAACAAAAATATATAATATAAATAAAAAAGAGAGAAATATATTTTCTTCTATTTATTTAAAAAATTTCTTTGTTTTTTTTAATATGTGCTTTTTTAGATTTTATTAAGAAAAAAAAAATTTATTATTATTATTCAAAGGAAAAAAAATTATATTTTTCTATTTAATATTTGTAATTTTCTTTTTTACTCTTTATTTTCCTCTTTAACTACAATTAATTAAATTGAAATAAAAAATAAATTAAATTAGTATAATTGATTTTTTTAAAAATAATAATAAATATATTTGAATATACTTTTCTTCTTTTATTAATAAAATCTAAAAAAAAAATACACATTCGTAAAAAACAGCAAAGACATTTTTTGAAATAAATTTTGGAAGAAAATAATTTTAAAATAAAGAGATATAATTAAATTAATATTGTAGTGAAAGAATGAAAAAAATTAAGAGTAAAAAAAAAGGGAAAAAAGTAAAATTAAAAATATTAAAATAGGAAAAAATATATTTTTTTTTTCATTTCATTTTTTTTTTTGAAAAATTAAACTGTAAAGCAATTTGTTAATTAAAGCTCGCACGACTGGGGATTTTTTGAGGCCGTAGCAGTAAAAGATGAAAATTTACCTTGATGTATGTTTCAATTATCTGGCATATAGTGCAATGGGTGCAGAATAAAGGAGAATGCGGGATTTGTGGTGATGCTTATCATTTGCCTGATCCGAAACCTCACGAAGCTGGTGGCGATTATGCAAAAGGGACAATTGTCAGACATTACACTGTTGGCGAGGTAAATCTGAAAAAAATTCAATTCTTTTTATTTTTTTTTCTTTTTCATTTAAAATTATGTTTATAAATTATAAACTTATTAAATTTAGTACCTAATAATAATAAAAATAATAATAATAATGAATAATATTAATAATTATAGTAATAATAATAATAATAATATTTTTAATTTTCTAAATATTTGTTGTTTCATTTTATTTGATTTCGTTATAATTTAACGATTTGTATATGCAATGAAATTTAATAATTTCGATAAAAGTATTTTTGTTTTGAAATATTTTGAAACAAATTTTTATTGAAATTGTCAATTTTAACGAAAATTAAAATTATTTTGTAAAATAAATAAATAAAATCCATTTTTTCCAATAAAAAAAATGTCTTTTTTTGTCATTTACTAAAAAATAATTTAAAAAATTTTTTTATTATTTTTACCATTAATTAAAAGAAATTCTACTTATCAGGAAATCGATGTAGAAATAGAACTCACATCCAATCATCAAGGACATTTTGAATTACATCTTTGCCCCAATAACAATCCTCGTAAAGAAGCATCTCAAGAATGTTTCGATAGGTAAAATTCTTTCAATCCTAGACAAATAAATAATTAATTAATTAATTAATTAATTAAATAACTCAATAAATTAAAATTATTTAATTTTTGTTTAATTATTTAATTGCACTAAATTAATAAGTTTAAATAATGTAATTATCAAGTAGTAATTAATTTAAAAAATTTTTTAATTTAAGAAACAAAATTTTTGATAAAATTTATTTGACTCTGAGACAATATAAATATATCTTTTCTCTTGGTGTATCAATGAATAATTAATTTATTATTAATTAAAATTCATTAAAAATATTATTGACAAATGAAATGATAGAAATACAATTTTTTTTTTCTCCTACAGGTATCCTCTCTTTGTTTCTGGTACAAATGATGTCCGATTCGAAATTCCTCCTGATACGGAAAAAAAGGCAATTTTTCGATACAAAGTGGACTTACCGCCTTTCATTACTTGCACTCAATGTGTTATACAATGGAATTATTACACAGGTAATACACGAATATTTCTGAAATTAAATTTCGTCAAATTTAAAAAAAAAAAAAAAAAAAAAAAAGAAATTCTTTCGCAAATTGCACATAATTGACGTTGAAAATTTTTATAAATTTCACTAAAAATCATACTAATTGATGCTCTGAAAAGGGAAAATAAAATTTAACGAGTTTAAATGGAAAAATTATATCTAGAGAGTAATAAAAAAAAATTGTTTTTTTAAAAAATAATTTTTTTTACACATACAAATTTTTTTTTATAAATTATAACATAAATAAATTTATTTGTTTTTCATTTGCAAGAAATAATTAATTTTAAAAACAATTTTTTGGTGAAAATAAAAATATTTTATTTTAATTTATAAACTAATACCTTAATTAATATCCATTTATTAAAAATTAATATATATATATTTTTTTGTAATTTACTTTCGTTTTATTTTTATTAAAAAAAATTGATTTCAATTTCTTTCTTCTTTTCTGTGGCGATAAAATTTAAGTATTTTGAAAGCTCTCTTTCTCTCTTTTCATTGATAATAGGGAACATGTGGGGAACTTGTGATAATGGCACAGAAGCTGTTGGATGTGGTAGACCCGAAACTTTTAGAAATTGTGCAGACGTTAGTATAATTACAAGCACTGGTGGAGTACCTCCATTATTTGTTGAAGAGGACAATCCATTCCTTCTCTACTACAGGGAATACGATTCTCCGAATAACATTTTCCCTTTAATTATCAGGTACTGTTTTAGCACTTAATGCATATAAGAATATTATACTCCAAAACGTTTTAAATCTGTTTCAAGATTCACAGATTTTTATTTACCACTAAATCACAAAAAAAATAAATTCATTAATTAATTTTAACCAAATTTTATTTTACACTCAAAACAGAAACAAAAAAAAAATAGAAACTATTTTTGTATTTTTTAATTTTCAAAAATTTGAAGGAAGTTTAAATTTTTATAAACTGAAGTTCTATAATAATTATAAATAAAATATTTTTTTTTAGAATTTATAAAATTAATTTTTATAAAATAGAGTTACGAAAGGGTTTCCTAAATAAAAACGTATGAGTTTTGAAATAAAAATAAATTAAATTTGAATTTATCGGTAAATTTTTTTTTTAAATAAAATGAAAATTAATCAATATTGAAAAATATTAACTCGGAGTTTTCATTTTATTTAAAAAATTAATTTTTACTTTTTATAAAAATATCGAGAAAGTAAACTTTTTTAAATCTATAATGTATAATAATTTGCTTGCTTTAATTATTTTTTTGCGCTAATTATTAACAATTTATTCCCTAATAAAAACTTTACTTTAAAATTAAAATCCAGTTAAAAAATGGTTAAAGTGTATAAATAATTATTTAAATTATAGACGATAAAAATTTGTACTATTTTTTTTTTTGTAGCTTTTTAAACAAAATTTACTTCATGTTGGCTTCGGATTTTTCCCGGAATTTTCGTATATTTAACTCATTATGCTAATAGAGTTTTTATGATTCTAATATAGAAATCTGACTTTAAAATGAGTTTAACAGTACTGAAAAGTTACATATTATTCAGATGACTTTTTTTTCTATAATTAAAAATTAAACAAGAATTTGAATTTTTGTCCTCGATTTTGTCTTTTAGTTTCCTATTTTTGTTTATTTCGATTTACCATGTTCTTTATTTTGTTTTATTTTATTTTTTGTTGTCTTTACAATATTTTTTTCAAAAATTTTTTAATTATTCCGTTTTTCTTATTTTTCTGTACATTTTTTTTTAAATATTTTTTCCTAAATAAAATTCCGAGTGTATAAATAAATTTTGACAGTGAAATAATATTTTTTCGTTTAAGATTTCAATAAAATTCTAAAACACAAAAAAAATATCGAAAATTTTGTCATTAAAAATAATATTAAATTGTATAATTTTTCTTTTGTAAGGGGTGGGGGAAAAAAATCCAGTGAATTTGGTTTGAAAAAATTTTTGCTAAATAAATATTATTTGTGTTTTGAAGAAATAATTGTATAATAAAATAATTTTTTAAAAATACCTTTTTAAAATCACGCAGGTCGCAAGTTTGTGTTCCTTCAAATCTATACAGAAGAATACCTGGAATGTCCGGATGGTGTCAAACAAATTGTCTACGATATCCTCCAAATTGTCCAGAAACAATATGCAATTGCCCGTAAGTTGAAGTTTTTTATTTTCTGCGAAAAAAAAAATGACAAAATTAGAAGAAAAAAAAATTCAATTACATGATAGAAATATATAAACAATTATAAAAAAAGTAAATAAATATAAAAAACAAAATTATTTATTAAACATATTAATAAATAATAAAATTATTAACCAAATAATGGTTTATAAAATATTTATAAAAGTAAATTAAAATAAATAAAAAAGAAAATTTACAAATTCTGAAAGTAATTATATAAAAAAAAACCTTTTCTTACATGGAGAGAAATATTTTATTTACATTTATTTTAGACAAATAAAAATAAATTTGAATCGAATAAAAAATTTAATTTAGAAAAAATAAAATTTTATTTAGCGTAAATAAATTTTTTCTTTTAAATTAAATAAAATTTATTTTGAAACAAACAAAATTTGTTTGAAACAAAAAAAAAATATTTATTTGGCTCTGAGAGAAAATATATTTTTTCTCTGGGTGTGAATAAATTAAAATAAAGAAAATTATAAATAAAAAAAAAAATATTTCAAAATAGTAGAATACATAAAATACAGTTGAAAATTAATTTAAAAATTGAAAACAATTTCTCGTTAAATTTCAGACAAACTTGTGACGCTATAGGAGACCTGAAAGGAAAAGAAGGAGCAGACCAATATTGTTTAGATAAATGTCTAGCGTATCCATCAAAATGTCCCTCACATCGTTGTCGCTGCTACTGAATTTCTATTTGAATATATATATATATAATATTCTGAATTGCATTTCAGTGGCTTTATATATATATATATATTTTAATGTAAGGTCCATCAATTTGCCATTCAATAACATCCAAGTTCGCGGATATCGATGTTTTTACAAAACCCGCTCTAAGTATAGGTATATGGCACATATATCTATAAATTTACAACATGAGTCCCTCAATTGAGACCTTATCACTCCTGCGATCGATTTAAGCGCTTCCGCTTGAATATCTGAAAATAAACTGAAATGTATAGTTCCTTCAATTCAATACATACATTTTTACGACCATGAGAAAAGCGAGAAAAATATTGACATCGTAAAAAAATTTCATTTTCCATCTCTATATATATATATATAATAAATACCATATCTCAAATTATCAAACTTGAAATCGTTTTTATTTTATTATTTTTTTTTTTTTTTGTTATTGTATATCAAGTTTTATATGTAATGAAAAAATTCTAATAAATTCAAATTGTTTCTTTTTAAATAAATTTTCATACAAAAAAAAATTTGAATCTATAGGAAACTAAAAAAATTCAAATTTTACACTCTGAAAAAAAATTTAATTCAAATAATCGGTATTATCAAATAAATACATATTTATAAAATAATTATTACTTGAGACGAAGTAAATATAGTATTTTTTTGAAATATAAATTATTGGTTCAAATAAAGTTCATATTTAATTCAAATAAAAATTATTTGGTTCAATTATTTTGATAATAATAGTCAAGTAACAGTAATTTTGAATCAATTTTTTTTCTCAGCGTACAATTAAAATCCCAATTAAATAATACAAAGAAATTAAAAAAAATTTGTCACGTTAATTTGATAGTAAAATATTAAAAAAACCTTTTCTTATCTTCTTTAATATTTCAATGATTTTTTTTTTTCTAAATACGTATTCTATAAATAATCAGGGAAAAATTCTCATCGATTTCAATTTGTATAGTGATAAACTATTCATATAGACTATAAATCTGTGAAAATAATATTTTATCATGAAATCATAAAAAAAATTTGATTGATTTGTGAAAAGAATGAATTTTTCAAAACATTTTTTTCTCGAGGAAAAATAAAAAAAAAATTACCCATATTATGATATTAAATTTTAATTTCGTAAAAAAATTAAAAATTTATCAATATCATGTAAAAATAAATTATTAAAATTGCAACCTGGTAAAAAGGACTATTAAATGATAAATACCAAAATTTATTTTTAAAAAATTTTACACCAGGTTTAAAAAAAATATTGATATTTCCATTAAAATTTTTTGTTTTTATTAAAAAAGTTTGTTTTTGTTGAAGAAAAATATTTTTAGAAAAACTTAAATAAAAAATTTGTTCAATTATTAAAAAATTAGATTTTAAATACTAAAAATAGTGATTCGGTTAAAACGAAAAATTCATTTAAATTAAAAATTTAAATGAAAATTTTGTTAAATATTTGATTAAATAAACATCCAGTAGAATAAAAATTTAATTAAGTAGAAAATTCGAATGCTGTTGACGTACACAACGTTTAAAATAAACGATTTTAAAAGAAATATTTTCTTGCCGGAAAAATTCTATGAATTTTCGTCTCAAAAATATTTCCTGTAATTTATTAATTAAAAAATTATAAAAAAAAACAATTTTTGGGATAAAATTTTTATAAATTTTCCGCGTTGAAAAAAAATAATTTGTTTTCTAATCGTCGATCATAAAACATTGTGAACTTCAGCATTGTAATTTCGATTAAATAGAAATTTAGAAAAAAAATTTACTTTAAAAAAATTAAAAAATAAATAAATTTTTAAAGTTAAAAAAAAAATTTTATTGAATATAAATTTTGTTCAAATGGAATTCGTTAAAAAATCAAAACAAAACAAAATTAAAACAAATTAAAACAATTAAAAAAAATTAAATAAAAATCTCGTTGAGTAAAATTGGATAAGGATAAGAAATACAGTTTAATAAAATTTCAATAAAGAAAATATATTAAAAATAAAAAATTCTATGAACTAGAGAAATGTTCTAAAATTTCGTTTAAATAAAAATTCAGCTAAATGAGAATTCTAAATGAAAATTCTCTTAAATGGATATTTGACTAAATAGAAATAAAATAAAATTATTGATTTAAATATAGAAATTCAGTTAAAGAGAAATATGAAAATAAAATTTTTATAATAATAAAAAATGTTATTCAGTGAAAATTTATTAAAACAGAGATATTTTTTATTATAAAAAATCCTGTTGAATAAAAAAATTTCAGCTAATTGAAAAATTAGATTTTATATAAAATATCAGTTGGAAGAAAATTGAATTAAATATGAAATACGCTTTAGTACACATAACAAAAATAAATAAAAAAGAAATTAAATTACGTGTTTTAATACAAAAATTCTTTCAAAAAATGTAAAGAATTTTTATAAAAATTCGTTTAACAATTATTAAAGGCCACGAAATATTTATTATCAAATTTTTATTTTTTTATATACACATAATAGGCAAAAATTTTTTTTTATTATTTTTAGAATAAAAAATATTTTTTTTATTCGTTGTGGTGAATTTCACAAAAGTACATTAAAAATTATGTCTAAATAGAAATGAAAAATTTTAATTAAAATTAAATTTTTCTTTCAAAAAAAAAAATTAAATCCTCGTTTTGTGGAAAGAAAAAAAAATTAATTAATTCAGAAGGGTAGTGAAAAAGTAAAAATGAAACAATTAAAAAAAAATAAAAAGTAAAAAATTGGATTGCAAGCATTTTCGATAGAGGAAGATAGAAAACAATTTTTCAGTACTAGTTATAATCAATTTAATGGCACTATAATACTTCTATTTTGACAGCTTACATCTCATATAATAATCCATAAATGGTATATTATACAAAGTGTTTAACAAACTTTGTAAATAATATACGATATACAGTTTTTTTTTTTTTTTTTTAATATCAATGAAACAGTCGATTAATATATAAGCTTCATTTTTTTTTTTCTCTTGTTCTTATTAATCACTTGTTTTGCTGTCGTTTTTGCAAATTTTCAATTAAAATTTCCTTCGTTATTTTTCCACTTTTATTTATTATTAATTTATTATTAATTTATTTATTATTAATAATTATTATTATTATTATTAATTTTTTGGTTTAGTTTCAACGACACTATCGTCAGCATAATGTGGATCAACTATATATTTGTAATTTTTACTAACAACACTTTATAAAACTATATACACTAAAGCCTTTTTTTTATACCTTCTAAATAACGAATTCTTGTAAGCTAATAACATTTTTCTCGTGAGTATATTATATTATATTTATAATATATATATATGTTATTTAGTATAATATAATAGTCATCGTCGAAGTAATAACATTAACGCAGCTTTGAAATAAAACGGTGCTCGATGCACTTGGCCACTAGCGTTATATTACGAAGTGTATATAATAAATGTAATTACAATTTTCCCTTTTGCTACAATGCTAAATACGCAACTACTCAACGTTCATAGTCGTTATACTGTGAATTATTTAATAACATGGCGTATTTAATACATTAGTATGATTCGCTTTTTTTTTCATTTTTTTTTTAGTATCTCGTATAACGTAGTCTCTTTTTCCCGTTATTTTTTTTTTATTTATTTATTTATTAATTTTTTTTTTTTTACTGAAATATTCCAAAGTTCTATATAATGTATAAGATTACGCATTTATTTTGAAGACGAGAAACTTTTTGTTCCATTTAAAAAAAAATATATTTTTACTACAAAATAATATTTAAAATAAAATTAGAAAAAAAAATTTAATAACAAAAAAAATTTGTCGACACAAGCTTCAAGATGTTGCTAACTTTAATAACCGGTTTTTGAACGTAGAAACTTTACAAGTCTCTTTTTTTTTTATCTGGGGAAACTTGATTATTTTTTTTAAGACTCAGAAAAGTTTATTTACAAGAAAAAGTTCATTTTGAAGAAGAAAAAAAGTTTTTTTTTTCCTTCTATATGAAATATTTTGAAATTCTGATAAAATGCAGAAGGAAAAAAAAAATGGTAACAATAGTTTCTCATTAATTTTTTTTTTTTCAACAATTTTTCTAAAAAGAGAAAAAAAAATTTATTATTAGTTATGTGATTTTTTAAGCACCGAAAAATCGCAGCAGTAATTTATTTCTTTTTCGATGACATAATAATTATAATAAAAAAAAAATTCTAGGGCACACACACACAAAAATGATAAAATATTTATACATATTGGTATATATGTATATTATTTTTGGGAGTCGATTATAGATTTCGATCTCCAAAAATTGAAATTATAAATTCAATATATATTTATTGTTATATATTTTGTATATATATATATTATAAGATTCTTTTCTTTTTTCTTTTATAGCGAAATAGATAATGTGCAGCGCAAGAACGAGTGGCTTTAGTTTTTTTTTTTTTTCATTTTTTTATATAGGAAACGAGAGGCCTATATTTGAAAGCTTAGATCTCAGGTACATTTTCAGTCTTCTGATCGCTATATAATGACCTATTTGCGCGATAATTTATTTTTTCAAATAAGTTTCATGAAAAAAAAAAAAAAAAAAATTGTAAATAAAAAATTATTAATAAAAAATTATAAATAAAAAATTATCAATAAAAAATTATTAATTAAAAATTATAAATAAAAAATCAATAAATAAATAAATAAAGTCGATAAAAAATTATTAATAAAAATATAGTCAATAAATAATTATAAATAAAAAAGTGTCCGATAAAAAAAATAAAAAATATCGGAAAAAATTGTTGCAAAAAAGAAATTTATAAATAACTAAAATATTTATTCTACTCATTTATTAATTCATAAATAAATTATTACTAATTTTATACTACATTTTATGAATTTTATCCAAAAAGAAATTGTGTCAATTCATAAAAAAAAATTTTTTATAAAAAATTGTATAATTTAAACGAAATAATTATTTTTTTTAATTAATATAAATTATTATAAATTAATATTATTATAAATAAATTAACATTCTATTGCTGTCGACTGGGGAAATTCCATAATAAAAAAAAAGGTATTTTTCATTTCTCACTAGATCAAAAATCAAAATTGTGAATATCGTAAATTTTTTTTTCTTCTCTTTTTTGTTTAAAAAATAAAATAAAAATAAATTTTTTGTTTAAAGTCACATGACAAAAATGTTCTAAAAACCGAATTAGTTAAAATTTTCAGCATTTCAAAAATTTATAGCGTCGAATTTTCAATTACGAAATTATATTTTTTTCATTTGTTTTTTTTCTTTATTTTTTAAAATAAATTTTTCATTTCCTTTCATCGTCAATACACATTTAAATATTAAACCGAATTTTCAATTCTATTTTTCTGTTATTGAAAATTTAATTCAGTAAAAATTT